CCCCCCCCCCCCCCCCCCCCCCCCCCCCCCCCCCCCCCCCCCCCCCCCCCCCCCCCCCCCCCCCCCCCCCCGAGTTATGAGTTCGAAGAAAAATGAAAAGTCATCGTAAATTAGTAGAAATAGCTGGAAACATATCCTTGATCGCAAGATAAGCTGCAGAAAATATAAACTTTATTTTATAACTGATATTTTAGGATATCATAGCTATTAAAATTTTCATTTATTTCATTGTTATTTTAACTTTAGTACTTATGAGAGAGCAAATCCAACTATCTGATGACGCTAAATATCAGACCGTTTTATTCTCTATGGTAGAACACAGTGAAGATCATTCTAACAGAAGCATGACTAGTGCACTCATCAATATGAATCTGAATCGCTTTACTAGTTTTCAATCTTTCATTCATCTATACGTTGACTACATTTTACACTTAGAATTTTGTTTATAGATAGCTTCCATGGCATTAAAATATTCGCAAAATTTCAGCTCAAACAAATATATTCTTCTTGAGCTGTGAAGTATCCAAAGTAATGCTCATGTAATATATTCATTCGTTAATAGGACTATTAATTGTCTCTCTAAAAATTTTAATACTTCGCCAAACTGAAATATCTTAAATATGACTAATATTTCTTCTTAATGTTGAATTTTTAAAAAAAAGAACAAAAATGTAATTAACTTACATAAGAAGTTATAAGTTCTACTTATTAAAATGATAGATTTCATAGAATAAAAACTTTAATCGGCTACATGATTTGATCTAAAACAAATGACAATTATCATTTTTAGAATATACGATTTATTCACTAGAAGAAATTGAAAACATTTATTTGAATATGAGACGTTGAACAAAAAATCGAATACAGTGAAGATATAAAGATGGAATGTATAGAGTAGGGAGGGACTATTGTGAACATTATTCTTAAATTATAATGGTACTTGTGTCGGTTGAAAAACTGTCTCGAATATTTGTCCAACTTTTTGAAGCCTATATGAAATGCAAAACTAAGAATTGATAAAAAGAAATTTTTATTATCAGAAACAAACCGCTTTAGCTACTCGAGCTTGAAGAAGACAATATGAACGAAGAATTTCACGCATTTGTTCTTCTTTCATTGTTTTATAGAAATCAAGTTCAATTAGCGCATTTTTATTGAATTCTCTTCGTGAGAAAAAAAACATCAACGAAATAAAAATTCATTAATATTAGTTAAGCCTACTTAACGCGAATATCAGCATTTTGACAGTGTAAAACAGCATCATTTATATCAGAATCCATCGTTTCTATTTTGGCATAACGTGTTTCTTCATTTTCACCAAATAATTTCGACTTAAGTAAATTAACTGAAAAATTCATTTTACCATTCGCCTATTGTACTAATAAATATAAAAATAGATTTATTAACTAACTAATCATACATAGGCATCTCTTTGAGTTCGTTTAATTCCAAGTGTTGTTTCTTGTTTCGTATTATCTTCTAATAATTGTTCATGCTTTTCAACAATTGATCTTTATTATTTTTTTAAATAAAATGTAAATGTAAAAGAAGAAAAGACATACATGAAATATTTTTACTTAATGACATCACAATATGATGCTTGATGTTTAAGAAAATCCATTAAAGCATCTTCTTCATGTAAATATTCTTCAATTTGTCCAGAATAACTATGAACACGGAAACTATTAAGAATAAATTATTCTCAGCAACGTTTTACCTATCAAGAAAATGTCCTGCTCGTTGCAACGAGTCACCAAGTTTATCTTCTGTTGTACTCCAATCACTAAATAATCGACCGAGCTGATTATGAGATTGATAAAATACAAATGTTCGATCAGCAACTTTCTAGATATTATAAATTATTAACTGAATCCAACAAAAGAAAATCAATCCATCTTACAGCACGTGCACGAAGAACATTATATAAAATACTATACAAGTCTATTGCATATTGATAAGCATCAAGAAATCGTCTAAAGTAGAGAAAATATTAAAAATTATAAAAATGTTTGTTTTTTTCACACATACTTATCTTTGGTTCTTTCGTGTTGCATTAAATTCAATTTAAATGAAGGAATCAAGGATTCAGACTAAAATTTAAAATTAACTTAAATATTACTCTTATTAATAACAGTTTTTCATCTATTGAATTTATATTTAACTGTCAATACTAAAAATAGATCAGCAATGCTCAGCTGGATATATATTTCTGACTATGATTGATATTGCATAAAACAGCGAGGCTTCGGAAAAAGAATTCCATGGATTTTCCTTTTAACGAAAGTTATTATACACTAATATAAGTGGTTTTTCAGATCAAACTTAATAGGATGAAATTAATTTCATTTTCACTTTAGTAAAATATTTTACTGGTCGCCGTATTTCAATAATTGAAACATTAGAGGATCTTTAATCTGGCAGACAGACTCAATCATGAAATCTCTAATTATTTTACTATGGAAAATCGAATCTTGTTGTCAGAAAGTGTCTATGCTTACAGATTCCCAACGTTACATTTATCATTTTAATTTTGAATAAATACTCTATGAAGACAGCAACGGTTAATTAGCTTGATTCAAATTATTTTAGTTGTATTTTTAACTACTCCTAAGTCAAGTCGATATTCAAGGCATATTTTATAAAAAAAATATCATTGTTCAAGCCCTGCTCATTTATAGTTTACTTTACTAAGAACATGACTTGTATCGACAATGTGTTTCCAACCATCATTTTGAAGTAAAAATGTTTGAACTGCTGAATCGGTTGATAATGTTGGATGAGAACATAAATGATGCAGAAAACGCTAAAATAAAGACATACTCCATCCTAAATCAAGTATATAATTTATCGAACAAAATCCTACTTCGAGTAAAACACGTCTTCGTTCAACAACTTCTACACTCGTTCGATCATAATGTGACTTTGACCATGTATGCGAAATCTTAATAGAGTAAATATTTATTCAAATAAATTATTTATTAAACATCTTTTTTTACCGTCTTTTCAGGTAAAACAGGAACGATAACCCATGAATATTTCGCAACAAGATAATTACGTAATGTTTCAAAATCTGAATAACGACGAAAAACACATGTAGATTGAAGATCGTCGCTGGGAGATTCAGATTTTTTTGGGCTAGAAATCCAAACATTAAAAGAACAATGACAATTGTCACAAAAAAACGTTAAGTCAATTAACCGGCATTCAATTAAATAAACAATATAACAATCTTGTATAGCAATACTTGAATTACGTCGTTCCGTATTTGATATTTGAATATCATATTGATGAAATAATGTCGAATTTTCTTCAGTCATCTGAAATTAAAGGTTACGCTATTACAGTTACTAATAAACTTTTTTAACGCGCCTCGTAATAGACAATGACGAATCATACTACTTCTGTTAATAAAGAAATTCTCTTCTTCCATAGTTAAGCTTCTTTTACAATTTTCTAATTTCCAATCACTTCTCATATCATATCTAGAAGTTTCTTAATCTTTCTATCGAACAATAATGAACTCAATCGGCGATCATATTTCACGTAATTTCAGTCTTTTACATTCCAATTCTTACATAACTAAATAACTGTTGTAATTACAGAAAATCTACCTACATTTTTTCTGGAACCAGGAACTAGTCTAGCTGAAGCTATTGGTGAACAAATATTATCAACTCATTCAAACGAAACAATACAATCAACGTCATTAATATTAAGTAGTATTGATTCGTATAATGATAGGGAAAAGCAAATACTGAAAGAATCTGAAAATTGTAAGTTAGAAAAAACTTTCAAGAAAAACATTGATAGACATTTCTATCGATAGCAAAATATAAAACAGAATTATGTCAAAATTTTTCAAATTATGGTCTTTGTTCGTATTCATCACGTTGTCGATTCGCTCATGGCCTTCAAGAGTTACGTTGTCGAACTCGACATCCAAAATATAAAACAGAGCTTTGTCGAAATTTTACTTCTGGTTATTGTAACTATGGTTCGCGTTGTCAATTTTTACACAATTCTGCCGACACTAAACAAGAAAATGTTGATTTAACAATATTTCCTGCATTAGTATATCCAACAATTGGTATGAAATTCATTTTCTAGCTATTATAACTATAATCGTTTAGTTCAACAGCTACAATTGGAACCTATTTACTAGTAAATATATTAAATCAATCAACTGTAGCTGCTCGTAAAAATTTTCAACTAAAATCTGACTCTTCCATTGTTACTTGAAAATTTTTATTGACACTGTGGTATTGAAATGCAACAGCTCTTACATATATAATTATCTCTGAATGTTTCTCATGGAATTTTATTACCACTAAATTAGAATAATAATGATTTTCAACTATCCAATTTTTAATCTGAAATATTTAACTTATTTAATTAGTTTTGGTTAATATTCTGACATAAACATTTTCTATCCTTCATCCTTATGCGTATTTAAAGACATCTCTACTGACTTTTCTTCTTTATGAACGAAAACGAAATCTACCGACCAGGGCATTTTCTTTACTAAAAAATAGTACTTCTTATGAAATAGCTAAACATAAGTAAATTGATTCTTATATTGACTATAGATAGTTATATCACAGTCCATATCACTTCATCATCAGATATTTGAAAGTTAATTATTCGCATATCATAATTATCGAAATATATATCAATTAGAAAGATGCTCACATGCATGCTAATCTTTTTCAGATATGAAACATTAATAGATTGGGCATTAGATTTCTGAAATAACTGGTATATTTAAAATGATTGTAGAACTATCGTGCAGAAGATAAATTATTAGTTCAAAGTTTCAGTGTGTGAAAAAGATTATGCGAAGATAATGCTTCGTTTTTGGTGCTTTTTCCTATGTCTCTGAGTGTGTGAAACTAACCATTGAAGTATGTGAGACAAATTTGTCACGTAGATCTCTTTATTTTTTTTTATAAAAAAAACTATTCTTATTTAATAACTAGAAAGTAACTAGTTATAACATAAAATTTCCAAAAAGTCTAATTATCACTGGTATGTTAAAATACACAAATTACATAGTGAAGCACAAAGAATTATGAATATTTATAGAAAAAAAGGGATGTGCCACTTCTAGAACTTGCTTCATTAGATACGTATATTAGCGAATTAAATTGATGCTTCTATTATTTTTAATTCAAAAAATTACATCAATAATTATTTTCACACTTTGAAATATAAAAAAACAATATTTCTAATTTTGAAGCATCTTAGGATAGTTTTCATTTCATTCATCTACAATACTGTGAAAATTTTATGTAGGTATTCTATAGAAAAACATGAATGACAACATTGTGTTGTTTTTAATTTCATCTACTATTTATTTAAAAGATTTTCACAATAAATAATAAAAAAGAGGGTTCCTTAACCAATATTTTTATAACGTCGAATTTCTGTTGGTTTTGCAAGAAGATTTCGAAGCTCTTCTGTTGCTTTATCAATAATTTCACTTTTTAAATGTTGTTCAAGTGCTTGTTCATTAGACCAAGCTTGAAGAAATGTTAATTGTGCATTTTCATTTAAATTTTCACATAATTCAAATTTAAGACATGTTCGTTCTTTTTTTGCTTCTGGTACAATAGAAAATAGAATTTTTTTAACTTCTTGTGCTTTATCTGGTAATGGCCAATAATCTGTTACAACATAAACTGCTATTTTTGTATTGTTTGTCATCTAGAATTGAATAAAAGTTTAAATACGTAGAGTTCATCTTTTTTTAGAATTTTATGGTATGACTTCAGTACAGTGGAACAATCTTATTAAATATAAGACAACATTTACTTGAGCACTGAAAACTTTGATAAAACTTATGAAAAGAAAAGAAAAGAGAAGAAAAAAAGAGACACACCACATACTTTAACGTTCGCTTTAGGCAGAAGGATTTCTCGTCTGTTATAACGGCAGTTTTCATTCTTGTGAGAACGACAACTATTTTCTTTCAAGAATACGAAGAAGATTCTACTTCGCTCGTAATAACAACGGTGATGTGAGAAAAAGAATCCCATTTCAACTCTATACTAAATAATTTTTTTATTCTATGAAGAAAGAGGAATTACGGATGTCAGGGAAATGACAGAAAATCTTTTCTTTTTCTTTTTCTTTTATTCTACAGACTAGATTATTTTCATCAGTGCTCATCATGAGAATGAACAACAGAAGAGTAAAGTGAAGAAAATATTTATAAAGTCTTATTGAACTCATTTGATAAATATCATCAGATTTATGAAACATCTTGTTCTATATTAAATTTTATTTTACCTACTCAAATGTCTCCTTCGGTTATTCATTCTGTAATCGATTTCTTTGTCAAACCAGAGTCAATTGAAAAAGTACGTTCGATTTTATTAGGAATTCTGGAACCAACACGGAAAGAAGACGGTTGTTTAAAATATAAATTATTTGAAAATCTGAATGATCATTGTCAATTTACATTTATTGGAGCATGGGAAAACGAAGATTCATTTGACGATCATCTACAATCGGATCATTTTCGTAAAGCTGATTCTGATATTAAAAATGATTTACAAAAATCCATTGATGTAAAACGTTATAGATATATACAAACCGATCCAACCAAATTATCCGATACAAAAACGAGTGGATTTTGTATTCTAATTTGATACTATGAAAAATAAACAAATTAAATCAATTTTCTTTTCTGTATTCATTCATTCGCTTTAATTTTCTTTTGTTTTAAATATTCAATAAAAATGACAAGATTAAAATTCTAGAAAACATCTTCTATGCATGGTTTACTGTTTAACTAGATTCATTTTAAATTAGTAAGTTTGATAGAACATTTGTTGAAAACTATTGACAAAATAAAGGTATGTTATCAAATTTAACTTATGAAACAAATTTAAAATGTGAACATGCTTCTCGATAGTCTCAGCCCTTAAAAACATCTTGAATTATCAGAAATGCTGAAAATAGAATAGTGTCATCGTCTCAATAGAAGAAAAACCGTAGATATAGTTAACGCGATCTTCGAATCTTTTTTGGTTGTGAGTGAGTGAGTGAGTGTATGTTATTCAAGGATAGTATCCCGAATGATTTATTATTATTCCACATCAAATTTTTGCTCGATAATTCCTTTCGAAAATGCGATCATTCAATAAAAGATAAAATTCTGTAATCAATACAGATCAGAAAGCGAATAGAGCTGAAAATACTCGAACATCATGCTAACTTTATCTGCATTTACACTTATTGATATTTTGTCTTCCTATGATCAATACATATGATAATAAAATCACTATCAATGATGTTTATTGCTGTTCATTATTTTTTACGATAAAGTCATGCGTAACAACTTATGATAGAGTACAGATTGAAAAAAATCATGAATATCAGTAGAGAAAACAACTTCAAGCTTTTTTAGAGTACGTTGATTAACATATGGCAATCACAAGTAGATTTTCTCGTGATAACAATGAGTTCTATGTGAACTAATTATATCTGAGTAATACCATTCAAATAAATAGGTTTAGTTAGATACTTTTTACTATCTGTTCATAAGATACAGTTACTTACCAATTTTTATTAGATCTTCGATAAAATGTTAAATAAAGAATAAGTCCATATTTTCGTTTGGCTTTTCTTGAATAGCTTACGACTTAAATAACGCTGGGATAAATTCATCTATAAAGCTGTATACATGTGTAGGTGTCATATGTAAGATTGTAATAGAAATATGCATTCAGTTTTCAAATTGTGATAGATTAGAATAACGCAGACTGATTGAAATTGATCTAAATTTAACTATATCTTTCTTTTACGTAAGTTTTTATGCTTCAATAAATTCTACATAGTCGAACATCGTTGAAACCAACCATTTTCTAATAAGTGATTGATAACAGATATTGTATTTGACCCTATTTAACAAAATATTATTAATCGATAATAAAAAAATCATTGATGAAACTTACTTAGATTATGCGTATTTAATCAATTAATAATTTCTTTGAGTTCTTTTACCGCATGCAGACACAATACTACTAAGGGATCTTGTTCACCATATCATTATAATAGAGTCTCATCGAATTTGAGCAAAATGAAAAAAAAAGAAAATAAGCAAACAAAAATAGATCGATGCCTATTGGCCCATACTCAAATCCAATGAAAATATAATTGTTTCTTTCTATTATATTACAAACAAGTGAAATAAATATTACTGACGTTTTTCTATTCTAAATTATTGCGTCCTGTGTTTATATGCAATAAATGTATCGATCGATTTGAATACATACGTTTTTCAGCTTTGAATCTATAAAATTTTCTTATATGAATGAAGTTACTCTTGATACCAAGTGTTCAGAATGGTTATATAATTAGCTCCTCGTTAGATTTAGGACCTGATTAAATGTACAGGTGTTAATTTTGAATATCTTCTACTATTAACAAGAGGGACTTCTTCTCGATTAGATAATATGACAAGATTGCCATTTATTCATAGTTCACTTCTACCAATAGTCTCAGCATCATTCAATGATTATCTTGGCTATTGATTAATCATTAACCGTTCCGATATCTAACAATAATTAACACACCAAATATTTTCAATTCGAATATAGCAAACCAAATTTCAATACTTGTCAATCAACAGAACCAATTTAAAACAAATTAATGTTTCCATTTAACCAGTAAATCTTATCTGGATCTTTTCGGATCACTTCAATAATCAGAGTCAAATCGAAAGTAATTTCATAGTATTAGTTCCTTGAGTATTCCAAAGTTTGATTTCAGAAAGAAAATTTTGTCTTCTTGTTCCTCCAAGATCATAACATTAGATAATGAAACCTATCTACTCATTAATTTTTTCGTTGTTGTCGGCATGTCTCATAATAAAGAATTGCAAATTTTTAAATTTCGTAACAGAAGCAATGAAGTGGAAATTACTCTTGTAAAGGTATTTATTCAAAAAATTGTTGCTGACTTCATCAAAAATTGCTTTTCACCAATGTTACAGTCATATGTTATTATTACTTGAGTCATTGCGCACTTATCGACATTTGTTTATTCAACTCGCATTCCTTGATGCTTTATTTCTCTTATATATATCCTCTCTTCTCTCGCTTAAACAATTAACTGATTCTTAATAAAAGAACATCGAGAAGGGAACAGGGATACTCTAATAATCAATATGAATGATACTGCATTTATTAGTTTATTATAAAAGAAACTCAAATCATCCAATTAATGTAAATTATTTTCAGTACGCACCATACTTTCTAGAATACTTCTGAATGTTTGATCGTCCTATTTCTATAGAAAAAGAAAAGAATACATATAAATGAATATTGATTAGTGAACATAACAAAACCGTTGTTAACATAAACGATAAAGTAAATATTACTCAATATGTGGATGATTTCGAATTTCAAAGCGAGTTCACTGAAGTTTTACAAATAACGATAAAGAATGTTTCTAGTTACTATTCAAGTCATTTTATCGAGTTATCAATTGAATTCTGCAGAGATTATCCTGGTAATTTGTGGTTCAGTTCATATCAGTGTATTGCATACGTGATGAGAATGATGAACCAGACCGACAAACATTTATCGTGAGCTCGACAAAGAGACAGAAGATTGATGTTTTCAACTTGATTAATTAATCAATTCGATACATGAATAGTTTTTGGTATCAAAATGAGTCAAAAATCTGCAGTTGATCTTTCATTCGTTTGGAGATTGAATAGATATAAATCATTTCTCTGTTTTCTTATTATATAAAAGTAAAATATTCTTTTTGAAATTTAATTAAATACAACGTTGATTCTTTTTCTATATAACTGTTGATGAGAATAGAATTTGTTGAGTTTATTTTTGTGAAAAATCTAACTGACAGTACCAATAGTTTATCCTCTTGTGAATTCCGCATGCAACATGTTTCTAACAAAACACGATTACGATTCGTAATAAATAGAAAAAAGAGAAATGAAAGCTTTTATTTACATCCGGCAGACAACATCGTACAATCATTTATTAGAGCTAAGGTAAGTAGAATATAATAATCTATTTGAAAATGTATGAATGGAGAAAATATGAAAACATTATTTTCGATTGTTCAATAATATTATATTCAAATGGCAAATCTAATAGAAATCTCTATGTAACAAGAGGTGGAAAAGTAGATACTTAACTATCAACATTCTTCGGGAGTAAATTAAGGGATCTAATTTTATGAATGGTAGATCAAAAGCAGAGAGAAAACTGTTGATAATACTGTTTAATTGAGATAGAATGGTACGGAGGATTGACAACTATCATATTATGTTCTTTGACTTTGTTTATCTTGTTTTCAACATAAATAACTTTTCATTCTATTCAATAGACCTTTGAAAGAAAAAGATGCTCATGTTTGTAGTTTTCAGAATAGAACGACTGATCCAATAAAGTAATAGGAAAATAATCATATTTAATAGCTGAGTATCTGTCTTTTCTCTATTGGTTAAATCAATGTATGTTTCTGTAGATCTTCTCGTTATTCTCATGAAGTACCAATCAGAATCTCTCCAACAAAATGAGAAAATATCCTGTTACACAATAAGTGTCAGTCGATCACAAGCGAGTTTTATTTAAACTTTTCCACTAACCGGAAGAATTGTTTCGCTCGAATGTTTGTGTTCGATGATAGACACATAATCTATTATTTTGTCAAGAAAGTATATTGTATTTTTTATTCTAATATTGAGGAACAGTTGCTACTATCTCTTTCAAACATACTTTCGATCTATGTACCAAATCAATAACTAGCAACGAGAAAACATTTTATTCTATAACAAATAATTATCAGCCTTCGGAAGCTTATAGTTTTTGTTGTCACTTTTTACTCTCTTAGTTTATTTCATTCGTTATTAACAAAAAAAGGCAAGTTATTGTGTCTTGTTCATTTGAATAATTTATTTTAGTTAAATTAAGATTTTCCACATATCTAATAAATATATCAACTACGTAATATATCGCTTGTAAATGAATTTGTTTGTTATTAACTTTCTTTGTAGATTTTTGCACAATATGGTATAAATTTTTATTCGACTGTCGAATAAATTCTATCAATGATCAGCTGGAATGATGAGTATTTTACTAGATAATCGAAATAATATATCAGAGACTAATAAAATTATTGTTTCTACTTCAACATCTGTATCGAATGGAACAACGAACGCTATTGACTTAACTAAAATATTAATACTAGAACAATATCAAATAATTTTATTAAGTTTTGCATATGGAATAATAACTTTATTTTCTATTATTGGTAATTCTTCGATTACTTATGTATCTTGTTATACGTAATCGACGAATGCACTCGGTTACAAACTATTTTATATGTAATTTAGCTCTTGCTGATTGTCTTGTTGCTTGTTTTGCAGTTCCATTTTAAGTAAGTATCAATTATATTCCAAATATTTAAGTAAAGGTGATTATATTTTAACTAGTTTCAAGCTGCAGCTTTACAAAAATGGCTTTTACCACATTTTCTTTGTAAATTGGCACCATTAGTTCAAGTATTATCTGTTGATGTATCAATTTATACATTGGTATTGGTAACTATTTCTCTTGATCGTTGCTATGCTATGCTGTATCCATTAAAACCAAAATTATCAAGAAAAAGCGCATTTATTCTTTTTATAGTAATTTGGGTAATAGCATTTGATTCATCAAGTTCAAGTTGATTTTTTTATAATGTTTATTGTATTGATGATTTCGGTTATCAATGTTTACCATATTTATATCAAAAATAATAATCAGTTGTGCTTACTTTCGTATGGGATTTCATTTATATTTTCCTAATCCAGTTGGACAAACAAAATATCAGCGAGTTATTGCACGAAACAAACGTAAAGTAAGACTAATTTATTATTCACATCCCCGAGCTCACAGACTTAATTTTGCATGCATTGTTAAAGAAAAGAATAAAAAATGTATAACAAACTCACATTTTTTGATTTAATAATAGAATTCGTCAGTAATCGATTATCAAAGAGAATATCCTCTTTGGTTGATTTAGGTATTAAAAATGCTATTTGCTGTTGTGGCATTATTTCTTATTTGCTGGTTTCCATTACAATTATATAATTTTCTTAATGTATACAAACCGGAAATAAATGAGTAGGCTATCAAAATAAAAATATATATTTTATATCTACAAAGCCATCTTTTGTTTTGTTCATATTTAGTTTTAAACACGTTGTAGTATTGTGACTGTGCTAATTGGCTTGCTATGTCAAATTCATGCCATGATCCATTTATTTACGGTTTTTGTAGTGTGTGTCTTTCTCGTTTATTATGATTTACAAAAGAACAATTCATTCTATTTCTCATTTATGCTAATAATAAGAGAATATCACCAATGGTGTGAAGATACCTAGTAATATTATTCAACATTTAGACATCGCTAGAGGTGATCTCCGACTTTATAGATAAGCGCAAATAGAAAAAATATCGATGCTGAATAGTACTGTAAAAATACTTGTGTCTATGTTTCTGTGTCAAATGATGCTAAATTATTTTTGAGAACATTAGGAAAGTCGTCATTCTAGTCAATAGTAGGCAGCTTCGTTTTTTAAATGATTTTATGTTTCAGGCCAGATTTAATCGAGAATTTCGTAAACTTTATTCATTTTTACCATGCATTGATAGTAACAAAATAGACGGAAAGTTAACTGATGTTCCATTATTATACCAAGTGCAATTAAGACAAATGACATGCCAACAATATTCACCAAACCCATCATCTCAACAAAGATCTCGTCAAAATACAACAATATCAATCAATAGTATACCATTCAATACGCCATCATCATCCATGTCCATCACGAGTAATATTAATGGGAAAAGAAGCAGTTTTTCTTCTTAAATCGGTATCACAGTCGATTTCTAAGTAATAGTAATATAAACTGTTACAGTTTAAATAATAATCGAGTAATAAACAGTTACAAAAACTTTTTGCTCGATCAAGATATAACAAATTCGTTGAAAGAAAACGATCTTTTATCATATTATACTAATCAATCAACACGTTTTACTTAGTTTTCACCCTTATTTTTCTATGGAATGGTAATTAATACAATCTTACTTAACAGCTTTTAACCTTGATACCATGCCGATAAAAGCATATATTAAGAAAATTTTCGTCTCATGCTACTCATTGTTGATCGACGCTGGTCAGTTAATTAATATTTATTTGAAAAAAATTGAAGAATCATACACTATTTCTTATTCCGCAAAAAATATTACGGTAAAAAAAGAGACAAGAATGTATCTTTACCATTACTACTATGATCAATATCGGATGAGAAGGTAAGAAAGACAGAGAGAAAGAGAAATAAATAAATAAAGACAATCTCATCTAGTACATAAACACTGATCTATCATCTATGACATTATTACTAAATATCCCATTTTGTCAACAATGCACGTAAGCACAAATATGAGCAACTATGAATATTCATCGTATTCATCATCGTCATCGGCAGGTGATAGTGCTGGTGATTTCGATGCTACAAAAGCAATAATTCAAGCAAGTAGATGTCAATCAAAATGGTACTATTGACCGAAAGCAATTTCAACAATGGATTTATGAAGGAGTTGGTAGCACTAGCCAATCGATTGAAGGAGGTGTAACAGCAGGTAGTTTCCAATCAACTTAATGCGAATCATCAAACTATTCAACGACGGAAACTTCTAGTGACGCTTTTGATGCTGATGCTGATCCTAATATTGACTTTGATGTTGTAGCAGTTAATCAAAGTGCTGGTCTCTACGTTGATGCCAATCCAGATATCATTTGTCGACCAACTGCAGGTGCTGTTCAAACGTACATACAAAACATTAAAGTGAGCTTCCTTCAATCGCCACCATTCCATCACCAGGAGTAAGTGATATTTTGCTTTCTTATGTGCTTAGTATCATTTTATTGTTACAGCCACTCATTTTCCATGAACGACTACCACGACCACCAGTTGCACAAACTTCGCAAATAGTTATTCGAAATCTTCCTGCTTCGCCTGAACCACCAGGATCAGTTATTATTGAACGCACTCCAGCTACTCCATATCAACCACGTAAATGTTTTTTCCTTTTCTCTTTTTTATCTTAATGGTAGGTAACAATAGGTGATATCATTATTGAACGTTAGATTCCTTATGAAGTTGTTATCAAACGTAAAACCATTGTCCAACGGGTTGATGCAGATAAAAAATATTTCAAACCACGTAATATTATAATCCAATACGAGCATCTGCAAGTTCGTGTTGTCCAACAATTTCAACGGTATGGTGCACAATGGCTCGATGTTCACATGCTTCTTCAACAAGTTCGAGTCGCTGGTGTTGTTGAAGATATTGTAAGTATGATCATTTGTTTTATATTTGCGTTTCATGTAAAGGGTGACGCTACTTGTTTTAATATTATATTTAGTCGCCACCAACTGATGGTGTTGTAAGTACAGTTGGCTTATCATCATCATTTAGTCAAGAATCGTCTTTTGGTTCCAATGGTAGTGTTAGCGTAGTTGAATTAACTAATCTTCTTGGTGGATCAGGTATAGCATTACATTATTTTTCTTCGACTTTCTATTTTTTTTTATTCAAAATAGGCTTCACTGGCGTCGGTTTCGACAATAGCCTAGCTGAAGGAACTGCAGTTACTGTCAACAGTGCTGACAAAAATAAAGGTGGTCTTATTGCTGCAAACGAATTTAAACAATTCTACCAAGGTGGCTTATAAAAAAATTGACTATCTTTTTTGTTTACGGATTTTTATTTTCACTTGTCTTACTTTCCTTCGCATTTCAGTGTAAGAAAACTACGTTTTATTTTCAGCATTTTCCTTCTAAATGAATTTGGCTTCTATACATCAACGAGGCCATTTTTGTGTTGTTGTAATTATTACATCGACAAACATTTCCTTACCCCATTTTTAAGCTCAATTACCTTGAAGGTTACATTTATATACATGATTACGAAAACAACATTGAAAATTTAATTTAATTCAAATAACAACTAGTTTAAGCGAAAAAAGAAATAAGCCATTACATGAATCGACGTGCATCATCATTAAAATGTACAGTTTTTGTTAGATTTTTCGATAAATTTCTACAATAATCAGCAGACAACATTCATATAGAAGAAAAAAGCGAACCATAGAGTGTACACAGAAATAATTTTGATTGAAGTTTATAAATTATAAAATAAAAAGACCTTGATAGATACGATGATTTTTCGCTATGATAATTTCATGGTGCATTAGTCAGTAACATTCTTCTGCTATTCCCTTTTAGTTTCTTATGATCAGTTAAGATTTTTGTTTTTCAAAGACATCGATGCTCAGATCTTTATATTTTATAATTTATCTACTATGAATCAAGACAAATTTACAAGGAAAAGAGATATATTATATGAATGCGCATATCTTCTATCGAGAGAATCGCTATTAGATAAGAACAATCATGCTTCGTAGTTTTTCGATTTCTTTATCTAATTTTTCTTCGGTAACTTTTATTCGTCCATCAGTAATACGTTGCAATGTTTTCACAGAGCCTTCGAGGGATTCAAAACAAGTTCGCATTTCTTTTTTAACTTTTTCTAAATTCGCCATTGTCTTTTGATATTTTTCATCAAATCGTTTATAAACTGTTTGTTCGACAGACTAAAATAAAATAAACAGCTTTTGAAAAGGTAAAAGTATGTTTTACTTCATTATTTCGAGTTAAATCAGATATAGCTCGTCTATAATGATCTTCTAGTGTTGCAGTTTTTCTTTCAAATTGATGTATGGCATCATCAATTTTCTTATCCAATCGTTCCTATAAAAAGGAAAATTCAATGAAACTTAACTGAATTTAAATCAAAATTTGTTTACATATTTTTCTAATGATCGTTTAATATCATCAAGTTTCTGATTCATTTTTTGTTCTGCTCGTTCTCGTTCGCTATCTTCTTGACTTTTACTTTGAAATATTTGATTTCGAAGTTCATCAACAAATGCACGTGAACGTGAATCAGCTGTTGATAAAGCACGTGCTGTATCAGTTTCAAATGTACGTAACACAATTTGTTGTTCACTAAATATTCGGTCAACACGTTGACTTAATGTTGAAATCTATTTTAAAACAAATTTTAATTAAAAATAATTTCAATTTGAGAAAATTTGTTTTTCACTTCAAGTTTTAATTCTTGATAACGTTGAATATTTGATCGATTTGTATCTTGTTGACTATTCAAAACATCACGAAGTTCATGTGACATTTGTTCGATGTCTGCTTGTAATTTTTGTTGGATACTATCGTTTTTGGATAATTTTATTTGAAGATCCATATTTAATTGTCGTAATTGTTCATCATATGCTTGTTGATTAGCATCTAATTTTCCTATTGCAGATTCACGAATTGATGTTTGATTAGCTAAAGCTTCAATATCATTATTAAGTTTTTTACAAACAGCTGACAAAACTTGAACTTGGTCCATATTTTTCAATCAAACTATTTTTTTCTTTTTGTCACTTAACAAATCTTGCGATTAATAATCGGTTTCTTTTTTTTCTATCTTAACAAGTAACTATGCAACAACCTTTTCATAATTGTTATATTTCACATTAAAGATGGCGTTAATATATGTTTCAATGCATCAATTTTTATTGGGGTGTGCGTGTTGTTGTGAGAAGATGAAGACAATTAGTCTCTTTACTGACACTCACACCCTCAAGTAGTATACGATGTCACTCTCGTTGTTCTTTTCTACTTGAAATATTAATCATTTTACTACGTTCTATTTCGTATCAATTGAAATTGAAAGAATATTTTTCATAGAAAAAAAGAGAAATTATTTTCAAATGGGTTTTTTTACATGGTCTATGTTTATCAATTAGTTGTAGTACAGATATTCAAAAAATAGGAAAATTTTCCTAAACATGAAAGGAAAAAGTGTGATAAGAAAAATAAATAGAATGATAATATCGTTTTAAAGATATTAATTCTCATTTTTATGATTCATTAATGTTGATTTATTAATTTTTTCATAATTTTCATCAATCGCTTTCATATTGGCATTTTCAATAATCCATTGATGTTGAATAACTTCATTCAACGGCATACGCTCTGATGGATTACGACGAATAAGCTAAATATATATTTGCTATTTATTAAACAAAACAAGAAACTCTGATTATACTTGACTAATAAGATCTCGAGCATGATTTGATGCAGCTTGTGGAAAGGATAATTCATTTGTTCGAATCAGTCTAATAGTATCTTGTTGAGTTTGACTATCAAATGGAGGTTTGCCAACAATCTACTAATAAAATATTTCAATAAATAGAAGCAAAGAAAAACAAACAAATAACCATTTCATAAGTAAATACACCTAAACACCAAAGATCGATTTTTTCATCATAACCACTTCCATTAAGCATTTCTGGTGCTAAATAATCTAATGTTCCGCATAGAGTTGTTCGTCTAATTACATAAAAAAGTATTAAGCAAGATATTTCATTATGAATATAAAATAGCCTACTTATTTGTTTCAGTTCTCTCGGCTGACCAACCAAAATCAGCTGCAAAAAATATAAAGATAAAAACCGGTTCTCAATGGAAAAAAAACAAATTTAGATTACCTAATTTAAGAATTCCATAAACGCCGATAAGAATATTTTCTGGTTTGATATCACTAATAGAAATTACTTTTTATTTAAATACGTGAACTAACTTTTTACAAACCGATGAATAATTTGCTTCGAATGAAGATACGATAGTGCATTACAAAGTTGATAGACATACTAAAAGAAAAATTCAATAGACAAGATTAATATTCAGAAAATAGCTAACTTACTCCAGCAGCTTCACTTTCACGTAAAATTTTCTCTTTTTGCATACGTCGATATAATTCACCACCAGGTGCATACTCAAGTAATAAAAATATGCGTTGATCATCATGAAAAAATCCATAAAGACGTAAAATATTTGGATGTCTAATATAATTATTTCATTCTTTTGTAAAATAAAATTACAACAAAAAGAAACATTCTTTACTTAAGACGACTTTGAATGGATATTTCGCTGATTAACTGTTTAGCTAAACGAGGAGTGGATATTTGATCTTTAATAATTGCCTATTCAATTTAATGTTTATAAAAAGAAAATTTAATATCCAGAAAGTTACTTTTAATGCAACAATATATTTGCTTTTTTTCTCACGAACACAATAAACATGACCAAAACGTCCACGACCTAGTGGTGCTCCAACTTCAAAATCATTTATTGTCCATTGATGTCTAGAACATAGAATGCACAGATATAGATTTTCGATAAACTTCCATTATGAATATACCGAATGACATTAGGATCAATGAAAAATCAGAATATATCATGCACATTAACTTACTGTCGTGTTCCATTTGCTGTTTTTACTGCTGCTGTTGTTTCATTTAAATGATTAGTAATTAAATCCGCATTACTATGAGATGAAGATGCTTGACACTGTTTAGGATTTTCATCAGTGTATTTTTTGTAATCATTTCCCGAAAAGTATTCCCTTTCGATAGAACAACAAAAATGTATATTAATTAATTCAATCTAATCGTTTTCTTACGAAGGTATTGGACGATTTTCGACATTTCGATTATGAAGTGTCGAATGCGATGATGATTTCATTTTATTATCTAAAATGAATAGGCGCTTTGCCCAAAGAGGTCTCTTCTGTTCTTTTATATTCTACTGAATACAATCAACTTTTTAAATTTCCAGGCAAATAAACACTCTGTGAAGTATCGATGTATCGAAGTCGATGAACAAACGAGATGCTTCAGTTTGTTAGTCTTTGTTTCGAGCGTCAAAAAGAGATTGGCCAATCAAGTATAAGTGCGCCACAAACAATTTCAATCTCAAATCTCGATTACAGAATAGAATGACTGTGGATGTGTATTTTTATGTTTCATTTATCTGAAAGTTAATCTAACATTAAATCTACTCCTAGGGAAATTTCAGTTCTCTATTTTCTGAGCTTCATTTAAATTCAAACTCGGCTAGGCAACTACTAGACAAGAGATATCAAATTTTTCAAATAAAATCTAGCAATGCTAGCGAAATGATTTAAGATGTAAATCAAGTTATTAGATATAAAAAATCGTAATTGCGTGTTTCATCAAACTTTGGTTCAACTCATACGTAACCATGCTCTTCTGTCTGGTTAAACAGTGTTATTTTAAGGTAATGTCGTTGCGTGTATCTAAAATATGAGCGCGTTTGATCGATTGATATTATATCATTTATAAACTCTAATACAGATGATCAACAAGTAGGATACCATCATAAAATAAGCTTCGAATGAAATTTGAAATACGCGTACTCTAGGGATTTGAACCAAAACATGAATAATTGTTCAAATCAATATATATTTTCGATGAAATTTAACAATTGTTTGCTTATTTTTTTAAAAGAAGCTAATTAAAAAAATGATTTATTGAAAAGTTTATGACTATCTTTATACATCGATTCCATTCGATTTTAGTGTTAAAAGTGAAATGAAATATTGTTGTGCTTCATAGATAATTCTAGTACAAAATTCATATGGAATACCAAGACTTTGTAATTTTCTTTCGCTGATATATGGTAATTCATAAAAAACAATCTTTTCTTGTTCAAGGACTGGAACATATTCTTCATAATTTAATAAACTAAGAAAATAACGAAGCATTGCTTCTGCACCAAAAAATCTAAATGAATAAACCGTTTGCGATGATTTAAAAAAAGACAGACAAATAACGAGAAGAATTTTATTCTTTACTGTTCAATTTTTCGTGCTTGTCTTGGATCTATAATTGAATTCGAACGCAATATTGTTGAAGTTGATGGCATATAAGATGTAGATATATTCAATGGATTTGTTCTATTAGTAGTAGTAAGACGTTGAGCATTAGCTGTTATCAATCGTGATTGTTGTTGAGATGTTGTTGACATTGATGATGTTCTCCCACCAGCAGGTGTTGAAGGTTGTTGTTGCTGTTGTTGTTGTCGAGGATATTGTTGGTAGACTTGTTGGCGAAGTTCAGCTACTTCTTGCCGTAAATGGTAAACATCATCTTTAATAACGCGTTGCATCTGAATTTGTGCAGATAATTTAGCTATAGATTCAGCCAATGTTACTATTGAAGATTCTACTCTGGTAAAACGTTGATTAATCTCTCTGAATAAATATATCATTAGTCAAAAAAGAAAAGAATTTCATGAAGTTCTTTACTTCATATCAGGATTCGAATGAGGCATCGACATAACAGGCATTACTTTTCGAAAACGATGTTTTCGTCCATTACGTTCAACTTGTGAAGAAGTACTTGATTTAATACTACTTCTCACAGATTCAATATCAACATCAAGTAATTTTAATAAATCATTATACATTATCTGAAGATCTAACAATAACAATAATAATAGAGAGAGAAGAAAAATATTGTCTATTGCGACAAACCAGTTAGTTGTTTTCTTATTTGCCCGACTTCTTTCGAACTTAAACTTGAACTATATCGAGTTATATTTGGTGTTGATGTACGAATATTTGGATGTTTACGTAGTTTGGTATCGCTAAATTCACTAGTTAAATCAGACCATGCATCACTACCGAGATCACTCTGTAGGTTACCATGACGACGTGTCATGTCTATTTTATCGAAAAAAGAAAAAAACAGATTGATTTGCTATTGAACCAGTAAAAGTTTTTGTCTATGGTTCAATACAAAGTATATGTGTGTGTATTGTCACTTTTAACTTACCATCTTCTTTACCCTGACTTTCCGTTGCAATTGTTTCAGAATCAGAATCATCTTCATAGTTTTTGAGTCGAGCTGGTGGTCGAGTATTTTGTGCATTCTTTCGAGTAACTAATGCTGCTGCACTTGCTTTGGTCGAATATTTATTTCGTTGTTTTTTCCATAGACGATTTGATTCTTTATTAGATGGGGATGGAGGTGGAGGTGGTGTCGATGAATTCTGTGTATTTTTCTTCGTTTCTTTTTGATTGTCATATTGTTTAAGTGTTGATGTACTGTCATTATTATTATTTGTACTTTCAGGTATGAATACTTGTGAACGGATATTCTCTCGGTCTATGTAAGCTTCACTAAGTGGATTCTTTATTGTTGATGGAAGAATAGCAGTTGCTGCTGAATTTGGCCTGGATGCTGATGATGCCGATCGTTGTTGACGATGAACAATAATAGTTGGTTGAACATCAAGAATTTGTTGAGATTTTGATGAAGATGATGTTCGTTTCATTGTATTTGTTGGTTCAACTTGAATATGATGATTGAATATGCCGTTTTGAATAGATTCATGAACATATGGTAATTGATCAGTATTTTGTTGTACAGAACTTTGAATTTGTGGATTTACACTTACTTCTGGTAATGCTCGTTGACTATCAGCACTTGGTGCACGTGGAGCTGATGATTGTTTACGAGAAGTTATTTTCGTTATTGTCTGTTGATTTAATTCATTTTTGCCTGCCTAATAAATAAAAACACAATAGACTATATTCCTTAAAAAATCATATAAATCTCAGCTTTTATTTTTCGTTACTCTTAGTTTTTCTTGATGTTCATCCAATGTAACATTATCGAAATTGAATCCATCTAACTGATGTAAACCTATATCAACACTTTTTGCTGGAGCACGTAACGGTGTTGATATTCGAGTGTTTGCATTATCATTAAATTTTGTTTCACTTTTTATTGTTGCTGATTGTGGTAGAACAAGTGAACCAGTTCCAGTTCCCGTTGAAAGTCGACTATGTGATGTACTATTAGGCAATATATTGGTTCCAAAGGAACTAGTTGGTCGTCTTGTAATAAGCTCAGCCGGTAGTGGACCTTTTGTACTTCCAGGTAATTGATAAAAATAATTTGATGATGATGGCGTTGTTGTTGTTGTACCAGTGTTCTGATGTGTTGTTACACGAGCCGTTATTGGTCGAGTCGATGATGGTCCAACATAAATTGACGTGGAACGAATATTTGTTGAACCAGTATTTGACGGTTCTGGCCGTAATTTATTTAATGTTTTTGTCAAGGCCACATTTACATTTTGTATAGTTGCTTCTGCTTGAGAACGAGTAAACCCATTTGTCTAAACAAAGATAAATATTCATATAACTTAAAAGGTCATGTCTGAATAAATCACTTGAGAAGATGAACGCCGACGATCGTCTCTGAAATGATAATTTACGTTTAAAAAAAGAAGCGTGGAAGAAAGTAAGCTAAGGAAACTCTTTATTTACATTCGTTGATCGGCGGTTGAATGTGTAGTAAGAAATTCTTTGACAGATTTAAGCGGTCGTTGATGAATTTGTGGTTGTGTACGATTTGGAGGCTACATAGAAATTAGATCAATATTGAATATTTATGAATAATAACTATTATTCTATTTTTGTTATTTACAGAATGTGAACGTGAATAATGATCATCGTTTCTAATACCAAAGGATGTTATTGGTGTACTATCAGTAAACACACTTTGATATCTTTTAGGTAATGAGCCACTTGAGCCTGAGTTTGATGATACGTGTTGAACATTTAACGATGCTTCAGGTCTTCGATTTTCTTTTTCCTTAAAAAAGAAATAAAAAGATTGAGCTCAATATTTTCTTCCTTGTATTGCAACCGAGAATAAATACTTCTAATTTATTTTTCTTTTATTCTGACTTTTAGATAACAAATACTTGATCAGACCAATTTTATGTTCGTCAGATATATTTCTGTACATGTTTGTAACAAGCACTGCGATATGAAACTTCGTGACAGAAAAAAAAGTTCACTCTTAATGAAACTTTTTTTAATTAAAATTCTTTTAGTTTTTGTATACCTTATATTTTCGAAAGTCAATAGTTATTGGCTTAGCTGTATGTGTTGTACTGGCCATTAATTCGAATCGATGTTATATCGGAGAAAAAATGTGATCATTATTTTCTTTTTGATCAGTAATAATTGTAAAAAGTAATAGCAGCAGTACTTCGACAGCATGGCAGGTAATAAAACAAATAAAAAAGTTTGTTTGAGAGAGTTGAAAGAGAGTACGAGAGAGATTGTCTCTTGAAAAATACAAGTAGTATGTCAATGAGCGAAAAAGAATGAAGAATGAGCTAACGAATTTGTTTATTTCCTTATGTATTGCAAGAGTATGATTTATTTTATCGTCATCGACATTTGAAAAAAAAAAAAGAAAGGACAAAGCAAAAAGAAAAAGATACTGTATTGGAATTCAAAATGAATGTTTCTTTTTATTCGTTTGACTTCAGAATTCTTTTTTGACTTTCAAAAAAAAAATAGAAAGTCGTATAAAAGAAACGAATTATTGAAATATTTATTATTATGTTAAACTTGTCATTTTTTTAGGTTTCAATTTTGATTATTAGTTTCTTTTTTGCGATAACAAAATAATATTAGTTTGACTTAAATTAACATTGGCGATCTATTTGAAACTGATTGATAGAAAACAAATGTTGTAAACATAGAAATCACAGATTTGCTTTTATTTATTTCTTGGATATGAAAAACTGCCTTGCCAAGCCTTTTACTTTTAGGAATATCTTCATAAATAGTAGCTATTTTATGAATTAAACAAGGCGTTATTGATATGAAATTTAATTTTTTTGTTTTAGCTTCTACCTTCGAATGTTCGCTTTATTTTAACATCCACACTCTCGTTAGCTGCTATTGGTATTACAGGCTTTACAATTGGTTTTGCTCTTAGAAAAATTGCAAAAAACTTTTCATCAAGAATCTTTCTTGTTTTTAATAAATAATTTTTATTGATGTTCGATATGTTCATTTGAAAACAAAAGATCGTGACTCATTCTACGTCTGATACGTGAAATCGAAATGGCATCATCAGTTATCGTGTTTACAAATGCTTTCACATTTATTCCAGCAAATGAAAAGATCAATGCTGGATTGATGGATACAACTGAACTACCAATAAGTGATGTTACCAATCGTTCAGAACAACAATCTTTACCTGTATCGAATGTTGATACTGTAAAACAGAAAAATAAAAAGATGAAATTTCAACTAGAACAAGCAGAATCTTTCAAAAAGAAACATCAGTCATCAATGAAAAACTCTTTTAAAAGTTTCATTTTGAAAAAAAAGATATTTTTTCTCTTTTTTAAACAACTGGATCAATGAATCTTTTTTTTTCTTCAAGTACGAATGCATATAACTAAAGTCTGATATTACGATTGATTTAGTCACATAATTGTATTAGTCTTTATTCTTTGTTTCTGATCCAATGATACTATCTTCACGATCATAAATTGGTCGTCTACTGGATTTCGTACGATAATTTTCATTAAATACTCCTCGTGCCCATGTTAATGTTTCATTGCAAACTCTCATAGCCCAATGTGCTTTTCGTGGTTGTACAAGCCAATCAGGATCATTGATCAGTAAATCAAGAACTTGTGCAGCACTATACCAATCAACAAGAAGTCGACCATGAATTGGTAATTCTTTTTGACGTGAACGTATATGTGATATAAGAGAATTTAATGTTGGAAATTTTCTTGTACCTTTTGTCATAACTTCAACAATAGATTCAATAGAACGTAAAATCATTAATAATGCTGTTTTTGTAATTGATGTTGCTAATGCTACTTGTGATATATCATTTTTATTAAGTTCAAGCATATGATTAAATGTACGTTTTAAATCGAGAAATTTTTCACTTAAATTATCCAAATTAAAATTGCCAGTTTTAGCAAATAAAAGAGCATTTTCAAATGATTTCACATGAGCAACATGAGTTAAAGATGTATGTCGATCATCTGATAATGGAATATCAAATGCATATTGTCGTAGTTGTTCATTCTTCTGAACTTCTGTATTGTGTCTAAGTTGTTCAGCAAGTGCTAATACATGAGACCAACGACTACGTACAAAATGATCTGACTGATTATGATTAGAAGTTGAATCTTCACTTGATGTTTCTAATGAATCACTCATTTTATTTTTTCTAAAAAGAAATAAGATAAATTTACAACCTAACAAAAGAACCCTTTTCTTTCTTTCCTTTTTTTTAAATATTCAAGGGCCAACATTTGTTCGTAAACACTCAGTATAAATATCTAGAGGAATAATGTCATAGTCGTTAAATATATATTTTTTTCTTTTCTTTCCAGAAACTATTCATCATTATATTGAAGAACGAGCTTGTCGCTTCCCTGTAGTCGATGCATCGATCTACTTATTTTCCTCTTTTTTCTCCTCTTCAGCCACTGAGCTAAGAAGACGAAAAATACTAATAATAACAAAACGCTATTCTCGTCACTCACTACTGCCAAACACATCGATCCTTTCTGGTATTTCTTTTTTTTTCTTTGCATTCTTTCACGATAAGTGATGGCATTGACAGTGATAAGTTGAGCCTTGGACTGTGAACCAAAATTCATTCAACGAAGAAATATTTGTTGTTCTAATATATCTCACTATGTAGTAAAACCGTTAAATGGTGTTTTCAAGAGAATAAGACAAATCAGCTAACTCTTAATATAATTCAATTTATCGTCATGCCAAGATCTTCGTTTGATTGGTTATCTATTTATATGAAGTTTTCATAAAATAGTCGAAAAATAGACAATAGGTTTGTTGATTAAAACAATGAACGAATAGAATAAAGTTGACGATGATATAGGGGGCAGCCTTAACGATATCAGTTCGTGTAATTGAATTTTGGATACGTCCATTCTTCTAATCTTACTGATTTAATTATATTTATTAAAAGCGTTTTCGTATAAGAATACGTCTTAAGAAATGTAAAAGTAATTAATTCAATTATGTTTCTCTTTAATGTTGAGAGCATTGATGAAAAAATTCGAGATTCTTGATGTTCTTATCGAATATATTAACTAATTCGGCACATTAAATCAACAAAATTCATTTTTTATTCAATAAATTATTTACATATCGTGAATCAAACATTTGACATTTTTACTACGTTTATATCATCGAAACTTTGATTAGTGATAAGTGATCATATATTAATAAAGTAATAGTCCATGATTTACTACTATCATGCAGTATTCGTGCAGAGAAAACGTAAAGTACTATGATATTCATCAATCCTGTTTATAATAGTATGAAATAAAAATTTCTCGCATTGAATTATGAATAAAGCATTATTATTGTTGATAATGATAAAATAAAATAAAATAAAATACATAAGAAGTGAAAAGGAAAGATACAAAAACAACTCAATTTTATCTTTGTCGTTTTTATTGTCAGTTAATAAAATTAATTTTTCTCATTGCTAACAAAACAGAATTCTAATGGTAAAAACACAACCATCTCGAGTATTGAAACATAAACTGTCTTTTTTTTACACATAATAGAACAAGAAAACTGACTGTTAGCTTTCGATAATGACAATCAATTAATAGATAGCAAGCAGTTTTTCAATCAACAAAGAAACAAAAACCCGAGATTTTATATTTTCTTGCCATTAACAACATAAGTTTCTGATAACTTGTATTGTTGCTCACAAAATTCATCAACATATTTTGTTAAACAATAAAAATAGATCATCTCAATAATTGTCTTTGAGAACACTTTGACCGAAGATAACTCTTCATATAAATTTTCTAAGTAGAAAATTTTTCTCATAAATACATTGTTGAACTCATTAAAAGTCTCATTCTCATTCATAATGTTACAATTTCAGCTAGAGTAATGATTATTGTATGTCAACTGTTGATTGCATGTCTCCATAAAGAGTTTCAAATTATGGAGTCTTCTTTTCATTCTAATTCCACAACAATAGACTTAGCTGTATGCTGATAAAAGACAACCAATACAGACTGGTACAAAGCTAAAATAAGCTACTGATAGTCTCTCGTTGAGGCTTGTATTTACACTCTACTGTATTTTCTGTTTATTCAACGACACATTTCAGAGTATAATCTTCATTTGTGTTTAATTTCTAATATTAAAAGTTTAATGAAGGAAACAAAACTTCCAATGCTTAATTTTATATTTAGGCTATCAAAGAAACAATTTTTTTTCTTAAAGAATGACTAAACAAAATGAAAATGAAGTAATCAGATGGAAATGATTTTTTTGTTTACAAAGGAAATTGTTTTACAATTTTATCAAAAGAACGATACGAAACTGAGCTTGTATTATATTGACTATTGAAAATTCAATTGATTTTTCTTCAAAGCTTGTCATCGATGCACTTGTATTCTAAAGCAGACGTCATTCAAATGTTAGTTTTAAAGAATACTAAAATTGATGTGTTTTAGAGCGATTGATTTGAGTTAAAAACATAGGCAATCTTTAGGTCTTGTTTAATTATTTACTATCAAAAATATTAAAAACGCTATAATGGAGCAGAAAAATAAGCAAGTATGTATAAAGATTGAATTTTAGACTGATGCTAATTTCGATTGAATCGACAGAAACGTAACAAAAAAAGATATGTGTGGTTAAAATATCGTATTATTTTTAAGTAATCTGAATAACAGTTGTTTATTAATTTTATTTTGTACTCCCTTTGCTTGAATAAAAGAAAACAGTTTATGTTTTATTAAATATCTAAATCAAAAACATTACATTCAATGGGTTATCAAGCTATATTTTTCGAAATATTTTTCTTTCTACGTGAGAACTCACGTATTTATCGTTCGAATCCATTGAAATTGTGTCACTTTTTCTGAAACAGCTGTTTAAGTATAACTGATTCGTGTAGTTAAAAGATAGTTAGTTTTCATTGAATGGTAAGGCAGATTATTCTTCATTGATTTGCATAGACATTTACCCTTGACTGTTTCACTCTGAGTACGACAAATTTAATCCTTAATAGAAGAATAATCAATCTGTTTCTTTTGACATCATAAGATATTCCATCGTAATCATCTGACATTTCTCTTATTTATAACTTTTTCAGAGTTTTCGTATGAACAACTACTATGCACGTTCTTTAACTAGATGTCAGTATTTATTTTTTAAACCAATCGAAAACTTGTATTTTTCTTCGATTGTTCTGTTTTGTTCTTTTTCTCATAGTTATTTGATTGATGAAGAACGGTCCTTTTTTTTAGTTTTCTCCGATTGAGCTTGAGAGCATTGCATTTTTATAAGATTATTATCAAACAACTCATTCGATCAATCGTTTGTTTCTTTCCTTTTACTAATAGCAGTAGATGTTTAAATATACGTTGACGATCTGTGCAATTTAAAAATTTGTTTCTGTTGCATTTACCTGCCATGCGTTAGAGAACGAAAATGCACATCGAACACTCATTTATCTTTGATTGCTTAGCATGCTGAACTGAGAAAACAAATGTCAAAATATAGTAGTTCTTCTTTTCTATCGTTGATGTGTACGCTGTGCATGTACTCTACTCAACTTGGTTAGCCTCCGGGGTTTTCTTTTGCTTTCATCACTCGTTCATATCATGCATTTTTCTCTCATTTTTTTGTTTCGTCGTCTTCGTCGTCGTCGTCGTCGTCTATCTATCGTGGTATATATGAGCATGTAAACATCGAGTGTCTTTTGCGACAAAAAAAGAGAAGAAAAGGAGTAAGCGAGAGGAAAAATTATTCCAGAGAAGAAGGAAGGGGCGGAAGAAGTTAAACAGAATGACCTGGGAAAGTCCAAATGAAAAGAAAACAACGATTAATATCAAGTGCTTGATGAGTATGCATGAAAACGACAATAAATTTGTTAGTTCAACGCATTTATCTTCTATTTACTATTTCGTAGAAATGAATAGATGCATTTTTAGATCATTTTTTCAACTATTTATCAAAAATAAATAGTATTAGTCTCCATCAAAATAAAATTGTTAGTTAATATAAAAACGAAAGGAATACTCTTTTGGTTATGCTCTATTCTTCTTATCTCAGCAAAGTTGCGCATGTCTGGGAAAATAAGGTATTAAAAACAAAGAAATGGTTTCCAACTGATGATCAGTGTTTAAGGACATTCGTTGTTCTTTTTGTCCTGGTGCATATATATTGGTCGATAAGATTCATTGAGATCGATGCATTTATGCATGGTTATTGCCGCAATCATAACATTTTTTTACATAAAACATTCATCATTGTATACATTAAATACACTAAAAAGAAAACGTATTTTCTTTACATGGTGATCCTTACAGACTATCCTTTGTCATACTTGTGAATATTTCATGTTGTTAATCATTTGTATCTGATCAATGAGTTTCAATTGAAGAAGATTCGCATCTAATCGATTACGAATACTCATCGTTGTTCCTTCATATATATTTCTCTAGTTCATTATTTGCGATGTCTTTTCCGAAACTATATTATTTGAAATGGTTTCTTCGTCAAACTTTTCTGAAAATAGTTCGCTGTTTTTTTCATTATTTACATTGGCAAGATGGTCATGTAGATTTGCTCTTGATGAATTCAACTGCAATAGAATTATTCGAATGTAAAACTGACTACAACAGTCAGTATGATGAAGGTGACTTGTGTTCTAGTAAAACTCATGTTTTTTCTTTTTCTTCTGTTCTCTTTGCTGTGGAATGATGCGATGGCAGTAACTAATTCCCTACTCTCTCTCTACTCTGTCTCTGTCACTCTTTCGTATTTTCTTCTGTCAGAGAGCATCGTTTTCCAGCGCAACAAGAGAAAAAGAAAGAAGAAAAATCGCCGAGAATCTGGTTTATGCTTCTGAAAACTTGCGCGTGCAACTATGTTGAACGCATTTTGTTTTTCCTATTCTTATGCGATCTGTTGTTTCAACCACATCAAATGATACGTTCAAAAAATCTCGATAGGAGCTGATGAAAAACAACAAATAAATCAACGATAACTTTGTCTAATTTTTCTTGCTATTTATCAACTTTTTAATAAAAATAATGGTAAGTTTATTCTATCCAGTACTTGTGAAATTACGAACGAAAATAGATGTATCAATATATGTTGTTTTATTATCATTAGTGTTGATTCTTTCTTCGTTTCACGTCATCTAATTTAATTGTTCTCCAGAGAAACTTTCATAGAAGAAATTTGAATTAGTCATATGAACAGAAGTAGTTTTGATAACAAATCTATGATTCAGTTTCCATGAGATTGATCTCATCATTGAACGGGATACATACAAAAAATTGATGCATTTGTTTGTAAGTACCAAGATAGACTATGGCTACTTTTAATTGAACGAGAGCTTTCATGTATATGAATATATAGTATACGCTTTCAAGATTCTTTTCTTCAAATTATTATACTTTTTTCATTTGTTATAGAGAAAATATCAGCTCTATATATCTGTATATGATAAATAAACTACTGTTATCATTAATGACAATAAATTTGACCTATATATTTGTATTAACAAGATTCGATAATATTTAACAATGAAGATTCCAAATAATGTTGCATGATTCGAGTGATGAAGACGAGGGTGGCGGAATTCATGTTGGGCAACAACAACTGGTACATTCTATTTTCGATAACTAAACTAAAATAAATGTTCTTTTCTTGTTCATAAAAGATATCTTCAAATCGTCCAGCAATTCCAATAAATCGGCCAACAATAAATCACGAAAGTATTCATGGTAAAACTGTTTCACCATTATTGTCTCCAAAAAGTGAACATTCATCATCGAATCATTATTGTTCTCCTCCTCAAAGTAGTCTATATGCATCACCGACATCAACACATCGTACATTACCGAAAATTCCAACAAATTCCAATACGAATTCTTCATCATTATCATTACGTTCATCAACAAATACAAATGTTTTTTGTGACACTCATCAACAATTAATGGTTATTCAAACAGATTCAACTAGTATGAAAAGTGATGATTCATCAAATTTTTCTGATGGAAATTTACATCCATTTCAAAAACAAAACTCAATACGTACTCAAGATATTAAAATACGTTCTCAACAACATAATTCATCAATTAACAATACGAATAAATCCTTAATAAATTCATCAACTGTTTCAACTACATCCAATGCAGTTATACCAACAATAGATCGTGTACCATCACCATCAACATCATTAATAAGTGATCATGAACGGGAGGAAAATGAACGTCTTGAACGTGAATTGGAATTGAAACGTAAACGTCTACAAATTTATGTGTTTATTTGCCGTTGTGTTGCATGTCCGTTTAATTCGAAACAATCGTCAGATATGGCAAGAAAACATTTAAAAATAACTCTTGCTCAATACAACGTTATCAAAGAAAGGTTTCTGGCATTTCTAAATGGCAAAACTCACATCGAAGCTGATGAAGGTAATATTAAGAAATTTCTTTTCTTTCTTTATTTATTCTTAAAATAGCTTTTACGAATGCTGTTCGTTCGTATTATGAAGTATTTCTTAAAAGTGAACGTGTTGCTAAAATAGTTCAATCGGGCGGTTCTTGTTCAGATGATTTCCGTGATGTTTTTCGTATCAATATTGAAAAACGCGTGCGAAGTTTACCTGATATTGATTCACTTAAAATAAGCAAAGATACAGTGCTTACATTATGGATGTCTAAATTTGATGCAATTTATCGTGGTCAAGATCAAGATCAAGATAATTTAAATAGTCGCGTGTCAAAATCAAATTATATGTCGACATCAGCTGAGTTAATTATGACCAAAGAACAATTATATGATATGTTTCAAAATATATTATCGATTAAAAAATTTGAACATCAGTAAGTTAAATAGAATCATAGGGAAGTCTAAAAACAAATCGAATATGTGTGCTTTCGTTTTAAATTTATTTTAGAATGATTTTTAATAGTGCTCAAGTAAGAAACAAATATTTCGTTCAATTTATAGCAAAGAAATTATTGTGATTCATTTTTGTTTTATAAATTTAGCTTGACAATAATGATGAACAAGCTGCAACAATTCGACGTGAACTTGATGGTCGAATGAAACAAGCTGAATCGTTACAACGAGTAAAATAAAATAAAAATCGGACCAGTCTCTATTCAATAAATTGATTTATTTATTTCTTAGCAACGTGGTTTAATGCCAAAATTTGTGCATAAAGAAATGGATTCATTGTATGTTGATGAATTGAAAAAAAATGTTAATGATTTAATGATCAATCTTGAAAGTTTACCTGTACGTGGTGGATCAGAACAAAAATTATTAAGATCAAAACGTGCTGCTAATCATAATCGCCATACAAGTACTGGTGGAAATTCATCTGGTTTATATTCATCAAATAAATCTTTATATAATGATACAAATTTAGAAGATATTGAACCTGGTTTATCAAAATTAGCATTTGTTTTGAATTTTAATGTTAACATAACGTGTAAAGAAGTTCGAGGTTTAAAATCGATTCCAACAAATCGTATTGTTTATTGTACGATGGAAGTTGAAAGTGGTGAAAAATATCGAACTGAACATGCTGAAGCTGGAAAGCCAGTATGGGAATCTTTGGCGGAATTTCCCACAAATCAAATTTTACCAATTATTAAGGTTAAACTTTTTATGGAAAATCCAGGAATACTTAGTTTAGATGATAATAAACTTGGAAAATTATCCTTACAGATAGATCCAACATTTAATAAAACTAATTGGTGGGTTGACATGATTAAAACGAAAAATACATCAACAGATGAATTGAAAGTTAAATTAGATGTAAGAATGGAAAAACCACAAAATCTTAAAATGTGTGGGTATGTTGTTTTCATGAAAAGGATAATGAATGAAATTAAATTCATTCGATTTTCTTTTCTAAGATGGTGCTATGCTCGTGGTAAAAATGTCTGGAAAACATGGAAACGAAGATATTATGCACTTGTTCAGGTAGAAATATTTTTATAAATGGAATAACATATTAAATCTTTGATATCTTGAGTATTTTCATTCAAACTTATCGGTAGAAAGAAAAACGAGTCATTTCAATCGATTCAGTCTGTTTACCCATGAGAACCGAAGGATTGGTTGACATAGCAGAAAATTTGTTTTTCTATTCTCAAGTGTTTACTAGTCAAATTATTTATACGAAAATCAAACAGTCACCAAGGTCATAAAATAATAAATTGATTTAGTTTGAATCATTATTGCCAGATAGCATTAATGAACCAATTCATTTCATTTCGATAGATGACAATCATTGCAAATCTATCAAGAAACATTCAAATCAATGATTGCTTGATTAAAATCAAACTACACATATAGATTCAGAAATTCAACTAAAAATAAATTGAGATTTTCATTCAAGAAGAATAATGGATAAACTAATAATTTCTGTTGTTTTAGGTCTCTCAATATTGTTTTGCTACGTGTAGTTATCGAGAAAAGAAATCAGAACCAACTGAAATGATGCCACTTGAAGGATATACAGTCGATTATGCTGAACCAGATAATGGTAAAACAATATTATTTCAAATAGTGAAGTTTATCTTTAGATTTTCAGGTTTAATTATGCATGATGCAAAATATTTTTTCAAAGCTGTTCGCGAAGGTGATGTTGTTACATTTGCAACAAACGAAGAAAATGAAAGACATAGTTGGGTACAAGCTTTATATAGAGCTACAGGTCAAGCACATAAACCAACACCACCAATAACGGCAACAACAAAGTCTTCTCAAGGAACTACAACATCAGGACAAAAAGATCAAATAGGTACCTATTAGTACATTCTCATAATTGTATCTCTAGATACGAGGACTACCAATAGAATTACAAGAAAATAATTTGGGATTTTTATTTTGTTTTATAATTCTCGTCGGATGCGTTTTCTCAATGAAAAATTTTATTATAAAAAATGACATGTTGTTATTTTCTATATTAAGATGGAGATCGATCGAAGATACTTGGATTTGATGAATATATCCAAAGTGATCCATGCAAATTTGATCATCATGATTTATTTAAAGCGCTACAAGCAGCAACATTAGATTTTCGACTTGGTGATCCATATTGTTCTTTGGCAAGTAGAATAAAATATTTATTGATTTATAGATTTATTGATTTGTTTATTAGGGTTGGTTAAGTCCAGGACAGAGCTATGTACTAGAAGGTAATCTTTCAAATGAAATCGAATAAATGTGCAATAAAGCAAAGTTTGATTTTTGAAGAATATTGTTCTCGATATGGTGTTCGTGGTTGTTTAAGACATCTTTATTATTTAAATGATTTACTTGATCGAGCTGAACAAACATTTATGATTGATCCTCAATTACTTCATTATAGTTATGTATTTTGTGCTTCACATGTCTCAGGAAATCGGTTCGTAGATTTAAAATTATTAGATTAATTATCTAAGCGAAATATTTTAATTTATCTTCTAGGCCCGATAGTAGTGTATCAACAATTACAATGGAAGAAAAAGATCGTTTTTATGAAATAAAACAACGATTAAAAACTTTTCTTGAACATCAAGTCACAAATTTCAGGTAAAATATTTTTCAAATCATTCTGCATATCTTTAAAATTTGACTAATATTGCCTAAGTATGTGATAGAAAATTTGATAAGAGCAAATTAGTTATTGTAATTCTAACGAATGAGCTTCCTATTTATTCTATTTTATTTTTGATAAGATTTGCATTTCCATTTGGTCGACCTGATGGTGCATTAAAAGCAACACTAAGTTTACTTGAACGTGTTCTTGCTAAAGATTTATCTACACCAATATCTCGTGATGATATTAGGTATTTTATTCGGAAATGTCTTGAAAATGCTGCTTATACTAATTATACACGTGTATCTGATCAAGCAAAGATTGAAGGTAAATTTATATTTATTTAGTCGTATAAGAAGTAACAAAAAACGAATTCTTAATCGCTCTATTGCGACTAACTATTTTAATATTTTATTTCTTTATTATACATCCAACTTCATAGATTTGTGATCCTTTCATTGGTTTATTGTCTATTTTCAGGAGAACGAGAGATTCCTCAACAAACTGATAATGGTAAGTATTGTCTTTCTTAAAAAAAACTACTTCGGTCACTTCTTATGTGAGATAAGCACAACTAGATTAATTATTGTAAAACAATATCAATACTATTGATAGTTAATCTATTTAAAAAAAAGAAAAGAAAAAGCTGCATGTAATTGATTTGTGATCAATATGTGCCTGTCTATTAACATATCTTTATAATTTAAAACAAATAAATCGGATTTATTTTGTTTAGAAATCGTTTATAATAATGATGATTCGCCAAGAAAGAAAATCGATGATCTAATACATTTAGCTGAATTATGTATCGAATTATTACAACAAGATTGTGAACATTATCAAGAGGCATTTAAACAATACAATGATTTACTAATTGAACATGAAGAAATTTTTTGGTCCTTATTTGCTGTTGATATGGAACATGTTATAGATCAACAACCGATTGAAAGTTGGGATTCGTTTCCATTGTTTCAATTGTTAAATGATTATCTTCGTCTACATGGTATTTCATTCAATTTTTCTTTCTTTTTCATCGAAAATATTTCTTTAGATACATTATCAAATGGTCGATTTCATCAACAGTTACGTGATACATTTGCTCCATTAGTTATTCGATATGTTGATCTAATGGAATCATGTATAGCACAATCGATTCATAAAGGTTTTGAAAAGGAAAATTGGAAATCAAAAACGTAGGGATCTTGGTTTTTAAAGAATTAATTTAATCATTCATCTCGTTGATTTCTTAGTCGAGGATGTGCAACTAGTGAAGATATGCTATGGAAATTGGATGCTTTACAATGTTTCATACGTGATTTACATTGGGTATATAACATCATTTTCTGTGTTAGATTAAAAAATTATTGTGCTCTTCTAGCCGGATGCGATGTTTGGTGAACACTTAGAAAAAAGACTTAAACAAATGGCATCAGATATGATTGAAGCTTGTGGCAAAAGGTATCATAGATTTATTGTATAACTTGAGAATAAATGAACACTCTGTGAGTCTGTTCAGATTATTGAACATCATGATTAAAAAAGAAATCGTCATGTACTTATTTACAGCGTTTTGATCAAAAACGAAATGCATTGCATTTCATTTGATTGGAATAGGTCACGTGTTTAACGCGTTTTTAATGTTAAGTTAGTAATATTCATGAGATTGCTTTTATTGTACTTTTAACAATATCACTCGTTTCAATCGAAGTTAATTCTAATTTTCATGATGTTTGTATTCGTGTTATTTCAGAAGTGATATTAATAATTTGGAGAACAAAATTTATCTTTGAGAGAAAAAAAGCAATGAATAATTTAATAAATGTTTAGAGTATGGCGTCATTTTGAAATATGGATTAAAAAAGGTGGTTTAATTGGTGGTACGAGTTCCGATTATTTATTACCATCTGAGTGTTGTGTTATGGTTAATGTTATACTTGATTGCAAAGTTCAAGTAAAAAAGTTCTTGCCTGTTTTTAAGTAAATTCTAATTTTTCAAATTATTTTTAGGCTTTAAAATTATGTGCTTTGCATAGTGGCGATCTTCATCAATATCACACACGTATTGATGAATATTTGGAAAGAATCTTAGGTGATATGTCAAAATCGTTGATTCAAAAATTAGTTAGTGTACTTGATTCTGTATTAAAAAAATTATCACGTTATGATGAAGGATCATTTTTTGCTCAAATACTTTCGTTAACAGTAAATAAATATAATTTTATTCAAATTTTCTCTTAAATGCTTTTTTGATGTGAATAAATAGAAACCAATTAATGAAGATGGACAAGCCTATGTATCATGTGTTAATGCTAATTTAGAACAATTACGTCAAAGAATAAGTGATGAAATATTTACATTAAATATTTTTGAAGTAAAAACTTTAATTTAATCTTTTGAATTTAAAAATATAATTTTAATTATTCAGGAATGGTATCGACAGCAAACTCATTTTATTTTTATGTGGTTGGGTGAACGAACTGAAATAAGTCTTCATCCATATCAATTAGCTTGTCTACTGTTAATTCTTAAAGTAAATTTGATTTATTAAAAATCACATTTTATTTTTCAATCATTTCTTTATTCGTTTCAGAAAACTCATGGAAGCTTTGAATTACAAGGTGTTCAGGATAAAGATCTGAATTCACAGCCACATTCAAGTATCATGCAAAGATTACACGTAAGAGATTTAGAAATTTATTCGTTTTTCTCTATACTACGATGTTATCTGATAAGAATGATTATTTTCCTCTCAATATTTTATTATAAAAATCTTAGCTTTCCTTCTCAAACTATCTTTTAAAAAGTTAGAATCAAAGAGAAGAAACGATCACAAGGTGATTAGTATTTTGTTTTTTTGAAGGCTAGTTAGATAATAACATTTCACATCGAAAAGTAAAATAAAAGGATTTCCTATGAGTTAAACTTTGCATATCTGAAGTAAATTATGAACAACAAAACGATATGAATTTTACGGAAATTCTAGATTATTTCAAAGAGCAAATATTCAGAATAGTAAGCTCAATTTCAACTAATTGAGCACTGTTCAGTTGTTCTATTCTTCAGAAAAAATGACATTTACCCATCGACGACTTCATATTGTTACAAATTTTAGAATATACAATAAAATATAGTATTAGAGAAAACCTTCGACAATATGAACGTATTAATTATTCTACTTAACTAATATAAAAATGATGGCTGTTGCTCTGTAGAACATACAATATTCACACCCTCTATAAACAGGTTTTTGATTTTTTTAAGAGTATACAAAACATAAATGCTTCTTAATCACAATTCGGTGTAATGTTACTAAATTAAATGAATATTTTTTCATATGTCTAGAGTCAGTCAAAGGTTTGAACATATGAGATATTCTTTCTTTTGTTTGAAAAAAAATATTTCTTTGTTGGATCTTATTATCTCATATTTTATTTTTGATTTTCATAAATCAATAATACAAAGTGCCATTTTTAGAATGATACTGTTAATCATTATTCTCTATTAGAAAATATGATAATTTAATTTTGAACAATATTCAATGTGGAACAACGATAAAAGAATATTTGAGTTAATTTTGATTGTTTTTCTTTTTAGTTTGAAGAAACAGCAAATGCCGTCAAATAAAACGTAATCGTTTCTTGGAAACTGTTAGGTCAATATCCTGTTTTGTTTTCTTCGTAATAAAATGGATCATCAATTCTTGTGTTTATTTTTCATACTTCCATGTGTTATCTTTTTCTTCATCCGGTGGATCTTTTAATCATTTTTTGTCCAAAATCTGATTAAAATATAGACCTTAATTTCAATCTAAAACTAGTCGAATGTCAATATTGAAAATTTTGTGCAATTACCTTCGTATGTCGATGTTTTTTTTTTGGGTGAAGTGATCCAATCTATATAGTTTGTCTTCGAAAACATTAACTAACATAACATTTTGTTTTTTTTCTTTTACGTCTGTGTACCTTCTCAATTTGTCTTCTTCAAACAAATCTGTTATCATATGTATTCCATGACCTTTAATTTAAAGTGTTTTTTTTTCTAAACTAAGGAAAAAGATAAGTATTGCCTATGCAAAATAAAATTCAACGCAAATATTTTCCTCGTTTTTATATTTCTTTCTTTGTCTAGCTGTACAAAAAACGATAACTACGCGTTAAACAATTTTAACAAGCATGACAACAATTCATTTTTTAATTAATGTCATATTTCTTAGTTGCTTTTATATACAATTTTACTAGAGACGAAATAAGGTTGCGTTGACAGTGGAATAAATCAATAACAAATCCAAACAATGCGGTCGACAAACGTTAAAAGGCAATCATTCATTGAATCTTTAAGTAATTCAATTTTCTTCATGGAATACAATGTACAGAATTTGATTTTAGGGATTAAAAACACAGTGCAAAGCTCAGAAAAGGATAGAAATGGATTTTATGAGAATTTTGTTAATCTTGTTTTATTGGAAAGAACCTTTGCATCGACTAAGAAAATTAAACCGATCTGAGCATAAAGGCCCTCAGGTATTTGATCTATTTTTAGTATCTATGTGTTATTTATGATGCACAGAGATGTTTATCGATGCAAAACTTATCTCTCTCAGTGTCTAAGAAATATCTTATGAAGCTATCAAAAGTTAGATAAAACAAACAAGTCAATAATATCTCAGCCTTATTGAATACATGAAATTCTATGTGAAAGATTGAGAAAAAGAATCACATTTTAAATAATTATACTAAGCCGATCGAATGTTTTTTCTTATTTTATAGTTCATTTAAAAATGTTTTATAGGGCAAATACACAACATATTTACTGATTAATTAGTAAATGAATTCCTTTTATCGTAGCATTAAGTTAAGAAAACTTCGTGTTGCTGTGCAAAATAGTAGCCATAAAAAGAAACAAGACAAACTATAGTATCATTCGTTTTATCGAACTGAAAACTCGAGTCATCTATCGTTTCATTGTTTGTTTCACGTCTGTTTTATAAGCTCATTAGTTGTCAAAGTAACTGTTTATATAATGGTGAAACGGCATTTTATTCTTTATTACTGTCTTGATCACACCTACGCGATAATCGATACCACCTATGACTATAATTATTCATTTTCATTGAGGTTATTTGTATTTTTTGTGTTTTTGATAATTTCTACTTTTTATAATATCATATGAATATAGTTTAGGGTCTGTCAATGCATAAATCCTATCAACCAACAATTCCAGCTTCAAACCGATATTTGAAGAAAAAATGGGATGATAAATATTATTCGGAACATCGTATTTTGGTAATTGTATCGATAGATTTCCAAAATAATATATCGAAGAATCTTTTCAGATACGCGATGCTCGGCCAAGTGTTGATACACGTCCTCCACCAACTTATATGCATCTTCATATGAAACTTAAAAAAATTCAGGTATTCATATTACATATACTAATACGTATGGTTTTTATGTATGTGTAAATAATTTTGATTTGATTCAGTTGGAAGAAGAACGCATGGCAACAATTGAACGTGATAATCGTATTTTATTAGAAAAAATGACGCATACTATGCGAACAACTGGTTGTGTTAACAACCGTAATGACTATGAATCAAAAAGGTAACAGTAAAGAAAATAGAATAGTTGGGATAGAAATTTCAATCATTTATTAGTCTCAATCAAGAAAAACGTCGACGAGAATTATTACGAGTTTCCAAAGAAAATGAAACGATGATAAAAAGAATTATGGCTCGAAAAAATGATACGGATGGAGAAAATTGGAAAAATAGTTGGTCAAAAAATACCTCCTATTTAGATAACATTGCTAAATATAATCCTGATTGGTATCTTTCAAAAGTAATAATTCTTTTTTATTCGATAATAATCACTACGAAAGAAAACTTCAGTCACTCCTATTACTAATAACGATCATCACGGATGAGAAATATAATCTTTGCTTCTCTTGTGACAACACGAAGAAACAAAATAGATTTCGAGTAATCATCCGATTTTTTTGTCTGAGAACATCTAAATATGAGAAGAGAAATGTAAAATTCATGTTTAAGCCATGTTGACTTAAAATTGTGCATTGTAACAAGAATAGATATTAACACAAATAAGTTTTGCTTTTTTCAAATTTTATGCGAGAATCAAACTCATCTTATCATTTACTTCATCAAAAATTTTCTCTTTCTTATTCAAAGTCGTCTTTTTCTATGTTTGGTTCTACTTTTGTCGCTTTGAGATTTTCGTTGCTTTTTTAATAGAATCTCCTTTTCTACATTTGCCATCAAAGCTTTTGTGGCATAAAAACAAATAACGAAATATTTGAAAAAGTATCAAATTGACAGAGCAGTTTTTCTGGAATGGAGCCTCTTCTACAAAAAACTACTGGTCTTTTATTAGATTTCATATCGCATACCTACGAACAGATTTCGATTCAAAATATTTAGTTTTTATTTTATTTTAGCCAAATAGTCGCCAAATGAATGATGAAAAACCCTCATTAAAACGTTCTCAAAGTGTTCCGCGAGAAGATAAAAAGGATGTGACAACCGTTTTTAACACAAATGAAGCAAAAACAAAAAACATTGAAAATAATCCAACACAATAATAATTAAATATTTCCTATCACGTTGAACGTTTATTCACATACTTATTGTATGGTTAACTTTTTTCAAAAGCACACAACAAACATAGATGTGTCTTGTGATAAGAGAAATTATATGTATTTCATTTTGATCTCTACGTTTCATTTATTTTTCCTTTTTCTTCATTGAAAACATTCCATATTATTATTTTATGAAATAAATTTATTCCTAAAATATGTAACTTAATACTATCATATTATACATTACAGAAGTTTAAAAGCAGCGTTATAGCAATATGATATGGATTAATAAAATCATAACGCTCAAAAACATATCGTTTCATCCAAAAAACTCTCTGTACTGAGCGACATCTAAAAACCGGAAGAAAATATATCGAATGATGATCTAAGTTTAATATGCAAATAAATACTCACAAGAACATTTTAAAAAATATATTTATCTTTCAACTCTTTTTTGAACTCTTTTTACATATCCATACATTTGCATAATTTCAATAGGTGTCACTTCAAATACATGAAAAGAATTTTGTTTTGTTGTTCTCATCATTATTATTTATTTGTATCATTTGTGACATGAACCATTGTAAACAGAACTCCTAGTTCAGCCGATTCTATTCGATTTGTTTTGTTTTCATTTCAGATAGTTATATAAATCTTATTAAAAAAGTAACCGAAGAATGAATTCATCATCAGAACCGCAAGCCTATGGTGCGGGTCGGGTTGGGTCTGCTTTTGATCCTATTGGTTTTATTAGAAAACCTCAAGTTATTTTAAGAGTTGTTGCTTGGGTTTGTTTTTAGTTTTATCGAATATTTTTCATTTAATAAATCATTGTTTTCTTTTTAATAGGTTTTTGCTATCATTGTTTTTGCATGTATTGCTCAAGACGGTTATATGAATGATGTTTGTCGTTATAATGATTCAAATGCTTGTGGTTATGGCATTGGGCTTGGTGTTATTGCATTTCTTTTAACAATTGCATTCATGGGTCTTGATGTTTATTTTCCAAATATATCCAATGTTAAAACTCGTAAAACCATTGTAACGGTAGAATTAGCAACATCAGGTGAGCTGACAATTTTCTTACGAATAGTTTTTCATCTTATTCTTATCAGGTATTTTGGTTTTCTTATGGTTCATTGGCTTCTGCTATATGACTGATCAATGGCGAAAAGAACCTGATAAGAATAAAAACGAATGGAATGGTCGTAATAGTGTTCAAGCAGCCATCGCATTTGCTTTCTTCTCAATTTTCGTTTGGGTAACTAAATTTGAATTCATATTTATACATGTTACCATTTTATTTTTTTCTAGGTTGGTTTAACTTTTTTTGCATTTCAACGTTATCGTGAAGGTATCCTAAATTTATTCAGTTCAAACTATGAAGATCCTTCAACAGGTAGCACACAGACATATGGTGGGTATCCTCCGTCTGGTGGTGCAGGTAGTTTCTCTCAATCACCATTCACTGCTAACCAACAAATGCAAACAAATTATCAGCCACCAACATACTAAATGAATTCCTTATTCGTATGAATGATCCTTTTCTTTTCTTGTCTTTTTTATGTATTTATTTGTGTTATCGTATGCATTTTACATAGATATACTTTTAGTCTCTGCTGCTAGTCTCATATTTATTTTTCTCTCTTCAATATAATCTCTTCTTTTCAATGCAATACAAAGCCGAAAGTATTTACCTGGTTCAATCTGCAATGAACAAAAACACTCGGCATTTGTCAGATGAGCGCTAGAATGAAAAACTAATAAACAGAATTTTTCCTTAATTTCCTTTTTTTTCTCTCTATATTGTCTTACCTTTTCAATGTTGTTTTTTATTAGTTAGAAAGAAAAACTGTCCTTCCGTTTCTGTATGTATTACTTTTGTTTCCTCATTTAAGTGTTGTTTGTTCGTTGTGTATTTTGAAAAACAAATAATAATACAAAATATTTCTTTTGAATTCTTTTATTGCTTGAAGAATATGTGTATGGTTCTTGAAGTTTGACAATCAAATAAGAGTTTGGCTTAATTCTTTTTACAAGTAAACTCAAGATGAAAGAATACCATGAAATAAAAATATACGAGTCGCACCCTATTTCAAAGTTTCTTTTTTTTTCAATTGATTGCTACGAGATTTTTGCAACAAATGATGTTTTAATAGGCATGTAATAGGAGCTCCTAGTATCACCGATTTACTTTGAATCCCATCAAACTACAGCCTGTTTCTTTAATTATCTTTCAATATCAAAATCAATGATCTGTATTTAAAAATAATAATGATAATTTTATTTATTTGAAAAGTTCAATGTAAGTTATCTATGATTAGATTTTGTGATTCTTTATTCTGTTTTCTGGAGTAATCCATAGAGATTATTTTAGTAAATACCGATACTTTAACTAGGCACTCGTATTGAATCTTTGAAGGCACTTCCGAAACTATAATTGATTTAATATTTTCATCAAAGATTTCAACAAAAATATTTAACTTTTCAATATACTTAAAAACCCATGTGACTTTATAAAACTTCGCCAAATTGGTAAATCATTTTTATCGTTTTGTTCGCGGGTCATTATTGCAAAAACATTCGGTCTTTCTTATTTTAGATTTACTATTTTAATGTATTTTATTTATTTACTTCTTTTTCCATTTCTTATACATAAACATTGGTAAAAGTTCACTTGAAGAAAATCTTCTTAACACTAATCGCATGACTATCTACAGTTTATTTTATATTTTATACACGATACTTTTTATACAGCAGTTTACTTCTCATAGAAACACATGAATGATATTTTGTCTAATGGATAATTTTCTATAATATTTTAAACTTCGCTGTTTGAGATTTACATCAGAATATCGGCTTGTTAGCGATCATCTCATTTAATTACTTGAGAAAGTTTTCAATAGGAATATAAAAGAATTCTGTGTTTAATTTCCTGATCATCTATTTTATCCAGTCAATAAATTCAAACCTAATTCTGATAAATTTTCTATACAGCGATATTTCTATTTCTAGACACTATCTAGATAGTAGAAAATTTAATATTGACTGATAAATATCTATCGACTATTCGCAACCGAGTACAGATCACACGTGCATATCGGATTGGAAAAACATTTTTGTAACAGTATTAAATTAACAACAATGAACCTATACATGATGTAAAGATGATTATTTTATATTTATTTCAGAATATTTTTCAACTGTTTTTGCCGTTGAAAACTATAGTCTACAATAATAATTACGTAAAAAGGTTTCATAAATAATCAACAATTTCTCTTTGATCGTATTAATGCAAAAAGCAAATATCATTAATATTTACAAATGAAAATGTCGTATTTTCATTAGCATTTTTCTTTTGACAATAAAGACACTCTTCTTTTTATTAGTTGTTTTGTTTTTATTACTGTTATAAATCATATTGTCTAATTTTGTGATAGAATTCTGTTTCATAGAAAAAAAAAGAAAATTTTAAAGGTGAAAGAACACAAAAAGAAGTATATATCACCTTCAGTTCTTTTTTACTATTGAAAAGACACTCGACAGCCACACAAAACCAAAACATCGAAATGAAATGAAATTATATTTTCTATTTTTTTTCAGATGGTCGACGATAATATCGAAGACGCATCATTGCATCCATTTTTTGTTCGCACAGAATGTAAGTTTTCCTTCATTTCATTAATTCCATGTTGCTTTATGATGATTATAAATAAATAAATATATATATAATAGTTCCGTTTGTATTTATTCCAACAACATCAACAACAAGTTTCAATTTTGTCAATAGTGATACTCAGGATTTTATCAGTGAAGATCAAACGACAACTGAATGTCTGAACGAAAAAGAAACTACTGATGATGAGGCTGATCATAAAGAACAATTTGATGATAATACCGATGAAGAAAATGGTCTTCGAATTAGTCAACCAAAATATAGCGAATTATTAAAAAATCTGGATTTTAGTGAAACAAGAATGGTGAAAAATAAAATAAATTAATAAATACGTTTAGTTTCTTTTTTTTTTTATTAAGGTTGATGTAACAAATCTTTTATCGGACAATGTTGAAAATGGTTTAACACAAGATAATAACGAAAATCAAAAGAAAAAGGATGAATCTATTGATCAGCATTTATCATTAAATATTGATGATAATAATGGTCAAACAAAAGACAATGAAAATTCTAAAAATGCTAATGATGATATTCAAAATGAATTAAATCATTTAGCAGCTATTATTGAACAAGCAACAAAACCACCGACTAATGTATTTGATGATAAACAAAAAAATTATTATCTAGACGAAGATGATGATACAAGTAAACAAGCTACACACAATTATGACCTCAATGATAACGAAAACGAGGCTAGTATATGATTTTATTGATGCTCATGACTGATTTAGGATTCTAGAGAACCGAATAACTATTTTAGAATCTTCGATCTTTCCATGAGCGCTGCTATCTCAGTTGCGACACAGTAAAAGAAAAACACTGAGTTAGAGTTTAACTTACAAAGACTATTATCTTACAACAAACTCGTATTCAAATATTCATAAAAGAAAAAAAAACAGAGGAGTTTTGATTCGACAAACAATTTTAAAGTCTTTTTCAAGAATATAATTATAGTATTGTTCATCTCGATACGAAAAAATCTTAATTTATTATATTTATCAATTAAGGGCATAGGATCATCATTAAAATCAAAGAAGAATTCTTGTTTTACTGCTCAAAATGCGAACCATAACCGAGATGATAATTTATCATCGATTCCACGTTTAAATGCGAGTATAAATAATCATCCAGAAACTCAAGATCAATCAGTAGAACATGCTACGAATCGGAATAATTTAATCAACGGAACAGATGAATTTGTTCAACCAGCCAAAATTGAAATACATACAACGCCTATTAAAGAAAAACCACTATTACCGGCTGAAGAAAAATTAAAACAAAAAACAACTCGCTCATCGCAACGAAGAAGTCAATGGCAAGCATCTCATTTATCAAGATCGTCGTCTTCAAATTCTGATAGTCCATTTGTATTGAATCGATCAAATGAAAAAGAAACTTCAGCATCTCATGAACAAGAACAGACATGTACAACAGCAAGCGATATTTTACTTCAACGTTTATCAAATCAACAAACAGATCGAACAAGTGCAAATAGAAAAATATCTCATCGTTATCAAAAAACATTAAGATCTGATCCAATCGAATATGAGAATAATATTCAATCAACAAAAAATGTTAAATAAAATAAAGTCTTTTTCATTACTGACTTGTTTCTCTCGATAGGATAATTGGTTGTCTACACTTGACAAACTTGAACAAGAACATAAAAAACGTCTAGAACAGCAACAAAAACAATATGAAGATTATATGCATAACCTTGAAGAAAATATGAAACGACGTTTTGACCAATACTTAGTATCAACTGATAGGTTCAATCGAATCCAATCCAATCCAATCCAATTATGAATTAATTTCTTTTTATTTAGTTTGCAAGAATCAAAATCAGATACATTCAAGGGATCAACATATTCACGTTATGCAAATAGTTCATTTACGATTGATTCAAACTCTAGACGGCTTAGAACTTATTCAAGTAGTAATCAATATCGACCATTGGCAGATCAACTTGTAAATCGTCAATCTGTAGAAAGAAATCTATCGAAATCACAATCGAGAGAAGATATTTCAAAGTGAGTTTTACCGTCAGTGGAAATCAAGTTGACATTGCTGAATTACGAAAACGTGCACACTGAGTAATTGAAGCAAGTCAAATAATGCCCAATGAGAGTGAACATGCTATTTTCCTTTGTAAGCTTTAAAAAAACACTAGGCGAACGAGAAATTTCTCCAGCAACAGGGTCAATCAGAATGAGTTTCTAACGGATTCAGTTTTCAAGGATATCTAAAATATCTAAAATATCAAAAACAACAGAAGACCTATGAAATAATTGCTTGTAATGCTTCTATTCTGTGTTACAGTATACATCGGTAGATCTAAAAACAAATGAGTTAATCTTTAAGCTTAATTCAAATTAGTAAAAAACAACCTATATTCAATAAAGTAAGTAAATGTATGAACTATTCTTCATTCTGAGATTGAACCATTCTTCACTTTTCTTTCTTCATTTTCTTTTAGTTTAAGAGCAGAACTTTCCGCAAAGCATGCTAAACATATATCGGATTTGAAATTATATTATGAACATGAAATAGATGAACTTAAAAGTCAGCTGAATGTATCTAAAATGAGGTATATAAAATTATTATTTCGTTTCAACGAATAAAAAAATCAAGAGAAAAAGATTTTCATGAATTTTAGCCATACAAGTAGTACTAGTACTCGTCAGTCGATGGAGACAATCGAACGAATTAACAATGAAAATATTCGTTTACATGATGAAATGAAAGAACTACATCGTTCATTTGTTTGTTTAAAAATATTATTTATTTTAAAACTTAAAAATGGTTTTCTCTAGAAAATTAATCAAGAAGAAAATCATTCTCTTGAACGGCAATTAGAAGAATTACACGATGAGATAAATAATAAAGATGTTGAAATGAAAAATTATCATCGAAAAACAACTGCACTTGAAGAACAATTAAAAGAAGCACAAAACGTTTGTAGATTCTCCTGCCTTTTTTTCTAATTTTTATCCGTTGATTAATTAAGATAAAAGAAAGACATGATGAAAATCGTCATCATATTGATCGACAAACATCATTCTATCGAGAAGAAAATGAAAATACTTTACGTGATCTTAATCTTACGCGCGTATGAAACAAGTTTTTTTTCTAGTTAAAATATTCTTTTGTTAATTAAATTAATAAATTAGGAACGTCTTATTTGTCTTGAAGAACGTTATCGTGAACTAGAAAATGAACATAAAATATTGTGTCAGCAAACATTGAAAAATGAAAATAGTAATCAACGGTATGAAATTTATTTAGTTTATTTCTATATTTTTTTTCTTTCTATAAATTAGTATAAATGATGATCATGACTTAAGTTCAACAATGTCTTTGAATATGCCAACTTCAAGAGAATATGGAAGATTTACATTAATGAAATCAAGAAATGAAAATATAGATTCAGGCAGATATATATCAAAGGGTAACGGAATAAATGATTGTGTTTTGTCGCATTATATCGTTGATCTATGTAGATTCAAATCATTTATATCATCATGATAATTATCCTGAAACTTTAAATAAAATTAATGATAATATGAATGAAGAATCTTTTTATAAGCAAATTTTTAAACCATCATCAAGTAGAGAAAAAACAGCAATTTATAATTTTATTTTGAGTTTCTTTTAGAACCTCTTCAGTCTCCTAGAAAATCATCATCAAACCAACATCATTGTATTGATCAAATGCCAGTCACAGTAAATATTTTATTAAAATTAAAAAAAGAAGTTTACTTCAAAACTGTATTTGTGTTTTTTCTAAGGATTTCGTCAACGATCAAATAAGACAAAGTGAACAATTAGAAACAAGATTTGATGAATTATTGAAGAAAAAAAGTGATTTAGAATCTCGTATTAATCGCATTCCAATTCGAGGCTTAACAAGTAGTGATAGACAATTAGTCGATGTTCTTGAACGAGAAATTGAACGTGTTGAACAACAATTATCAAGTGTTAAACTTGAACTCCGGAAAATGAATATTTTACCAGCATATTAATTTTGAATAGATTCCATCTTATGCCAATGCATTTCAGTGTCTGCGATCTATGTAGATTTTTTCTTTATTTTGCTAATGAATTAGTGAATTCACACGTGCACTTTCTGTTTTTTTATGTTGTTGTTCTCAAATACATTAGCAATTACATTACTATAGTAAAATTCTTGGTGGTCTTTGATTGGCCATAAAATGAATTTATAAGCTTTTCGGTAGATATCACTAACTAGCTTTTTTACTTACTTCGCTAAATACATAAATGACTTGAATAAAATTCGAATACCTATTCGAGGAGGTTGATTTAAAGTAATCATCTTGTGCAATGTTGAAATAGTGTGAATCAAGACTTATGCACTCTACGACTCCAGATTCCGAAGTTCAGCATCGTCAAAAACAGTAACTAATTATATAAATCATAAGAACAAGTAAAAATAGAACGAGCTGCTTCTTAACTGGGAAGTCTTTTTATTATTGAATCGCTTGTATGTACTTACGTAAGAGATATCGCTAGTACTGGTGTCGTAGCTGATTTTTATCAACTTGTACAAGTTAATACTGACGTCAAATTCTTTATTTAACCAGTCTAGTCCAAATATTTTTCTATAGAATAATTAATCAAAATAATTTGTCAGAAAATTTATTTACGCTATAAATTTCACCTATTCAAATAATTGTATTTAGCCGATTAAGATTAAAATCTATTTAAAAATTTGATTAAATATAACATTTTCATTAACCAAAAGAAACTTCATTCGCTGATGAATCGCTGTTCTAATTCGAGATTATGTGTATCCATAGGCGGCAGACCCATTAGGCTTGGGAAGGCTCAAGCCTCCCCTAAAAAACGGAGAGGAACGCTTAGGGAGGCTTATTTAATTTGAAAAAAAGTTCTAGATCTCATCTTTAATGTAGAAACGATTGGCAAAATTTCGATCAATTGTTCTTTAATACTTAGTCTATTGCTCATGAAAATTAACAGAATGATAAAAAAACCTGCTAAAAAAAGACACATACGACACAGAACCTTGATGAGCGACAAGTATCGCACGCATTTTTAAAATGTATGCTAGGGTGATCAGTAGAAAATGTTTTTTTGGTTATATTTAGTGTTTTTTATCTTTGTTTTTGTTTGCTCTACTCTCCTGAAATTTGTTTTAGGATTTTTGCGTTCTTATTGATCATTTTCTGAAACATAAATATTACAGTAATATTTTTCATTATTTTACAAGTTTTGAGAAAAGTAGAATCATAAGTAAATTATCAACAGACCACCTATTAGTACCAAATTACTTTTGTTTTTAATTTCACATCTCATCATCTGGAAAAAAAATGAGCTTCCCCTAGATTGAAATCGTTCCGCCGCCGTTGTGTGTATCAAATACTTAGATTCTAAAGGACTACTAATAATCAGAAAAGAATTTTAGCGTTTAAAACATCGTGGCAGGCATTTTTCGGTTTAATGATATTGCTGATACGTTGATAACACGTTCTCTCATCATAGACACGGAGTTAAGAAAGTTAATTTGTGCCTAAAAATTTTCTCTTTTTTTTCTATATATAATTAGTAATATGTTAATTGAAATTGAACATTGGTCTGGTGCTGGAAATCGTTTTGTTATAGTAGACAATAGACAAATATCAATAAATAGTCAGTGGAATATTCTAGTCAACAGTCTGTGTAAACGAAAAAATCTACCAGATGCTGAGGGTCTCCTTGTTTTACTTGAAATAAATAAAAATAATTCAACTTGTAAGTATGACTTCTATAATCCTGATGGTTCAACAGGAATAATGTGTGGAAATGGAGCTCGATGTGCTGTTCGACATGCAAATTTAGCAGATAATGTTCATTTACATGACATTGAATTAATATTAAATGGCTGTTCATATAGAGCAAAACTTTTTGATAATGATCGTGTTGCTTTAGAATTACCTTTATACGAAGAATTACGTTTTATTGATTCTTGGATATATGTTAATGTTGGAAGTCATCATATAGTTATAGATGCTCGTTCTATAATTCAATCAATTGATGAATTCCGTCAATTTGATATCATCAAATTTGCAAATGAGAATTTAAATTCTTATCGGGAAAAGACTAAAATTCCTAATTTAAATTTAAATCTTGCGTATCTCGATGATATTGATCAATCTATGATTTATTTACGAACATATGAAAATGGTGTTTATGATGAAACACAAGCATGTGGAACAGGTGCTGTTAGTACCGCTGTTGGCTTTTGGAAAAAAAATATTATTAAAAATACAATTATTCATTTGATGCCAAAAAGTCAACGATTATTAACTGTTCATTTAAAGCTTGATCATAACCAAGAAAGCATTTTAGAAATGATTTTAGAAGGTGATGCGAGACAAGATGCACCTGTAACTCAATTTGATATTAAATCAATGAAATATCAATAAGAGCATAGATTTTTAAAAAAGCACATAAATTTTTATTTTTCCCCGATAGACTTCCATTGACATCAAAATAGTTGATTTCTCTTTATTAATTTTTTTTAAATAAAATTCATCTAATTAAAATATTTGATTATCTAATTCTATCAGAATGATCCAATTTATACTATGATTATTATTTGCAACATTGGTTCTTATGAAATAGTCATCTTAGTAAAGAATAAATTGTTTCTTTGTCGAATTTTAATCCAAGAAGATCATCCACGAGAATTATATTTAAAACATACTATCAGTCGTGATGAAGATACTTATTTACCATAAAGGTTAACGAAGCGTTCGCTTTGTATTTCCAATTAATCGTGTGTCTCTATCTTGTTGCGCTGAAAATTGATTAGAAATATATCGAACGGTCTTTTTACTTTGAAGCAGGATTTATTATTATAATCTCTTCTAACAATAGACAAGCGTTATGGAAATAGATTTTCTTTGAATAGAGATCAAAACAATTCCATCATTCCTCGAAGCCAATACTTCCATGCTGCTGAAAGTACTTATGATAAATTTTGATCTTCTACTGGTCTGTTAATAGATAACTGATTAATTGTAATCATTTCAATTTTCTTTCGGCTCGCAATTCTGCTCGAATAAAATTACACAAGAAGTTTTTTTTCTCGATCTTAACAAATTTAGTTAACTTCTTCGTTCATCACAACTAAATCTTTGATGAATAGAAATATATACAAATAGAGAGATGAACTATTTGAATTCATTACAATCAACAATAGTCACTGTTTTTGTTGTTGTACCACTTTTTGTTCCAGCATCTTCTATTTTTTTAAGTAGTTCAAAACCTTCAATAATTTCTCCGAATACGACCTAAGAATAAAAGTTTACAAAAAATTAACTTAAATGAAAACAAATGCATACATGTTTATTATCTAGCCAATCACATTTAACGAAAGTTATAAAAAATTGTGATCCATTGGTATTTGAACCTGAATTAGCCATTGATAATTGACCAGCATGCGTATGTTTTACATTAAAATTTTCATCCTAAATAAAAGATGATAAAGAAAACGAAACAAAGAATTTTTGTTATACTTTAAATGTTCTTCCATAGATAGATTTTCCACCAGTTCCATTCCCTTTGGTCATGTCTCCACCTTGTGCCATAAATTCTTTAATGATTCTATGAAATGAAGTATGTCGATAACCGAAACCTTTTTCATGTGTACATAAACAACGAAAATTTTCTGCTGTTAATGGTACAATATCAGCAAATAATGTTATTATTAATCTTCCAGCTCGACTTCCATTAATTTCAATGTCGAAATAGACACGTGGGTTTGATGCTGCTTTAATTCTTTTTGATAAAGGTCTACTTGTATCAAAATCGATTTCATCAATATCATCATCTTTTGTCAAAGTTTTTATTGTTTTCGTATTATTATGATTATCATTGTTGTTGTTGTCTGTTAATGTTGATGACGTTTCATTTTCTGTTGAATTCATTGCATTTGATAACCATTGATCTTCTGACCAAACTGGTTTTGAACTTGTTTCTTTTAAACGTACCGGCTTAGCTAGATTAACACGTATTGCTCGACCAAATAATTCTGAATCATTCATATTATCAATTGCTGTCGCAGCATCGTCCGCTGTTTCGTATTCGACAAAAGCAAAACCACGATGTTTTTGAGTTTCAAAATCAATTGGTAATTGAATTTCAAATATATCACCTTAATCAATAGAAAAAAAGCGAATCATAATTTATTGAATTCAAAAAATGATTTTCTTACCAAATGGAATAAAAGCAGCATGTAAAGTTTTTTCATCAACTTCCTCAGCTAAACCACCAACATACAGAGTTCGTTTAGGATTTGTCATCTATAAAGCATTAAAACTAGATGTGTTTTTTTATTGAAACAAAAAGAGCGAGTCTGTATATTTATAAGATTACTCTCAAGCACAAAGAAAACTCTACACTATCTACATGACAACTAGAAAATAGAAACGATCTGAATATTAATTTAATCGTCTTTTTTTTCTTGAAAATTCGTTTGATTTTTCTTCACGCCATGTACAAATATCTTTATAATCACACCATTGACATTTATAAGCATCTTCAATATCGACACCTTGAGGTTGACGTTTAGAAAGCCAATAGGGTTCACTTTTAATAAGTAATTCTTCAAGATGGCGTTCATCACGTTCAAATTCCTTTCGATGTTTCCATGTTTTATCAGATTGAAGAATATATTCAATTGCACCATCTAAAATAATTTATTTTATAATGAAATTAATTCGTATTTAAATAATTGCTCAACTTTCATGTTTATTAGTAATTCATTATACAACACGACCAGTTAGACTCAACTACATCAATGACCACAATTTTGTCTGATATAATACTTGACTATTGTTAAAACCTTGGAATTGTCTATATGAATAGGTATAACTCGATAGTTTTTATTAAATTTGTTGGACTATTGAAACTGTATAAAGTTAAAAATTTGATCGCGATCTTTCAACGACACTGAATCAACATTATGTTGCATAGAGTTGACAAATAATAAATCAACTTACTTGTTGTAATCGTTGGCATTTGAAAAGATAATTTAACTAATAAATCAAAAGCATTTTCAAGTGTTTCAACATTTGTAAAACCGCGTTGATTATATTCATTCTTGACAGAATCAGATAACAACATAGTTGATTCGAGATTAAAACGTTGAAAATAAAGTGATTTATCAACTTGTCCTTGTATAAGTTCATCAAGTAATGTTCTATAGATATTAACTTGAATTTCATGTGTATACGTTTGTTGAGCTTTTGGGGCTGTTCTCGATGCACGTGTTTTAAATTCAACAACTTCCAATTGATTTGTACGTGGATCAAAATTAATTTCATCAATTATACCACGAAAATATAATTTACCACCATACATATTTCCGAAAATCTAAAAAAATCCAATTCATTTTTGTTTTTCTGGTTTAAATATTGATGAATAAGGTTACAGGCATTTCACGTGTAATATAACGTTCATTGGGTTTATTCCATGTTAATAATCCATGTATACCTTGAATCATATTCAATAAACGCACACCATAGGAATCTTCGCGTGTTTTACATTCGATAGTAACTTTTATTTGAATTTCTAATTCTCGTTCTAAATGTAATGATGTTCCACGTAACATATGTGGCTTATCGTCAACACGTTTTATTTCTCCATCATCATTAAGAATAAATGGATAAAGAAATTTATATGTTAATTGTTGTTCACACCAAATTTGTGCAGACAGATCAGAAACTGAAAGAACACCACGACGATATTTAAATAATGGATTGTTTGGTCGATCTTTTTTTTGTTTCTCTTCTTTTAGCAGAATTTCTGGTGGAATATTTTCAAGATTTTCAGCAAACGCAACTAATTCATCGTCGTCAAAATCATCTTCTATTGATGCTGCTAGTTTCTTTTCTACTGGCTGTTGAACTACATTATCGCCAGCTATCAATGTAACTAAAACAGAAGAAACAACAAATTCGTCAACTTAAAAAATAGAATTCATTAATTTCTTCACGAGGATTAACAATATATATATATCGTGTTACAATTATTACAGACTCCAATGATTTTTCTTTTCTTTTTACTATTTCAATCTTTTGAACGTGACCCACTTGTACTTGATACATTCATGACAAAATAAAAACTATTGCTTTGAATCCTATTTAGATATCTCTAGTACAATAAACAATTAAAACTTGTTAATACATTTTGAACAAACATAATCATGTTTTATTGGAAAACATTTCATTGAATAACTTGTCATGTTGGAAGAAGTTCTATCTCAATGGAAGAGACTTCTTCCGCTCTTTAAACACTGCCTATCTTCATATTTTTTAGATTTCTATGAAAATAACAAAATTATTCGACGATCTATCAATACAGAAATGGAACTTTTATAGTGAATTCAAAACGATTTCTGATATGCGTCATATATGCACTCGTTTATATTCCGTTCATTAGATTGTATTGGGATAAGATATGGTCTAGAATGATTCAAGAACATTATGCACTCGCAAAAGTATTCAACTTCAACACAATGTTTTCCTAGCAAAAAACTTCTCGCTCTCACTAATGATTTTATCAATAAACAAAAACAAACAGTGAAACATTACTTGTTAAAGGTTGTTCAACTCCATCAATAACTGGTTTTGAAAATCTAGATGGATCAAGTTCACTTGGTAAAACTGATTCAAATATTAACTGTCGTTCATTCATCTGGTCTACAATTATAAAATATTCATATTTCTCAATATCTAAACTGAAATTTCTTTAATTGATTTTATTTCTTGCTGATTTTCAGCAAATATCCATAAGAACAAGAGCAACACAAAAAGAAAACGAATGAAACAAGAAAACTGCTTGTTTTTCTCTTAGCTGAAGTGAAATAGATGAGAACAAACAAAAAGAAAATCTTTTCTCATTTGACTTTACAATATGCACAACACAAGCAGATATTGAAACAAAACGATTGACAAAAGATACACAATATGAAAGTCATTTAAATGAATTTTTTTATGCTTTTTGTTTTGCTCCCGGCGCAAAACGACCACCAGCACCACGTACACGATTCATAGCATGTCGATGACGAGATTCATGAAGAAATTTACGCTTGAAAAACAAACATAATAAGTCTTAAATTAATAAATATTTATTAAAATACTTTTCGTTCTCGTGGAATTCTTCCTTCAGCTTCAAGTTTTGCTCTTGCAGCACGTCTTTTCAATATACGATTATATTGTTTAGCATTAACGTATAGTGGTTCTTCTTCTGTTGATTCTTGTGTCATCGATGGTTGTTGACTAGGAGTTGTTGAATTAGCTGTTTGCATTTGAACAGTTTGTAATTGACCTGAATTTCCTGGTACCATCTTAAGACAAATTTAATGCATAAATAAAATCGATGGACAATAAGATCTTACCATAATCACGGAACCATTTTGTGTTGATGTTTGCATTTTTGTTGGTGCTGCTAATTGTACAATTTGTTGTCCATTACCAGTAAGTTGCAAAGCACCAGCTGGAATTGTTATTGATTGAGGTTGTTGACTTGATTGAACATTACTTATTTGTAAAACTATTAAATATGTTATTTAGGTATATTTTAATAAAAAATATAATTTCATACTTTGTCCACCAACTTGTACATATTGAGTCGATTGATTTTGTTGTTGATCAGCACTTTGTAAAATAATAAATTGACCATCCGCTGTTTGAAGAATTTGACCTTGTGTTGAATGAGATGTTGGTGATGAACTTGTTTTAAGAACTATCTTCAAAAATTAGTTTACAAAAATTAATATTTCTTCCTATTTTTTCTTATAATTACTTGTTGACCAGAGAGATTTGCTCGTTGATGCATCATATCACTATTATTGAGTACAATTACATTTCCACTATTTGTTGATGTAGAATTTTGTTGAGAAACCTATTTATTTGCGAAAAATCTATTTAAAAAATAAATAAAATGAGCGATTATCTACTTGTAATCCTGTATCCATCGATTAAACGGACTACAAAAAACGAAAAAACTTAAAAACTTTCGTAAACCAAATAATTCAGAATCTCTAATCCGAACTTTGTTTTTACTTACATTGGTTGTAAATGGTCCAACAAGAATAAAATTTTCACTATTGACAAACAAACGACAAAGTAAAGTAAAGGATAGAATATATGAATGAACAACAGTATGATTGGTCGATGTCTTTAATGTGTGGCTGGCTGTTTCGTGCACGTTGTTGCCCGTGTTTATTCTCTTTCTTTCGTTCTATTGTGCACTCGACAGTTTGGTGTGTTGGAGTTAGATGGAAAATCATATCACGAAGGAAAAAAAGATTTTCTTATGCTGTGTATTAGATTCGTTCGACACGACCGACAACGACAATAGCAGTCGGTCAAATGAACATGAATTGTTCGCCCGCGAGTTGACCTTTGTTTTTTGAAAAAAATTTATATCACAATTTATATGTAAGAGAAAGAAAAAGAGTTATTGGGACGAACAATTACAAATGAATGAAAAGAAACTTTGATTATTAACCTTCCAATTTATTGAGAGATTTTTATATGTAGTTGTCACTTCGGATCTAAATGAAGTAGACTAAACACAGTCGAGTACATGAACAACGTTTGAGGTCTTTTCTGTGAAATCTTTTCAACTTGACACGAAGTAGCAATCTAACTAGGACAGATTTGTTTTGTGTTTATATATGTAACAACAACGTTGCTAATTGAAAGCAAAAAGCAAAATTTTATCTTAACATAAATGAAGGCTATGTGTTCATTACGTTCTCCTAATCAACATATATAAAAATCTACTAAAACTAAGTTTTATACCAAGTAGTGTTTGACATAAGAAAATGATAAATATTTGACGATATTATCTATCGATAATGTATGAGAAACAAATGTTTTCTATACGAAGAAATTCGAATATATTCAATGTAGTGTTATTTGATTAATACAATAAATATAATCATCTTGGCATTCTGCTGTAAAAAGAGTATGTGTATCGAACCAAATTGAAATTCAACATGTGAGTTTCTTCTAGTGGCAAATTGCCAATTGTCGATTTAATGAAATATTTTTGATTAAAAGAGTCTTTATGTTGCTCAAGCATCAATTAAAGTTATCGTTCATGTGTCCCAATTAAAACTAGATGGTATTCGAGTTTCACTTGACTACGAAATGCGGTGCGAAGCATACTAACCGAATTTTCGAAAGTAGCGAGAACAAGATTTAAAAAATAAATGATCCACTTTAAGATTCATCACAATTGTTTATTTTTTTTTAAATTTCCGTATACGAATTTTGAATAAAAATTTCGCATTCACTATTCTTAAATCGACCATTTTGAATTTCATCAGTAGGAGATCTTTCTGAACATGTAACAAACAGTTTTCTAACGATTTTTTCATTGAACGATTAATTATTTTCATGAATCATGATTTTGAATCAGATGTAAAGTAATAGACTATCGGTTAACAACTATTGATGATATCATTTTAATTATCGCGAAAGTCTGAAACGATAAATTTCTTTCAAAATCGTCGTTTTTGGAGGATATTTCTGAGCAAACAAAGCATCGTATTAAAATTTTGAAAACAAATATCGAAAGTTCAATATTCATATTTTCACCCATAGTTCGAATAACTTTTTTATGATTTTTGGTTCTCGAGATCATCGCGCAACAGAATGACTATTTTGATGCGTACGCGTCGAGTAAAAAAGAAAACTAGATGGTATCCGAGTTGCACTCGTATACGAAATGCGATGCGAGGTAAGCATACAGATCTTCACGAAAAATCTTCAATTCAGAGAAATCTTGAATGCATTCTATGTCGACATGATGAAATTCAGCACTTAGAAAACTCCATTCTTACTTAGCGATTCATTCTTAAGGGTCGATTTCGTCATTTTGGAACCACATTTGTGAGTGAACGGAGTATCAGATTAAAGAATAGAAAAAATATGTCAGAAGTTCGATCTCGATACTTTCATCTCACGTTTCAATGAGTTTTCTATGATTTTCGGTACTCGAGATCATCGGGTCACAAAATGATGAAAAAGATGTGTATGTCGAGAAAGAAAAAGCAAAAAAAAACTCGCGACGGACTACGTGCATGCTGTGCTTAGCACCGCATTAAAAAAAGTTTTCATTTCTAAATGTAACTTTGGATTCATAGAATTTGTTTAATTTTGCCCAGGAGACCTCATGTAAACAAGTCACTTTACATTCCGTATTAGACACCATTTTGTCTTTGTTCCATGTCCGTCAGATTTTGATTGTTTTTGGGTCATGCGTGATAGATACGCCCAGAAAAATAGCTCCAGTTCATGTTTCGCTAACATTGCCACTATGAAAACGCATTGTTTTAAACTGATCACATTGCGAATGTCCGTGGATTTTTCTATCATTCTGTTTATTGATGGCATTGTTTGCATGTGTTTATCAGCAAAAGCAAATGAAGACATTCTCTCATGTCCAAATTCCTACTGAGTTGATTTTATCGCTGTCGTCAAAATTATTTTTCTAAATGTTTCACCACTTTCGAATTGCTTTTTTTCAGAAAATGACTATAGATTATGGTAGAGTTTAAACTCATCAGCAGTATTTTCGCTGTCTTTGTATTTAATATTTACCTGTCATTCATTGTAATGATGCAGACTTTTGCGTTCTAGTATTCATTTTTTTATCTATAGCTACCAACTGGTACAAAAAGGTTTTGAAAAAACAAAAGTCATTAAATAATATTTTATGAAAAATTTGTAAGATTATTTGTTTAGTTATTTCAGTTAATCATTAATTGGAAAGAGAAAATTTATTTTAAAGATGCATAATTACTCGAATGATCATTTTATAAGCACAGCTGATAATATCAAAATTCTTATTCTAATAATAATTAGATGTACAAATTAAACCTAACTGATGATTCCAACTTATCTCTATATTATTGAACAATTTATTTAAAAGAAAATAGTTCATTGTTTGAAATACTTGATACGTTTCTTCCTATTTCTAACCTAGATCAATGGAGTTGAAATGTATATGATGAAAATACAAGAATGACTTGTCAAATTTTTATCGTGTGGCTTAATGAAATATTACTGATAACAACGATCATTTATTCTGTTTGAATTCAAATTGACTCCGTGCTCGTTATGATTGGTCTGAAAAGAGATAATAGATCTTGAAGTTTCAATAGAATAATCAAAGTTAATGATCATTTATGAATATTTTCGAATAGTCCATTCAAAAAATATTTGTTTTAAATGAGTCTTTGATATTGTTCAAAAGTCGAACCATCCGATCAGATTCATTTATAATTGTAAATAAATATTAAACATTAAGATTATGATTATATTTTCACAGTTCAATAAATGCAAAGGCATATTGATAATTTTAAGAGAAAATATTTTTTCGAAATCTAGTTCGATTTATCTATAAATCAATTCTCTTGTCATAGGTATTATCTGTTTATATAGCATGCAACGTTAACAGTGGTTTCTTTAATAGTATTCAGATTGTAATATTTTATCTTAATTTATTCTATGTTCAAACTCTTTTTTTCTTGGATAAACACTGAAGTTTACCTATTAGCATGTTATATTAATCATCTCTACTTGGTCCATTTAATTATTTATTTATCATTGATTTTCTGTATTCAGTTTAGGGAGACGTGTTCTGATGATGTGGAAAGCATAAACGAGACAAAAATCTCAATTATTATTTTCGATATAAACAATCCAAAATATTGAAAATATTAGATGAATTATCTTCTCTCTTCAGCTACTTTTCTCCGTCCGATTATATATCTCTACATAACACGAAACGAATTCTTTTTCTCCAATGCATAAAACGAGTAGACCTCTCTAAATAAGTTTTTTTAAATTCTGGAATGAGAAAAAAATGAGCTCCGGTAGGTGTAGTTTAATTGTTAACTGACAACTAGGACAGTTAAAAATTGTTCTTGAGAATAGACAATAATAAAAAGTATTTGTTTGCATGCCAATCAAGTAATTTATTTATTCTTGGTATAGTGTTGAGCAAATATACACTTTTTAGTCGTTTATATTTTCTACTTGACTGAAATAAGAACGTTCAGGGTTCAAACACCAATTAATGATAAATATGCATAACAAACAAAATTATTTTAGATTTATACTCGCATTCTTTTCTTAAATCATCAATGAAAATGCTGAAAGCACTTTGCACATTCACAGCTTTACTTGTTCTGCTTTCAATTTTATGTTCAAATAATGTTGAAAGTCGAATTGTTCATGGGGCTAGTATTTGTTTTATGTGACAAATAAGATATTCTATTCTATTTTGTTTTTAGAATTTGAAACATATGCCATTATCTCAAGTTGATTTTCTTCGTTTTGACAAAGGAAAAGGCAATAGTGACTATAGCGATGAAGATCATGATCATGATGGAGAATATATTCATACTAAGCGAAAAAGTGAACTTTTATCATCTCTATATGGCTTACCGTATGCTCTTGTTGGTAAACGAAACACAAAATAAATATTCAATTGAAGAATCGATTATTCATGAAGCAGTGTCATTTTTCCTCTTCTATAGTGCGCATATCTATCAATAATTCGAAAGACTTTCTTGTAAAAACAACTATTTAATAAATGAATTAAACCGACAAGAACGAAATCTATTGTTCTCCTCATTGTCCTATTATTAAGCATAGATATAATCGTATATAAACTATAATGAACCACAAAAATCCCAATGGAAATAATTACCATGATTATTTCAAATAATATCAATAATATCAGCAGTATTATTTTGATAGCCACGATATTGTGAAATGTAAATTTTAAAGAGATCGAATCTCCAAAATAATATGGTGCAACCTGTTCAATTACGATCATCTTGACTATAATAGAAAATAGTTTTTCGTTGATTGCTCTAACAAGTTTACATTTAGATAACCATAAGCTGCTGTAAACAAATACTAGAAACCCAATGATTCTTACTTTGATAATAAATAGTGCTTACGTACATACTACGTCAGTACTAATTTGCATAATTATTAATTAGACTCCCAGCAAATAGCCCTTAGTCTCACATATTTAACAGCATAAAAACCTGTATGATACTTACTTCGTCCATACTAGCATCTTCCCAGACAAATAACATGACGTAGAAACTTTTCCTTGTCTTAACTTGAATTATTGAATATATAACGAGACTACAACGAAATAAAAATGACATACTCAAGCATTAATATCGAAGTTTCGAATCTAATGAGATGAAAATTTATGTCATAGTAAACTGAACTTGATAGTGTTTCACATACTCGCTGATCACTAGTTTTGAGTGTTTGACTACTTCATAACGATAAATTTTCATTTTTTAGAGAAGTAAAATTAATTAGATTGATCTTGTTTATATATATCTACCAGAAAAATAGGAGTAATAATACTTTATAATGATAATAAGGCAGCACGTAAAGTCTGAAGCGACTTAAATAGGGTTAGAAGAGAACCTTTTTGTTTTTTTAAGTTCAAGTACGATAGTTTCCTTCAAATTCGAAGATTTTTCATGAACTTAGTTTAACTTGTCCCCATTTATAGAGATTCTGATTAAGACATTTAGTCGCGTTCGAGCCCTTTCCTCTCCAAATTGAAGATGCTTGTAGGCTGTCTCTAATTTTCGTAGTATTCTGGTTAAAATTTTGTCTGGCTTACGAGTACTTGATATGATGGAACTATTTCATCAATCGCTTGGCAACAAAAACTAGCAGAAGTTAATTATGTTTTTTAAAAGCTCGAGAATTTCGTAGAAAAGCTTGACTTTTTTCTACTAAAATAATTATTCAGTTGATTTTGCCAAGTGATTACTCGCGTTTTATTTCCTCTCTAAATAATTCAAACAGTGAACAAGATTTCAAAACGAATTTCCCACTTTGGCAGAACTTCAATCGTGACTTATACGAATGTGTAATATGGATAAGTTCAAGCAAATAAATGATAAATGAAAACTTTTGAATGAATCTTTTTCTTTGTCATCAACAATTGTGATTTATTCTAAACTATGAAATGTTAGTGAGTTATTACTATGAACATTGTTGTCAATAATTCGATTCTAGTCTATAGTTTTGATTGTTCCTTGAAGAGTGTTGATAGTTTTTGTGCTAGCATTACATTGCCTTTCACTTTGAGTTTGCCTTTAGCAAACAACTACAATAGAAACAAGAGTTAATAATAAAAAAAGTATCGAAAATATTCAATATTTACTGCAGGTGCATTTGCGTTGCCTAAAGCCAATTCAACAAAATCATTATCATCAACGGTAATTGTTACTTGAGCTGTTGTTCCTTCAGTTGGTTTTCCGTCATATATAAATCCTTGTTTACCATCGATAACTTAAGAAAAATTACTTTGATCTAGTTTAATGATGTCATTTAAAAAATACTTACTCCAACTATGTTGAAATTTTCCATCTTTTGTTATGTCAAATTGAATTATAGCACCGATTCTTTTAACAAGAGTTGGTTGTGTGCTAGCACGTTTATTTAGTTCATCAAAAGCCGTTTTTGCTTTTAATTCAAGAGATATTTTTGTTTGATCCTAAATTAAGAACATAAATAGAATAAAACTTAACTTAGTTTATGTACCTCTTTAGACATTTTGCTGGAATAATGAAAGTCTATAGTTTCTATTCAATTGTTGGAACATGTAAATATTACTCTCCATCTCAATTTCTTCTTGTGCATGAATGGTGAAAAAGTAAATATAATAGAGGACGCTGAAGTTCAGAGATTTATTTTTCTTTCAAAAGTGGTAAAGTTTCTGATCAATAATTGTTGAAATTTAATACTAAAATCTTATATGTTCTGATGTTTTCCTACATATTGAAGATTGTTTTCTTCATTAGTATTGTTTTTTTTAATAAAAGAATGAGTCGAAATTGCATCAAATAATTTGGTAGAACTTTTAAAGGAAATATTTTATTATATTTCACAGAACTTCTTGTTCTTGATTGAGATGAAGCTTCTCTCGACTGTTCAATTTTGTCTACAGGAAGGGCATGTTTTGTTACTCATTGTTAAAATACTTATGAAATGACACAAAAAAAGACGATGAAAATGGTCTGTTTTCACTAATGCCAATGTTTTATTTTCTTTAGCTATTCTCTCAAATCTTGTCGGTGTGGGGTCGATTATTTTGTCCCCACGCATACACTCATACCCACACCCCGTTTCAGAACTTCTGGAAACTGTTTATATTCACAGTAGAAAAAGGTGTCATTTTCCAGATAGTGTTCTTGCAACTGACGTATTCTTTAGCAGAAGTCAATTATAAGTACATTATATTATAGTAGTTGAAAGTGTTTTTATTAATCTAGTAAAACTGAAACGCATTTAACAATGAAGTTCTATAGTTTTTCTTTCCAAGATGATCGACGTTTACCAATAAGATTTTTTCTGAGGCGAAATAAGAAAACATACAATTCTATTGAGTACCATACTACAGTGAATACTAATTAACATATACAAAATTTGTACAGAAAAAGAAAGAAAACAAGATTTTTATAAGAATGTTAACGTTGTTCATGTAAATTCAACATGACTTTCCCAAAATGCAATAACAGCTTGTGGATATTTTTTATTGGCAATTTTAGATGGCATCCATAGTGTTTCATGTTGTCCAATTAATCTAATTCTAAATGAAATTCCATCTTTATCATTTCTAACGCCTTCGATTTTTTCAACTGGTTGTTCATCAACATTATTGATTTCCCTTATATCTTGATCATTAGTAATTATAATTGAATTATCCATCGTAGATTTATCATTTGTATTATTATTGTTATCACTATCATTGAGTGTTAATGATATTGATGATGCCGAACTTGGCGTTATACGAAGACGAAGATTTACAGGTGGTTCCTTTGCTGTTTCATTAGAAATATTTTCTTTGAGTGGTGATGTTTTATTTAATAATTCAATACTACTATTATTTATATTATTATTATCATCTCCACTCATTTTTGTTTCATTGTTTTCATTATCATCAATTTTCTTGCCTTCAACTATATCACCATGCATACTTTCACTTTTAGCTACATAGAAAAATGAATTTCTGATTTGTTTCAAATTTCTTATAAGGAAAATGAAAAATGCTTACAAACAGATGTAAGACCAGATTTAGTTGATAATTCAAAATCATTCAAGATAGAAGATGTTGAACTATGATATGTACCATTTTGTTCTGAATCATTTTCATGGTCTTGATTTGAATCGTTCGTATTACTTGTATTCATTGATGTATCTTTATCAACTTGATGATTTTCAGCACTATCATCAAGTTTAGTCTTTTTTGATTTGTACATTTTCTTTTTAGTATTGGTTTCAATTTTTCCATTGTTTTTTTTTTTTGAATTTTCTTCAAATTGCTTTACTAAATCTGGGCAATTGAGATTACCTTTATCTTCCCACTAAAATAAATGAACAAAAATCAAAGAAACTTTAATTTTAAGTTCATATTTAACTCGATTTAATGAACACAAAAAATACTTAAAAGCCTTTAAAAAACAACATACTTTTATGTGAAATTTTAAAATGAAAACACAAAAATAATTTCATGAAATACAATTCGATAAAAAAACTAGCGGTATAGTAAGAAATACTTATTTACGTTCAACAACGAATAGAGAATATTCCAGGCGGTGCAAGTTAGAATCTACTTTAAAATAGGTGTCGTGTAACTTTCTCGTTAAAAGTATCTGTTGAAAAATAAAACTTCGCTTATTCTACGATTAATTTTTTTCACAAATACATTATCTAATTCATTTTTAAATTTTGAAACCGTCGAATAGAATCAAGTCGATTAAGCATTATACTATAACAATCTTAATTATGTAACACAAGCTTCAATAATAAAAAGTACTACATCAACAATTTCTGAAATCATTGAAAAACAATAGAGAACAAAAGTATATTGATTGACTTTTTCTACAAAATATACTTTTTACAAGGGAAAAAGGAAGTCATAATTCCGCTACACATGAACTAACAAAGAAATCAATGATCCAATGAGATGAATACATGTTTGGTAGGATGACATATACGCATAACTGAGGCATAACACTTGCTTGATTAGCACAAACAGTTTCGTGCGATACGAAAGACTGACCCTGTCCTGGAAATTATTCTCATGGGAACCTGAATATTAGCGGGTGGAAATCAAAATAAAAAGAAGACTATTCTATATTCCGTGTTGAGATAGTGCGTAACTAGAATAGTAATATGAAAATGCAATAATATAGCAAAATCGAGATAGGGAAAAATAAGCACTGTCAATATTCATGACAAATATTAAACTTTCAAGTGAAATAATAAATTAATAGAACTTACAGTATTGTCAGCATCAGAATAACCTTTCCATTTAAGAAGATATTGAATTTTTTTTCCTCTTATACGTTTATCAACGATAGCTTCGACTTGAAATTCATTTTCAGATTCTGATTCATCACTACTTGAACTATTCTCACAAGGACGTTTTTTCGATGATGCATTGACCATTTTTGATTTTAGTTATTTCTTTCCGATTAATAATATCTAAAAATGCAATTATGTTTATGTTTCAACAGTCAAAAATTTTCGTTAAACTTAGAAGCAAAAGAAGCATAAGATCGATGGATGAATAGGTCAAACAATGATCTATACGTTTAGTCCAAAGAAAAGACAAAAAAAGTCGAATCCAATGAATAACATTATATTTCATTTTCACGAAACACCACCGAAATATTATATTCATCTTGTACAGATGACGCCAGTAATCATCAGTTGGACATAAAGAAAATTATCATTGTCGCTTTTTCCGAGATCTTTAATCGACTTTATTTCAACAGATAGCTATAAACTTCAAGTACCATGCTAAACTAATTAACATGAGTTTCGCAGCCATTCGACAAACCTATTTTCTCCCAAATCTAACTGGCTTTCTAAAGGGTGTTCTCTAAACAGAGATCCATTTAATGAAAGTATATTTCTTGTCTATCTATTACCCAATGAAATTGTCAAGCCTCATAAATTGAGATTTTAACCAGACTTTGGCGGGATTCAAGACAATTCTTTTCAGTATAAACCCGGCTTGGTAGTCGTACTATATTTCCTATATCTCACGAGGTCCTTCTATAATTTCCTATGATTCGTATATCTGAAAAAAGTTAAGAAATTTTGCTAAAAACTTCTTATTCTACATATGATAGTCGGGATGAACATAGTACGAAAAGTAGATTTTAAAATAAACAGTAGAAATAATGATAGTACTTAAAAAAAAACTAGTTTTCACAATATTTTGAAATCTGAAAACGATTTGATTGGATTTTCTGAAAATCTTACTCTGGCATGCGCACAATTATAGAAAAAATTTAATATGCATTGCTTATTGAAGTTTTATCATGACCTTTTCATGAAATTATTGATAGCTGAAGAACCGATGGAAATGATTATTTCCAAAGTGCATTTTGTTTGTTTCCAATTGAGTGTTCATTGTAGGATTCACAACTTATCTTCTTTATTGTTTCAAGAAAATGCTGCTAATTAAGGATATATTTTCCTTAGAAAATCATGTATAATAAAGCATTTCAAATTTTAACTTTTAAACGAAAGTTAAAGGTCATGTGAGAACATGTGTCAAGTTTGATATCTATTTATACTCATATTTAATGATACGCTTTGTATACTGCAGTAGTCGTCGATAAATGAATTATCCGTTGACATAGATAGACTTCGAACGTTCAACATTTCATATTAATTCGTTATGGATCAATTCATTTCTTTTCTTGTTTTGATATTCACATAATACTTTGTAAACATTAAATATTTCAACAAAAACAAAACAAGATGAAAAACTATCTGCTAGACTAACAATCTTTTTGTTTCATCACTTCAACATTTCACATACAAAACGTACATATGGATGAGAATAAAATGTTCAGCTCGTGATCTTTATATTGAAGAAAATTGGAATAATTTTTATCATATGTTTCAATCAATATTATTGTTCGATCACATAATGAACATGTTTGTGCAGAGTCAAAAGACAATGGTAGAAGTGTTCGACAACATCGAGGCCAAATATGTTTATTAGAACACGTAGAAAATAAAAGATCATCTGCTAGTATTGTTAATGAAGTATTACACATTGGGCACATAAATAAAGTAGACGAATATATTTGTTGATCATTAGAACAAATTGTATAAATTAATAATTCGAATGGTGTAAGTTTATTCATCATTTTAGAAAACAATGAATTTAAAATAGTCCAGAATTGATAACGATAGATTTTTAATAGTTGATTTTCATATATTTCTAGTTGTTTCGTATTATTTAATAACGAACACAAACGACATACTCGTTGAAGAAAAACTAAATTTTGATTTGTCTGCTTTTTTATTTGATAATTCTGATTTGTGTTATGTGTTATTTCATTTAAAAGAATAGCAACTTCATCAAATGAACGCCACAATGGAATATCGATTCTTTCTAGAAAATTTTCAATAATATTTTCCATTGATTTCACAGTATTTGATAACCAACGATGTAATGTGCATAGAACAAAACCAAATTTAACATTAGGTGCAACAATTGGAGAATAGAAAATGCGTGCAAGAAGTAATTCATTCGGTGATAAATTAAAATGACGCAGAAGTAATGGTTTACGAGAGCAAGATTTCATTTGTCCACTAGCAACTAATTTCATATCGATTATATTTAAAGGTAATTCACGAGAAATAATAAGACAATGAATTGAACCATCTTCACAACCGATTAAAATTGATATATGATTCATCGATGATGATGATGAATATTGTTCTTCTTGAAAGCCAACAATGGGTGAAGGAAGAATACGATAGCCGACTTGATTACAATTATAAGTTGAAGGCTAAAAACATATTTAAAGAGCTCGATCGAGCAAACTGGATAGCTTTTAAATAAATATGGAGAAGTGAAAAAGTATAATATGACAAATCTTATAGTATCGATTGTACAAGGATTTTGTGTCTAGAAAGTACTTAGAGCTTTTTTATTATTATTAAAAATTACTGAATCTTTTCTTTTGAAATATTCTGCAGTCGACATTTGTTTATTCAATCTAGTAGAAGAACTAACAAGTTATATAGAAGAGAATATCTGTAGATATCACTTCTTTTCATATAGATTTACCTGATTTTCATCAGTAAGAATTGTATAAATCAAACAATAATTAATTTTACTTTCAACTAATAGTGAAGTATTTTTATTCCATTGAATTAATTGTGCATATTCTGTATTCATATAATCATTATGATGATTTATATTAATAGAAAATAATTTCATTTGATCTAGTTTAATTAAAACTCGTTGATTTTCTTTTCCTATGATTAGTAATATTTGAGACTGTTCGTTCCATATCATTGTTAATGGTTTATTAATTTTCGTATCAATAATTGATAAGGATTTTTCATTTAAAATAGTTGATCCATAAAATTTCCATATAATAATATGACCTGAATATTGAAGTTGAAATAATAATGTGCCTGTTTGATTCCATAAAATATGTGATGTTAAATGAAAATATAATAAACGATAATCGTCTTCTGAATTTGTATCTTGTAGATAGTTTTCTAATTGAATATTTTCAAATAAACATTTTGTTAAATCAATTTTTAAATTTGATGATTGTGAAAGAAAAAAACGTTTTGACGATGAAATGATTTCATAGATAAATACTTCATGTGCACATGTTATTGTTGCTAATATAGTCTGACCTTGATTTAATCTTATATCAAATGGAGAAAATAAACAACGACGAAAACCTTTATATTTTATTGTATCATTGCAAAGAAATCGATCGAATGATGATAAAGATGTTGGGCGACGTTTATATGCTTCATAGAGACGTGACAAATGTTTATCTTTCAGTTTTTCAAAAATAAAAGATGATGTCGCTTTCATTGATATCGAATTTATTTGATCATTTGATTCGAATGGATATTCTATACGAGCAACAACTATCGATGACAATGATGATGATGATGATGAGAGATTTTGAGAAGATGATAGTTGTCGTTGATAAGTTTGCGGTACGCATATTGTTATTCCTTCTGATGTGCAATATGCTATTTCACAGCTCGACGAAATACTTGAACAAAGTTTATCATAAATATGCACTTGTTCATGACTATATGAACTAAATAATTCTAAATCAGATTTTGAACATATTGACATGATATTAGCAGTAGAAACTGTTGAAGACGATGTTGATTTATTTCTATTTACCTTTTTCATTTTCTAAAATTATTTATTTTATTTTAAAAATAGTTCTTTTAACAGTTCTAAAGGTATGTGGCATGGATTGGGGATGAGCGGTATTTTTAAATTTATCAAATTTCAGCACTAACATTCTTAGATCCTATTCGTTCCATACTGATTTTCATCTCAAAAACTATTCTTCAATGAGTAGATGTTTTATCTGTTGGCTTTTCTGCTATGATATATATACTTAATCTTGTAAACAGCGTGACAATAGAAAACGATAATTTCTGTTCATTATAGTTTAAAGACAATATTTATCCCCATAATACTTTTGTTTATGAAATAGAAATAGAAATACTGTTGTAAAATTAATACTAGATCTAATAAATATAGGTACACGCAACGGAATTACGAAGTTATGATAGAAAGAAAGAATGGATTTCTAAGCTTATTTCAGAAGGGAGTATAAATAAATGACATGACAAAGGTGAAAAACAAACAATACATTCTATTGATTTTTGTAGATAATACGAGTAGAGAAAACGCGCGACGAGAGAAAATAGAAAATATTTATATTAAATTAAATTTTGAGCTGTTTTAAGGGAATACTAATTTGAAGTTATTTTTCTAAATTCTAAACAATAAATTGAATATATAAATTATTGTTTATCTTTTTTAATATAACCAAAATTCTGTTTCAGTTGTTCAAGAAAGATAAACATTAAAATTGTATGTGGACCTAAAATATAAATATATCGTATTTGTAGATTACGACAAACAGACAAAAGAAAATAGATTACCAAGACGTATAAAAGCTGGTATAAATCCTTTAAAAAGTCCACCTGGACCAACTTTAATAATATCTTTAAAACACTCAAGTAAAGAATTATATGTTCCTGGTGGTGCATTCATCATTCGAGTTTTCATAACATCTAATGGCATTGTTAATAAAGTTGCTCCAGCACCTATACAAATAAAACATAGAAAAGACGAAGAGAGATGAAAATTGAATTGGATTTACCAGCAGCAAAACTTGAAGAGAAATGTGTTATAACATTATCTTTGAAATAACCACTGGCTAATAAAATCTGCTTAACTTGTTCATAGAAAGCAATTTGGCCGACTGTAACAAAAGCTCCTCGAATAACAGCCATTGATGCACCTTTTGGTATAAAAATAAACTAGCTTTGATTATTTCTGTTGTTTTATTTTACCATTCAATAATTTTTTGGATCCTTCTTCTCGACATATGCGAACAATACCATCAATAGCATGTTTATAATTTCGTCGCTGTTCTTTCGGTAATTTTGCATCATTTTGCATACGAACATTAACAAGATCAGCCGGTGCCCCTTAATATATATTAGTATCGACTTTTTAGTTCAAATCTTATCTTTTATTAAATAAACAAACCAACGAATGCTCCGATGGCTCCCGAACCAGCAGCAAGAGAAATTTTTTCGAAAAAATTTAAATTTGAATTTGGTCTAAGTGAACGAACGCTACCATAAATAGCAAAACGTGTTGTTGTATATGTTGCTTGACGAAGACAAGATGCTGATAAACCATTATAAAGTGCTAGAAATCCATCATCACGTATGACTTTAGCCGCCATTGCTAAAAATTTAGAAGAACACAAATGTTTGATTACAGAAAAATTTGATCATCTGATGAGAAAGAATAAATCATATTTACAAACAAGGCCATACTCAGCTCTTTGCTGAGTTTGTAATTGAACTTTTAATGTGTCAAGCGGATGTGTACAACATGCCGCAAGTATACCAGCTAAACCACCAAAGTACCAACGTTCTAGACGTACAGGTTCTTTTTTTATTGTTATTAGTGGTTTTGTCTGTTCTTTTTTGTTTTCCATCATAAAACAATATCGTTTTACTACGATTTATGAATGTACGATTCTCGAAGTAATTGCAAGTATAACAATTATTTGTCGAGGTCAAAAACATGTCCATTATTAACATTAATTGTAGTGTCATCTACACACTTAATCTATTGGTAGTTACAACTAACCCATACGAAATTGAATAAATCACATCACCATCAATAAATGACTCATGAGCACAGATACAGCACAGTTGTTAACTGTTTTATGAAGCTTTTTCTTTCAGAACGTTCTGAACTTTCGTAGGAAAAAGAAAATATTCGAAACAGTTTTACCTATTTTTTTGTAAAAAAATATTTACATTTGACATTTATATATAGTTGTTCATAACATGCATATCTCATGAAATTCCAAAAATCTGTTGTTTGTTTGCTAGAATAATTTGTTTCACAGATGATAAATACGTTTTTTCTATTGTATATGATGGATGTTTCCAGAAGATAATATTTCTTTAACATGTTGATCGATTTTAATGTAATCCATTCAATTTTAGTATTTATTTTCTTTTAAAATGTCATCAGAATCTGTTAATAGTAGTGTTGCTAATCGTATGTTGTTAGATTTAGAAGAAAGATCTACTCATAATACTCAATCTGAAAATGTATTAGAAAATGGGATGACATCATCAACGTTTCCTATAACAAGATCAACAAGTGAAGCAAATGAAACCACATGGATTAATTCATTTGTTGAATTTCATCGAATATTATCTGGAAGTTTACTTCGTTTATTTTATCGGTTTATTGATATAATTATTCTTTTCATTGGTCTTTCGTCAAGTAACGAAATATGTAATCGATCAAATCGTTTAGTTGTAACATCGATATGTTTATTGATATTTTATTTTATTGATCTAATAATCATTTTTTATTATTTTATACGTAATCAATCATCATATTATAGACTATTAACTGAAGAAGGAAAAACGGAACGCCTTCGACATGTATCAACTTTACGCGGCTGTTTTATTTTTTTTAAATTAATACCTGTTTGTATTGGGACAAGTTATTCATTTACGTCCAAAATAACAGAAACAAATAATTGTGAATTAATCCGATTTTGTCTCGGTCTTGTTTGCATAAGTACATTATTACTCATGATTATGCCACCAACAAAACCCGAATTGCCTACACGACGTTCTCTACCTGTTGAATGTTTTATTCTTTCTTGCATATTAATTATTAATCTTACATATATTTGTACAATAGCATCGCCTATGAAAAATATTGAGCAATCACCATGTATATAACAATTCAGAAGATTTATATTTAGGAGCAACTTTAAAAAAGTATGCTTATACAGGTTTAATTCTATTCAGTTGTACAACTCTATTACATATTATTAATCTATTAATAAGCCAATTATGTTATCGCTTAACAAATGGACGTCAATTACATATATATTATTATGCTCTACAATATACATTAACTTATTTTGGTGCACTCATTGCTATTTATTATTTTTCTGTCGGAGCTTTATTTCTGTTTCAACCACGGTCAGGTCAACCATGTCGAGCACATGCACCCGGTTTATATCGAACTTTATTAGTATGGCAATGGATACGAGTATTATTTCCATTACTTGTTGTGCCATTGATATTAATATTATGTTGTTTGGAAGTCTTTTTTGGAACTATTTTAAGTTATTGTTTGCCAGCATCGATTACTGTTCCAATACTTGAATTAATCCGAGTAAGATAAAACAAAAGAATTTTTCTGCTAATTTGTTTTTTATTGAGTCACTTTGTTGTTCAGGGTTGGCTATCAGTCTCACCTGTACAAATCTATTCAAATCCTCCAGCATCACAAGACAATATAAATGTATTACCAGTTGTTCTATTCGGTCAAGAACCGGATCGATTCAATTAAACAGAATGGTAAATAATGTTTATCGAAACATAAATGAAATTTTCATTTTGCTTAGTGCAATTTGTCAAACAAAATTCGCAGCTAATGAACCCATTAAAAGACTTGAACGTGCACATTTCTTTCATTTGGAATGCGTTACAAATTGGTTATTAATTACACGTATATCGTCGGTAAACTAGGAAAACATTCAGTCTTATTATCTTATTTATTAACAATTTTTTTGTCTCTCATTTGCGTTGGAGTTAAAACTGTAATTCTAGTTCTGATACAATTCAAATCTTGATATTATCCGGTAAAAATTAAAATGCGACCAGAGATATGTTCATATAGTCATATTCGTTGTCATAAATAGAACGAAAGAGAGAATTTTAGTTGAAGTAGTTGCGTCGATAAGTTGTATCACCCGTAATTCTGTTGGAACAATCGAAGTAGTTTCTTCGATGAAATTGAATTCGAAAACAAATTGACCGTAGAAACATCAGTAAATAAGATAGGTTGTTCCTGTTTGAAAATTAGTTTCTGTCTGAGAAAAACGATGTTATCGAATAACAACAATTATTCTATTGATACTTCAATCATTTTAATATAATGAATTTAATTCTAATTTTGTCCCTCAGTATACATGTAGATGTTCACTAGTTGATTTGGATGATATAGCGCGGCAATATACAAAATTCAAGAAAACAATTCTATTTATTGAAATCAAATATGAATATAAAACAACAAAGACAAAAATCCATGTACACTTAATTACGCTATGCAGAAATAGATTCATATCTTTAGTAGAAAGAACATAAATTCTCTAATTGAAACATGCACATTTTCACTCATTGCAAACAAAAAGACAACACTCAATCTTACATTTAGTTATCTTTAGAATCTCACTTGCATTGGAAAAACCCTCACCATCTGAGCTCGTAGCGAATCTACTTCTTTCAAAAGCCGAAAACCTGATCAAACGAATTATTAATAGCAGCAGCATTTCTAAATTGTTTACCATCATCCTACCAACAATATCGATCAATACAATTTCAAAATTCATTTCCTGACGTAGAACACCTAATAATCTTGTTAAAATATCGAAGAATGAAAGTAATAAATGTATCAACCAAATTGAAGTAGTTAATAAACTCGTCGAATTTTTTATCAATGCAATGGAAACTTGTTAACCTAAATCTCTCCTATCCTATCGTCATCTTAAGCAAACAAATACATCTAACTTCTATTTTAAATCCTTAAAAAATACCATTAGAAAATACTAATTCCTTGTGAAATGTCTTAATTGTGGGAAGTAAACATTTCTGAAGAATTAAGATACTAAAAAGGAAGAAAAAAAATGATGATCACAAGAGATCATTTACTATTTCAATTGAGATCGGATATGTATATATAGAAAAACAAACGATTTTGTTCAGATTAAATTTACGGTTAGAATCACGAATAACAATAAAATCGATTGGCAAATTGTTGATGATGCACTATTAGTTGTAAATCGAAGACGTTTACAACCAATATTATTACGATGTGTAATAAATTGTTGACATTCCGGTGTTTCTATAAGAAATTAATTAGAAACATTTTAAAAAATTCATGATCCTCCTAAATAACATACCAAAGACAAAAACTGATGCAAGAGCTGTTCTATAAGGTTTATCGTTTGTTGTTGCATTAATAACATATGAACCCAAATCACTAGCTAGAACATTAATTACTGTTAAACGTGATAGAATACAATCAGTACAAATGTTCGGTTCAGGTATTGTTGCTTCTATTTTATATTTATATGAATTCCATATAGGTCGAAGAACATCAACACTCATTGTATCCGATATCTGACCACCATAATCATTTTTATACCTATTCAAATTTAAGCTTAGATATTATTCTATTTTTTCTAAAGATATTTCTAACCAGCTAATACGAGGTGCTGGATAACCATGTACATAACATTCAACATATATATCAACCAAAAAGTTAATTGCTTGACCTACCATTGGATATGGACATCGAATATAAGGTGGAACTAAAAGAAAAATGATAACGAACTACCTTTCTTTTTCCTTATATTATATTAAATAAACCTATACATTTAACATTAACTTTAAGAGTCCATATGTCGCCATATCCAACAAGATTAATTGCTAAACATTTATAAATTCCTCGATCTTGTTTCCGAATATCATTTATTGGAAGTTCAACAGCCTAGAAAAACACATCGACATCAATAAATACATTCGTTGGTCTTTCTTCGGTACATGAAAAAAGTATCTGAATACATACACCAATAGCACGAATATTTCCGTCGGGTAATGGACTAGCATCAGCTTTCATCCATTGAATTTGTGGCGGTGGTAAACCTTGAGCAAAACACTTTAAAAGTATATTATCACCTTCATTAACTTCAATATCTTTTGTTGATGATTGAACAACAAATGGTTCACTGTAGACAATAAGACGTCGTCGAAGATATATCGAATTATTATAACCAGTATCAGCTAGCATACAAGTTAAATCACCATAATCTTCGCGATCTAATGGATCAAATATTAAGTACCAATCGCTGGAATCTATAGCATGTTCAGCATAGAGACGACGAGTTGGTTGAGAAAATTGAAAAACTTGATCATCTGTGGCCAAGAAAAACTTTTTTTGATCATTGAAACGATGTAATTCCCAACTGACCTATAAAATAAAAACATGGCAAAATATGCAATCATTTTATAGAATCAACTAATAGAAAATGAGAGACTGAAAATGGAATATTATCTATAGAAATAATTCTAAAAGATCAATGCAAAACGATCAAAATAAAATACATGTCAATCTCGCGAAAGCTTGAATTTATACATGAAAAAAACTTACACTTCGTTTATCATTATCTGTTAGACCAACAAGTGTACATTTAGCAATTAATCGTTCGCCAGCTCTTGGTGCGATTGGATCAAAGATAATGCCATCTTTGTCACGCATGTCAAAACGAGGATTTGTTCGGGCATTGACATAAATAACTATAATACAAGAAAAGAACTAAATCAAGAATCATTCATATCAGCAATGTATAAGAAACAACTACTTTGCTAAACATTTCACTTACAAAAACAATTGGTAACAAATAAAAATACGAACAGTTGAATAATAGATTGTCTCATCACGTTCACGTGTTTATGTAATAACAGATAAATTGTGTAGATTTCTTTTCAACTTGTTTCAAAAAAATGTTGTATTGATCGAGAAACTGACAGTCGGTTTTTTTTCTTTTCTTCTTTCTCTTCAATGTTTTTTTCTTGATGTAATACTCTCGCTTCGGCACACATACCTTGGAACACAAACGACATGAAGGTCTAATTCAACTTTTCTTTTTTCTTCTTCCTCTCGTCATTTGCCTTTTATTTGCTATCATCAAAAACCTTGAGAGAAACAGCAAGAACGAGTCACATCAGAACTTTTTCTCTCGTACGGCATTGAAAAAGAAAGGTTCGATGTTGTAATAGTTCTTTTTCTCGATGTCATATTTTAAAGAAAAAAAACAGATGCAACGGCATACTTTATAACTTTTACGATTCTCTTTTCTTTTTCTTCTTTCTTGTTCTTTGATAAAGGAACGAACTAGAATGACATTGAAAACTGTTGCAAAGAAAGAGAAAGACAACTGTTTTTTTTCTATTCCTTCTCTAACATGAACTTGATAAAATCTGAATATGAAACAAAAAAACGAAGAAAGTAATTTGGATCGATGAAGGCATGTTTTTACGTAACACGCACCTTGCAGAAACTATAATTTCTCTGATGTTAGTTCAAACGTGCTCTGCATAACTGAATATTCTTTTGAAGATGACTTCATACTCTTAAGCAGATTTTAAAAATTGATAAATGCATTATGAAAAATGCATCCTTTAAAAAGGTTTCTCCATCTTTTTAACAAAAACTATAATAGTTGTTCTGCAAACAATTATCTATTTCTGCTTTGCTACCGATACTAATAGGCACTGGTATCATAACGGTGTTAAGAAAAAACATTTGTAGCGAGAGTTATGGTCATTTTTCTCTTCTGTGATCGTCATATACGATTTCCGATAAACTATACAGTAAAATCAGTAGAAATAGATGTTAATTCTAGGAAGTAATACAATATGTTTGAGTTAAAGTTCTTCAACACTATAGTTCGTGCAATTTTATTCTAAAATACAAAATTAATCCATTTCATCTCTTTTTGAAAAAGTTTTTCTGGCATAACTAAATGCACAAATGTGGTCAATATTTATTCGAAAGATGGCCTACATCTATACATAATTTAGAGCACATAATAGGACTTTTCTGTTTGAGAAATTAAGCGTGCTTCTTTCAATAATATTGAGAAGAGTAACAGAAAAATATTGTTTATTTTCATCAAAATTATTCAAAAATAATAGCGAGAAATGTTTACTCACGAAATACACCATATTCAAACAATATCAAAGACCATTATCATCTAGCTACTAATACTCTGATTTTCTCAATTTTTCTTTTTTACCACTAAGTTCACAAGTTGAAAATGGATTCGCATATTATGACTACACTCGATTCGACTTAGTATAGCGAAGATTTCGGATTATGAACCAGAATCAAGCATCATCACCTTTGTCTCCTTAATGTTATTGTTTTTAGATCTTGCTTCTTGTATATTGAAACATATTCGAAAGAAGTTCGAACAAACTGCAGATTACAATTTGAAATAGACACAAAATACTTCAATTAACATGTAACTACTATAACACCAAGTTAGAAACGATTGCGCTTATTGGATTCAACAAAACTTAAGTCTTTCATAAAATCAATTGAAAAATATTTCTGCACTTTCACCTATAGACTTCGTAGTAGTACTGGTAGATTCATACACTCTACCACAAAATTCGCTAGATCTTATTATCGCCCTTTCATTTTTCACATCAAATTTTCTCACAATGATGTAGATCACTAAAATTTGGCTCTATTTGAATAAGTCTGATATGTAGCTTCGCGTTTATCCTACTTTCTGTTGAACTGTATTTCTAGGATATTTTTAGGCAAAACAAGTCACGTTTGAAAAGTTACGATGCATTTTATTTTTACGATAACATTCATTTGTCAAATTTATCAAGTCAATGCTGAGAAATGATAATGAGTAATTATTTTGGCACGACATTGATTGAAAGCAGGCGTTAGCAATGATCATTGTGACAAGTTTAACATTAAAAAAATCAAATATTGTTTAATATCGGCCAAATGTCATTGTTCAATTTATTAATATTGAAATCTGTATCTGGTTATGGTGCACATGATTTAAATATTAATTCCTGATAGTGACAAATTCATATTGTTACTCACGATCGAATATTGAAAACATGATACATGGTTAGTTAACTATTTATTAGAATATTTCTATTTAAATTGGATCATTTATTTATTTCTTGGTCGTCTGGCGTTGATTGAAGTGAATTTTATATTTTATAATTACTATTAGTAACGGATTGATTACCAAGATCAATATTAGCGTTTGTCAATATCATTTTTACTCTCAGATATTCATATTATTACACAAATCAATCGATGAAGCCGCTATTTGTTTTATGAAATCATGAATAAAGTAATGTTCAATAGTCACACGAAATTTGTCCTATGGTAGTTTGAGTTTTCATTGGTTTTCTGATTGTTCAATAAACATGGCGACTATCTCAAATGTGAGCAATAGATTTACTAGACTTTCTGTATTATTCGGAAAATGTGCCAATTTTTACCATTTTCCTCTGGCATGTGAATAATGACATATTTCTAGATCAATAACGTTTTATTTAATTTCTACCTAATCATTGAAATGCTCGTGTTATTTATTCTACAATAACCATTATGTACTACAGACTTTAGAATTTATCTGTAAATCAAACCTACTATGATTTAAAGCATTTACGAACCAAAACGAGCATTTTAATTTTCGTTACAAATTAGATCTACATTTTGATGATGAAATCGAGAAATTCAAAAATAACTACTGCAAAGAAGAAGAGAAATGCTATGTCAGGAAGAAGTTTCGTACATCATGCCAATAGAAAAATAATTGATTCCTTGAGAAAAAGATGCGCTATGCTTATTAAAATATCAAGTAATTGACTTCTGACTTTGTTCCCAAATTAATAATAGAAAAAAACAGTTTGATTTTTACCCACAGACCTGATAACTCTAATTCATAAATCAATTACGATTATAATTAATTCTCTTCTCGATGATCGGATGATGAAACGGTTGTTACCGCTTGTCTTTATATTCTAACATATCAGCTAAGTGTTAAAAGTTGACTTGATTTCTCTCTTTTTACATAAATAATAATGAAGGTGATGTTTTAATCTCTCACAAGATCGAAATCGTTATAGAAAGATCTGACAGTAGCAAACGAAAACATATTGATAGGAAATATAGAGATTGTATGAATCAGAAGAAAAGCATTCATCTAATGAATATCTGTTTTCTTGACATCCACTTATTTTTCAATATGCTGGTAACGGCTAATGAAATATTCCATAAATAATGGAATCAATTCTGTTGGATTGTTTAAATACTTGAATATCTAATAAAAATGGTTAATGGTGCTTTTGGGCATGATATAATGCAACTAAATGCTTCATCTTCGGATCGCCACATCGTATTTAGTCTAATGGCACTTAAAACGATGAATCGTTCAGAACAAAATAAACCAACGAATATAAAAATCTCAATAGTTAGTCATAAATTTAGAGTTTTTTTGTTTTGTTTCATTGAACATCAAATACCTACTTAAAGGAAATCGCTAAAAATAGTATTTCAGGTGGTTCAAGGAATGCTTCTTTTACATGTTTGAATAGATGTAAATAATTATGAAGCTTTTATTGTGAGGAATGAACAATTGTTCTACTTTTATATTTTAGTAAAAAGCTCAATGATTAAACACAAACTCGTTCGATTAAAAATGAAGTCAAACGATGAACTGATATACATCAATATAAAAGAGGAATTATGCTTTAGTTGGCAATATGAAAATACAAGTGGAGTCTTCGATGTGGAAGTCATTTCCTCTCCCTATCCATCTCTCGCTCCTTGTCTTTCGCTTCCTATCAGTTTCTGATTTGTCAAGTTAGGCATCGCTCATAATATTCAACGGATTACTTGCGTATTTCTTTTCTTTTCTTGATTTTCTTTCTGTAAAATATAAAAGTATAAGATTTTAAAGTCAACATAAATGATGTCTGACAGTCATTTTCCTTTTGAATGCCTCATGAAGGCTCTCGTCATATCCGATGAACATCAGTATATCATTGCTATGAAATTCGTCGCTTGCCACATGCCATTATTAGCGTTTTAGATGATACAACATGAAAAATTAAAAGACTTCGGAACTAGATTCATTTATGACATTTCTTTGAAAAGAAATAAGACGATATATCATCATCTCTGTTGATGTGTACGTTTTCGAATGGAGAAACTTTGACAAAGTGTTAATGGTTTTACCTTTTTTATCTATAGTATTGACGAATTATTCTGCAGAGAATTAACCATTATTTTCTTTTCTTTTCTTTTCTTCTTTTTATATGCGTCATTACTATATTTTTCTCTCATCAGCTTCACTTAGGTCACGTCAAGCGATGTGGTGGTAATTATTCCTATGTGTATGTGTAAATTACTAGGATTTATTTATATATATATTAGCGGAAAGTGACTACAGATATGAGAGCTTTCTATAGGATGGTTCGGTGAATAGCTTTTGTGTCGTAGTTGAGCGTTTCGACAAAGATTTGATTCTTAGCATTTATTGTTGTTGCTCTCCTGTTGATAGCACTTTTAGTTCTCACTATTCTTAACTCAATGAATAAGAAGAAGAAAGATCCGCTTCGTGTTTTTCTTTAATCAAAAAAGAGGAAACGATTGAGTGATTGAACAGAATTGATAAGTTCTTCGTCCAAGTTTTGAATGATTAAGATATATTTTTTATTCCTTATTCTCATTTCAGATCTTCAATATAAAGAAATTAATACTGAAAATGAATATTCAATTATCGACATTATTTTTCATCTGTATTGCTTGTGCCATTCCATTATTGGCTTTGTCAACATCACGACAAGAATTAGAAGAAACCCTACTCGATGACATCGACAATGATCTTAATCGATATGTAAAATCAAATCATCATAATTATCAACCATTCCGCTCTTTAGTCTATAAAGATCATGGAATTTTAAAGAAAGCAGCCGACTTCGAACAAATATTAAAACCGTGCAATCGAATGCCCGCTAGTGGTCGCGGTAATGAGTATGCTGATTGTGTACGTAGTCGTATGTTACTGATGGGTAGACGAAAATAAAGGCAATCAACATTTACGAAAAAACAATATCAATAACAAAAGTAGCAACAAATTTTCAATGAAGTTTTTTTCTCTTTTTTCCAACATTAAATACAGGCAAAGCTCGGTGTATATTCTTTATTTCTTTTGTTCACTGCCTTCCCCCCCTGAAATCTTGCCAAAAGGATGTCAATTGAAGTAATAAATAAAGAAGAGAAATAAAGAAGAGAAATAATATATTTTTTATGATTAAAATAAAAACAAAAATAGTTTCTTAAAAAAACAGATTACAGGTAGAAATCTGAACACAACACGAAATACAATTAATATTATATACATTAATTGAACAACTTGCATGAGTGAAATATTTTTTTTATTCTCTAGCGAGTTATTTGCCGATCGGTTGCTCACATTAAGTTAGACATGCATCGATATAATCATAGCGTTGATCGTTATTACTTGAGAATTAGCATCATTCATTTCAAATATAATCTAGTTCGACTAGTGAAATATACTTTCTATTAGGATGTCATGCAAATCCAACAAAATATGTCCTAACCCAAAATAAAAAATATGAAGGTTTTAGTTGAATACGTAATTATATTGCACATGAATTGAAAAATCTCTTTTTAAATATTATTTTCACTAATAATGCTATTTTGTAGAAGATCACAACAGAATTTATCTTTTAGATAGCATCTATCATGTTAATTAACATCTAATATATATGGAGAAGGATGTATATATTTGGCTCGTTTTTTATTGGAAACACAGTGCAAATGTCCCATTTTGACGTTAGAGAATAGATTAATCATACAGAATAAATCGGATTTTCATAAATAAAAAGTATCGTCCATCATTTTTCTATTTCTCTAGTGTAGCAGTTTGATAATGTTAACAAAGTTGAAATCAAAACCAGCAAGAAGTATTTTAATACGAAAATTTCAATTAACTTTTTTTGTGAATACATTTCAAAGCTAGATTGATGTTTTAAACGGATCAAGCATATGTGCTGCTCGTTATTATTTATGAAATACGTCAGAGTATCAAATAGGTACAGCAAGAGGGTTGGAAAATTAAAATTTTATACGTCACAGAGCTGATTTTTCATCGACAAAATAGTTTTTAGACATTTCTTTCTGTTTGTGAAATATTGACTTAAAACTGAGTTGCACTGCTTAGTTATTATTTCGTTGCATACATGAAAATGAAAAAAAATACTAAGAGCGTTTTATCTGTGGTTTTTATTCTAAATATCAGGAGGAAAATTCAAGGTCTCAAATAAACATCTTCATTCAATTCACAACAATAATGTTTTCATCGAAACACTAATCTCTTGTATGATATATAAATACTCATCTAACAATTACGTGAATCGAGCATCCTGAAAATCTTGTATTCTATAATGCTCTCTGAAGAATATGCATCAAATAAATAGTTAACTATTGATAATTACAAAAACTTGTTCCAATTCAATTTGGATCAAAATATATCGAAATTTTCATATTGTACTTTATTTTACTTTTCATTGATTTCGGTGAATGTAAATTGTTAATATTACTTGACATTGAAAATGATTGTTTATGGCAGAAAAAAGTCATCGATCTATTTACATTAAGGCTCCCCCCCCCCTCAGAATCGACTTGCCACTTGGAACGATTCGTTCGGGCCGAAACTTTCAAGAATAAATGGTCCAAGTGAGAAACGCTTGTGGTAAAAATTTCAGCCCTGTGTACCTTACTAAACTAGACTTATGACTTATTTTATAGCTTCCACACTCTAAAAAATCAAGACACATGAAGTGTACAAATAAGACGATTCGTTCGTTTAAACAAGACACTTAGCGCCATTTCTGATTGGTTGGTTAAGGTCTAAATTAGACACTTACGTGTCCGCGGATAACCGATTTGGAACACTTCAGCGTCTTAATCGATCCTGATTGGAGTATTTAAACCAATGCATTTAAGCGTCTTACAGCAGTCTTTTTTAGACGCTTCTATCAATCAATGGTTCACTAATTCAAGAATTCATATTTTTATATGAACATTAGATATTAGAAAAAATATTTTCAATGAAATAATTTTTTTACACTTTACTTCAGGTAAAGTTATATTTAATAATTACAGAAATTATTTAAAAATATTTATATATATATATATATATATATCTTTTGGTGTTTAATGAAATTCCTCAATAATCAGATTTACTCAAATAAATTATTTTCGAAGATAATATTTTATTCCACAAGAATATCACCTTCGAGGAATTTCATTAAACACCAAAAAATATATGTATAAAATTTTAAAATAATTTCTGTAATTTTCAAATATAACTTTACCTGAAGTAAAGTGTAAAAAAATTATTTCATTGAAAATATTTTTTCTAATATCTAATGTTCATATAAAAATATGAATTCTTGAAATAGTGATAGTGAACCATAGATTGATAGAAGCGTCTGGGAAAACTCATGCAACACAAGTCTAAAACGAAAAAAAATAGAAGTCTTAAGTATTTCTTTAAATATAGAATATTAAAATATAACTGTAATCAGTTATTTTTGATAATTTTTCTATCATCTAGAATACAAATAAAAAACTTGAAAATATATCAGAAATAAATAAAAAAGAAATTTCGGTAAAATGGTTTGAATATTTTAAAAGTCCCTTCACTTCAGATATCGAATCAAGAGATTCGGATCTCTTCAAAGCCACGAATATCCTCAACTCGAGTTAAAATGTGAAGTAGCTCACGCCAGAAAAGTCATCGGAAAAACTAGTTCTGGAAAGAGTGAAATCCTAAATATTTTCAAGAAATCGAATAAGATTCTTTGTTTCACATCCGAAAGTAAGTTCTCATAGCTCCGAAAGAAAGTAAAAAAAATTATCTATTGGTCAATAACTATAACAATGTTTTAAGAGAAAGAGGAACTTAAGACGCTTTCCTGTCTATAGTCACAACATGTCTAAAAACAAGACGTATTTCGCGCCTGAATAAGACTTAAGACGGATGACATGTCTGGTTAGACACATGGCATTTTTTACAGTGCACAAGAATCGAAATAACTTCATAGCTATAAGAACTATCGAGGTCGGATCGGTTTTAAATTAAAGCTAGCCTACATATGCAACTTTTCATCGAACAGAATTTTGAAATTCGCTTCTACTCATTTTTTATAAGTATTTCATTCAGTATGACACTAAAATTAGGTACAAAAGACGTAGTAAATTGAACTTTTCTCAGTCCAGGAATCTAGTATGAAAACTCTGTTCGATGAAAAGTTAAGTCCCATTGAGACCTTTAAAATAAAACAAAACATCGGGCAACGCTTGAGCGAAGCAGGGGTTATTTTAGCTTTACTGTTTGAAAACCGTGTTTTGAGAAAAACGCTAAAGAAGCTTTCGAAATAATTTTTTTCATTCAAAACTTTAAAAACTGATTTTAAAATGGAATATTTCCAACGTATAGTGTTATACCTCATAGAGTGTGCTACAAATGAAGTCAGCTAACGCCATCTGCCATCGCCAAGTGCTCTTGCTCTTTTATTTCTCGACTAAGACATGTATTTGTATGCTGCTGTTCATGATTGATATGTGGATACACATCGGTCTTGAGGTAAATTTAACAAAATTGAGCTTATTTCGATAACATTCAGTAACAAGACACATCGAGTTATATATGCTACACATCTCACACTCTCGTTGACATATAGCATTATGAATTCTTTATTTTTAGATTTATTACTTTAAATCTTCCATGGCACGTTCTTCGATTTTGAAAAAAGAGAAACAGCTTCGACTGGCTCGAAATACTTCCAAATGACGAAGAATCATCAACAGTGTTAGAAAAAATGCACGTGAACTACAAAATTATTTTATTTCTCATAAAGATCAGTCAACTAGCAACGAGTAATGCAAGTATAAAACACGTACATTTACTGGTCCATCGTGTCAGAAACTAACAAATTTTCTTAAACGAAAAGGTACAGACGATAATAATAATATACATGTTTATTATCAAATAATTCACAACTCATTTTTGTTGCAACTAATGAAACAAACAGTTTGTGCCTCGTGCAAATTAATATGGAATGGTGATGTCTGTTGTGAAACGCGTAGGTACAGCTTGTACTAATTTCTCTCTAGCAAAACTGAATAATTACATTTATATTACAGGATTATATTGCTCATTGGTGTTTACATGTTGCTGCTCTCGCGAGATTAAAATCAAATGCATCTAAACAATGTCTAAATACTTCTATAAGAGATATCAATGTTCTGAGTGCAATCGGTAAGTTTATCCTCAAAATTTAGTAATCGATAATTTTATCTAATATATAGGTGCGCGTTTTGCCGGTATTGGTCATCAAGGCCTCGTAAAGCTCTATGCTATATTGAACGTACCACTTCCAATTGATGAAGATCATTTCTCTGATACCCTCGATTATTTAATTCCAACATTTGAATCATACAAGCTTCGGTCAATGAAAACTGCTGTCGAAGAAGCTTGTAAGAAATCAAATGGACGTGAAATTACTGTTAGTGGCGATGGTACTTGACAAAAGCATGGTTTTTCAAGTTTACATGGAGTCGTAGAAGTTTTGTCTAATGGGCCTACTGCAAAAGTACACATTTGATAAAAATATTTCCAGATACGATGAATAATTTTAATATTTGCTACAATGCATTATGTCGTGCATTTGATAAAGAAAATGTGATAGTACCACCTGGTCTAGTCGAAATTCTGAAGCCTCACAATTCAGTGTATTCATCTGTGATTCATACGAATACAAATGATGCTCAAGCGGAGTGCAGTACTTCAACAAGTAGCGAAGATTCTAGCGGAGATGAATCCGACAGCTCAGATAACATCGATTCGAGCAATATAAATGAAGCAAAACCCAAGCGCCGTAAAAAAAGACGAGGCTACTAAGTATGTAGTTCTTATTTGCCAATGTTCCTATGAAAACTCTAAATCCTAGAAAAGTGGATATTGATTGAATTTTTCGGACGTTCTTGAAGTAATAAATATTTTTGCGTAAAAACATTTTTTTAGCACGACAAAATCTTTAACAAGGTTATTATCATCATTAGCAATAACAGCAAACGCAAATCTACTCAATCTACCATTATCAGAATTAGCACTGACAATTAAACCAAATCCACTCGAATTACCTCATGATCGAAAACATCGGCAAGAAACTTATAACAAGCTAAACCAACTAATTTTTAGTATTCGACAACAAAAACTAAAAGCAAAAAAAAGAAATCTATGAACTACACCCATTAGTCAAACAAATTATTAGATGATTATATCCATCAGATATCGATGACAACAACTGTTTACAAAAACTAAACATTGTCCTCAATCTTAAGGCATTTAATTTATGTTTCAGTTCTCTCCATTTTTCATCTGTTATTATCATTTCTCAACAATACAGGGTTTCTATAAAGTAACTTCACGACATTTCTTGTACGTTAAACTAATGAGTCATCTTGAGAGATATAGAGAACTCGATTTTCTCAAAAATATGTAGGTTTCCGCAAAGTATATATAAACTAAATCTGTCATATGGAGCGCAAACATAATGTAATCATGATTTTAAGTGTTACTAGGCGTGTCTCGGTTGATGTACCCAGGTCGAACAATACGGACCGTATAATGGGCGCAGTATTACGGACCGTACGATGCTTACATTTGCGTCGTATACGGTCAAGATTTCACAGTATATGGCTCCCCGTTTTACGGTGCTCCAAACCAGTCTCGGTTTACGGCCGTATTTGACCCGTAACTAACAGCATTACGGTCCGTAATACTGCGCCCATTAATACGGTCCGAAACGGAGTTCCGTTTTGTTCGACCTGGGTAGGTGTGTTTCGTTCAAACGAATAGCCTATGAATTGATGGAAGCGGAAAAAACGAACAATTTCGTCAAAAATACGAAAATATCGAAAATTTTGATAGTAGAGTGAAAGTATTTCTTCCATAACTCTGTCAAAATTTGGTCGTTTTTCAAAAACCTATATATATTCTGAACGAGGAGATCACGGGACATCTTCCTATGATAAAAACTCAATTCCGGATGTTTTCTGAGAGGGGGGGGCCTTAAAATATAGTGTTCTTATAAGTATTACATAATTTATCTTTTCATTTAATTTCAGATTTGGCATGACTTACAGAGAGAAAGACAGAACAATATCTCATATTATGACACATACTACCAATGGTTATAGTAATATATTTAGATTACTTTTCTTTTGTTCAAAGAGACTCATAAAAAATACTTTTCATTTGACTTCAATTATGTGCTAATGATAAAAGAACAGTTCATTATTTATATTTTAGAATTAAGTAATCGCTAAAAGCTTTCATTCAATAGAAAATGGTTATATCATCCGTTTAAGATCTAATTCAGAAAAAAAGTCAATACTTTAAAGCAAGAAGAAATTTATTAATGGAATAAAATTCATGATACTTTCAGCAAATATCAACAATTGACAATATTTTAACGTCGACCAAATCCGTTTTGGGAAATGTTGGCTAAAACACCAGCAAGATGAAGAGCAGCAGCTAAATAATAAATAAGGTATGACTAGATTGAAATGATCATCGTCAATCTCTTATATACATACCATTCAAAGCACTTTCAATAACAGGTTTGACTTGGGTTGTGAAAAGACCAGACGCATGATTTAAAAGATTATCAATGATTTCTCCGCGAGGTTCAGCTTCTAATTCACGTTTACCAATATTAACACCATTGGTACCAAGGCCAGCAAGAACTTGAGCACCGAGTAAAGCAGTAGCTGTGAAGATAAAATATCTGATTCAAATAAAATCATAAAGTATTTCGACTAACTTTGAATAGCTTGTTCAACGGGACCTTGAATAACGTTTGTCCAAACAGATTGTAAGCCACTAAGAAGACTTTGGCCCAGAGTATCAAAGAAACCACGAAGTTCTTCTTGACGACCAGCGAGTTCACTCAAATCGCGTTTACCAAAGAGAGCTGACAAGTCGATACCATTGGTACCAACACCGGCAAGAACTTGAGCTAACATCAAAGCACCAGCTAAATAAAGTATACAGTTACTAAATCTTATTTTTCAAATGCTTATAGTTGTTTCACTTGACAAAGCATCTTGTAATGGTTTTTGAATAACATTAGTGAAAATATTTTCAGCAGCTTCAGTTAATGCATTAATGAAACGTGCGTCGACTTCTGTGACATCGCGTTTACCAATTGACAAGTTGACACCATTAGTACCAATACCAGCAAGAAGTTGAGCACCCAATAAAGAAACAGCTAACGAAAAAATAAATATCCTTGAGATATTTCTTAGAGTTTAGATGCTTCTCACTTTGAATAGCATTTTCAATAGGTGGTCGAATAGAATGGTTCCATAAATCATCCCAGAATCCACGGAGTTGAGCTTCGGATAGGTGAAGTGTGCGACCTCCTGGAGCAGGAATACCATTTTGAGAAATACCAGCTAAAAATTGTGCACCCAACAGAGCTACATCTAAGATAATATCATTAGACTTGTATTAAAATCTGAGACAGAAAAATCTTTAGTTCTGCAAACTTGTAACGATATGATTGAGTGGCTTATAGAGCACTTGTGAGTAGAGATCCTCGAGCAATTGGAAAATACGTGGTTCTTCTTCAAGAGAACGTTTATGGACATCAGAAAGGTGATAAGCGTAACTGGATGCAGCCAGACCAACAAGAAGTACGACAATGAATGGGGAACGCATGTTTTCTAAAGGCAATACAAAAAGAAGAACAAGTAATCAGCAGAATTCGCCGTATTTTGTGTTACCCTTTCGTTTAGCAGTTGAATGAAAGAATGAAACAAATTGGTTTGAATTTGTGGCCTTTTATAGATGTACATTATCAGATCAAATCGAACCATGTGGGCTGTCAGTTGGTCATTTTCTCATATAAGGATGCATTTTCATTAACATCCGGTGGTTGGTTCCATTGTTGTCTGCCCACTCAATATTGATTATTTTTTTGCAAAAGATAATATTTTTGATTTATCTTCAAAACATATTGTTGTGCTAGTAGTTTTATTTTATCTTTATTTACTAATAAATCTATTTAAAGACAATATTGCCTATTAGCGCAGTAAATCTTACAAGCATCGATATAGCTAGAAAATGGCATATGATTCGAGCTTGCCGTTAAACTTTAATGAAGAGTTGTTTGACACCTTGCTATTGTTCATTGTCACTGATGCATAGAATTATGTATCCATCTATATTAATTAATTTATTCGTGCGAAAGAAATCTTGTTCAAATATTTTTAATAATAGACATATGATTTTATATGAAAGAAAGATTGAAAAACTGTATTGAAATAATACAAAAACTGAAAAAGATAAGTTTTCTGTCATCATTCAGGATAATAGTTAAGTACTTCTTTTCTTTCTTGTTGACAATCCAAACAACGGCAGTCAGGCAAAGCTGGTGAACTAGTGTTGCCATAAAACTGTCGATTTATTCTTGCTGTTCTTATATTGTGTCTGTCTGTATGAACTTCTTGTTGATGTATAACACGTGAGTAACCATCATCATTATGCATTGGTATCGTATTAGAAAAGTGTATTGGTGAAACAGCACGATTTTTTGTGTTAGGTTGATCAGTTTGAGAGCTACGTGCTTTAGTTTCTTGATGAGCTAATTGTGATTGAAAATGTTCTGATAAATAAGATGGTTGTTGTTGTTGAGATAGCATTGCCGGTGGTTGTGATACTGGTGCTGGTGGATAGACATGATATTGTATTACAGGTGGAGGAGCATTGGCTCCCATTGACAATGATGTGTTTTGTTTTGGAGTAAAATGATATACTTCAAGACGACTTAGATCAGCATCCTTTTTATGTGAAAGAGCTGCATCAGCTTGTGGCTGTTGTTCTTGTAGGTATGGACTAGGAATACCACTGGGCATATTAGTTGGCAACGGAATAAGATATGATGTACCGTAAGGATAATATCCACCAGAAGCGTAGGGATCTGTGGTTAATGGAGCTGGCTGATTATAAGGAACATATTCATTCGGAACTATTTGTTGACTACTCGGTAGTTGTTGATTAACTGGTGGTTGTACATTAGGATATGTTTCTCTCATACCTAAAGTACCATGGTCATCATAAGCACCATCATAGCCATCATAACGTGGATAGTAATATTTTGGTATACGTGTTACAATAGGATTCATTGGATCAGAATTCATATGAGAAATATTTTGCGTAGGAATAGAATTCGAATAATACTGATTAGTTGTTGTTGCATTAGTGTTAGTTGGAGCAGGTGGCAGCATCATAGCACGATAAGGTGCTGATGGATCATAATAACTTAAATGGTTAGCACCGTTCAAAGCTGGTTGATTCGTAGGTTGAAGATTTGACTGCATATTTCACTTGTCATAAAATAAATGCTTTTATATTTTCTCCAATTTTTTCACTCTCTTGCAAGAGAAGAAAATTCGATTGAATCATTTGAAAATGCATTTTGAATACTTAAATAACAGTCACATCAGTAAATAATAACAATAACAACTTTTTCTGATTGACATAAGCTAAAACAAATATTTTGCTTTCTGTTCCCTTTTTTCTTTCTATCGTTACTCGCAACAAGTTCGATACTATTAATTGAAAGAGTTGTTTTTAATCTAAAATATCAACTTCGATCATACATGTATCAAAAATAAATTCTATGAATTGGCAATTATTTATTCAAATTTTAATGTTTGTCAGGTAATTCGTACCATTTTTTCGGAATATACTGATGATTAGTACGTCGGTGTGATTTAGGCCCATGAACTGAATGGAATGGCATATACCACCAACGAGGATCATATGTGCCTCCCTTGGGATCATGATGACAACGATGATGATTTGGATCAAGATTATAGTGGAGTGATTGAGTTTTATCATTGATCGAATTCAAATGATATGAACATTCCGAATGATTATAATTAGGTGATCTAGAGTAATATTCATAGGGATTATTTTTATGAGAACGATGAGCAATCGACGGTAGATTCACATGTTCTCTTTCATGTATTTCTCTACGTCGAACCAATGTATTTGATTTTGAATCATGTTGATGATGAGAATTTAAAGATGGTAAAGAGATATCTGTTGATTCATCGATATCAACTATTAACGTATAAATATATAAGAGCAGTCTCTTGAATGTATTTAATATGAGACTTACCAACACCTGTTGGGATTGAATAATCGTTGTTTGATGAATTCATCTGAGATGCTCCATGACTCAATGCATAATCAGCAATTTCAACAGAATTAGCATCACTTGCAGAAAATAATGAATTATTCGTTTGTTCGGCCCCAATCTCATCTGTTTTTGTTACACTATGAGGAGGCTTTTTCTTTGACATTTTAAAGAACGAAGACTAATCAAATGAATCTTCTACATATATTTTTGTTCTTTCTTTCTTTCATTTATTTACACATCACAAAAGAATAAAACCATGACATTCATTTTACTCATTTCGCTTTCTGCCCGTAAATTTCAAAAACTTTGAAAGCTTCGAAAATGAAAATATTCTTATTTTTTCCGTGAACAATCACCATAGCATAAGCAACACTTGAGAAGTAAAGCAGATGTATCATCATCAAAGTGTTCTCGAATTTTATAATAAAAAGCTAAACATTTTCCAACATGTTGACTGATATTTGAATCCTTTTCGGTTGGATATTCGATAAGATGACGTGATGATCGACTATCTAATCTTGATTTGAATTTAAAATTGATTTTATCAAAATCTTTCTTTGTATCTAACATAATTAGAATTGGATAAACTTTTATTTAAATATATTTAATAAATACTATCGTTATCTGACGAAATACTTTGCCCATCTTGAAGCGTACGAACTGAATTATTTGTGTCTGACTGTTCGGGTTTGTTTTGAGTATCAGTCGATGAAACGAGTATACCTATCAATGCAGAAAAACAGATAATTTATTTTATTCTGTGATAAGAGAACATTGATTACTTGATTTAATATCTTTATTGAGTTGATTATTTAGCGATTGTGGTGAGATTTTGCGCTTGTCATTAACCTTTTCACCATTAATTTTCCAACTTTCTAAAGAATAATCAATTTCTAAGGAAGTTATCAATATTAAGTGTGTATTTAGATTAAAGAATATTTACTTTTCTCTTTTTTTCTATTAGTATTCTTTTGTGACTCAAGTTCCAATTGGGATGAATCTTCTGATAAAATTGAATCATCAGATGTTACTTGTTTTTTGCTTTGATTGGATGACAGACTAGTGCTATCATATTGATGTGATTTCATTGAATCATTATCGTTCAGCTGTTTATCGGTTAGTTTCTTATCAAATACTTTATTACTACTATTCGAGAAATCGTTGTTATCAACGTAATCCATAGTTTCTTTCTAGCGAAGGTAATATTTTCTATTTTTCTACTAAGCATAAGATTTTAACAACAAAACGCGTTTACCATAATATCTGAACTAAGACAAGTAATAATATCATTTGGTTTTAACCATGGACGCTTATACATAATTTGTCGAACCAATGATGGAAGACAACAGCATAAAAGAGCAACATTTTCTTGTGATACTTTATAACGTATATTAGTAATAGTTGCATGCGTAATTAATTGAATACAATTATCAGATGGTATCGATAGATACGCAACATGTTCTGTTTGCCTATTGGTTATTGGTTGCCTTATGGATAAAAGATCAAAAACAGTGTTACTCAGATTAGGGTGTGAATAAATAGAATTTTCTTGGGTAGTACAGCAAGTTTTCCATATGTCACATGAATATTGTCTAGAATCAAGTAAAGATATAATTCAGGTATTGTTCATAAATGGAAAAAAGATGTGCCTGCAGACTTGTGGAATATGATGACGTTCACTAAGAATTGACCGACAATTCTGTATAACTGAACTCATTGGCTATAACTGATGCAATGCATACTTAGGAGGGCTTCCTATTAAATTCTTCGTAACAAAACTGAAACGAATGAAAAATAATACTTATTGGCGCATTGTCTTTCAGTGAATTTTTTATTATTCTCTAGTTTAAATGCAACACTGAAAGTCTCTGTTACATTTAAATTTAATAACAATCAGTTTTGTTAGGATGTACTGTCGTCTTTACTGCTATTCGTTTGCTCGTTACAATATCGTTCAGAATACAGATTAATTTAAAATCTGAGAGATTATCATTGAGTACTGTAAGAACCGCTGAAAATATGTTGATAAACGACTCGAAATTCAAAAAATTTAGGTTGTACTTTAAGTATACTATAACGGGTGTCAATTTACAGTTTATTTTATTTAAATTTAGCTTCCCGAAAAGTTAATTTAATTTTAACTTAAATTTTATCAAGTTAAATTTAAATTAAATTGTTGGACAGAAAAATCGTTTAAATTTAAATTTAAAATTTAATAAATTGTTTGGATGGATACACATCATTGCTATGAGGAAATACGTGACTTTAACAGTAGCAAATGCTAAATGAAAGCAGAACTTTGTATTTTAGGTTAATATTTGTTCATAATAGTCAAAATTTCTCCACAGATTATGCAGGATCCATCATCTTGCTTCTTCAAAATACTGGGATGCTCATAAAAATATGTTTAATAGCACAATTCGTAGAAGAATGAATAGCTTTAACTTTAGAAAACAGGAAACATGCTCAAATTTGACTTTAAATAGTATCAATCATGTCAAAAGCTATGTTTATCTACTAGTTTTCAAAATTTAGCTAATTTCAATTTCAAACAATTTAATTTAAATTTATTTTAAATTTAATTTTTCATATTTAAAAACAATTTAATCTATTTTAAATTAAAATTTTTGAAAATTTATTTCTTGATTTAATAAATTTTATTAAATTTAAATGTGACGTCCTACATATGATAAAGCAAAAAACATTTCATTTTTTTTATATGCACAGAAGAAGCAAACTGATATTTGGAATTATAAAACATAAAAACGAGAAATATTTTCACGATGAATTAGTTTCAAAAGATTTCAAGCCCAGTGAACTAGATGTTTCACCAATACAGTGTAGATCAAGCATTGATATTACGTTAAAATGCAGCGCTTTTACGAAATCAAATCTCGATGACAATCCAGTTCATCAAGACATATAAACTAACTTTATTGTTTTTTACAGCTTTAACTAGTCTTCTGGTTGAAACAAAACGTTCCTCAATAAACAAAGAAAAAAAATTAGTTCACAACTTAACCATCAATCAATTCAATGGTGGTACTTTGACACTTTCGTGTTTTTTGTCGATATCAATCTTCTTTGATCTTCAAAAAAACGATGCCTAAATTATGTAATCTATTTGTTTTCAATGAAAACTATATACTTACTAGTAAAAACACACTAGCATCAAGTATCAGTGATAGATTTTGAATTTCGATCGACCAGAGCACTTCGTCAAAGAAAGAAGTGATATGATTGAAGTTTATAGAATATAATATTAAATTATTCTATTGCTGACTTTTCTTGAAAATATCAGAGAAAAGTTTAGTGGGACCTTCTATAAATCTTTTATTGAATAAAAAAGTGTCATCGAAACAATCACTCTGTTGGTCGTTCAAAGTGCATCTGAAAAACAATTGAAAAACTTTTACGTATATGAACTACTGTTGCGTTGACAGAACTATATACAGTTGTAGAGAATAGAAAGCCGATTGGTTTAATAAAAAAACTTTCTTTCAAAGTAACAAAAATATGTTAAAATGGCAGGAAAACATTTAAATTGTTATTTATATGCAGTAAAACGTAGAAGTAGACAACCTATTTTAGTTATTATTTACTAACATGTGATCAATCTTTTAAACCAATTATCATAGGGTACTTGTAACATAGCTACTTTTCTATCGTAATCCTGATTATCACATTGAATTTCTCGACTTGTAGGTTCATCATTGATATTATTATTATTGTTTGTTTGATACACCAGATTACATTCTTGTTCACATGGATATTGCTGTTTTCTTTGTTGGATTTTAAGAATTCTTAAAAATGGTAGCGAAGGATTTGCTGTAGAATCACAAGATTGATTTATTCCTGGAAACAATTTTCGATTTGGTGATTTTGACATTGAGACATTCATTTGATTGTTAATATTGAGCTCATTGTCAATAGAATTATGTGATATTGAGTTTTTTATTTGTTGTTTTTGTTGAGTTTCATTCGAGTTTTGTTTTCTGTCAATTTTATTGGAGCCACACCAATAAACATGAGTAAATTCTGATCGAAATTTTGTACCATATATTATAAACATGATAAATGTTGTTGCTGCATTTAATGTTGCACATAGATTTGCTATGGAATGAAATTTTCGTAAACGAAATGGTGCTTTTTCATTTATAAACATTTTTGCACTAATTAACCACATAACCGATATAATAGCAGATGGAGAACGCAATACAAGAAGCATTATTGTTGTCGCAAGTAACATTATTGTTACACCTAAAATAGATTCATCGATCGTTTTCCACAATTATTTTTCTGTTCTCTCTGAAAATATGTCTCAATATATTTCATGAATGATTGATACTTTTATTACTTTTCATATTCTTATGATTTCCTAATTGTAAAAATAATGTATATTCGATTTTTTCTTTGTTTTGAAATCAAGGTACATTAGATTAACTTAATTATCTGCTACTGATAAACTTCAGTTTTTAATAATAGATCAAACTTGTAAATTATTCTTTGCTGCATTAAAGATTAGCTCAAAACTGATGCACATTCAAATTATTTATTTTTCATACATATTACAGAAAGAAGGAATGAACATCTTTCTATCGATTATAGGTACTTATAGGATCATTCGTCTTCCAATGTGATAATAATGTACGAATTTCATTCTCTTAAGACTAAATATTTACTATTCTGTAGTTTTGAATCAGTTTTAAAGAAAAGAATATCTAGATAATCGATGAGTCTTTTTTTTATGATACTTTGTTTAGTTGGTAACGGTGCATTATATTCAGCTGAACGCCGTTCTAATAATCGAATTGATAGAAGTAATTTTCGATTCAATATTATAATTGTTGTTAATGGAATAAGATAAACACCAAGTGCATTAATCAAAACATAGATCCATCGAAAAATAAAATTTTTTCCTAATACACTTAGTTTATAACGATAGAATTTTTTGCTATGATCCGTTGAAAATAATTCAGTTAACACTCTTTCTTCGTGTGATTCATATTCAAACATAAGTGGAACCGCATAAAAAACGCCAACAATATAAATAAAGAATGTAATATGACGAGCAATCTTCATTGTACAATAAATTGGACTATCAAATGGTCGACATATCACTAGATATCAAAGAAAAAAGAATATTTTTTTCTAAAAAGAAAAGTTCAACACACTTATCCATCGGTCAATTGTAAAAGCTACGCAAAGCCACACACTCAGAACACGAGTCGTTGTGCTAATTGCAGCTAATTTTGAAAAACAAATATACGCAATGAAAGATTTTACGATAATAACTAATAATTTTACCTGTAATAATAAGTATTTGTGTGTACGCATATGTACGTGGTAATTCACAATCAAGTATCTCAATTGGATATGCATCTAATATATAACCAGGTATAAGAAAGAGACAAGTAGTAAAGTCGCTTAAACATAAACCAGCTAAATAAACGTAAGTTGATAGTCGCATTGTTCGACGAATTAAAATGGAAAAGCTCAATGCGTTACTAATGATCCCAAGAAAACAGATGAATAAGCCACATATGCCATTAACATAATGTTCAAATGGATCACGTGTAAATGACCTGCGAATTGATTCATATAAATCAGCGTTATCAATAATTAAATCATCGATGGTTACATTTGACGATGATAAATCTATCATACTTCTTTTTTTATTATATTATCTACAATTGTTATATTAAAAAGCAGGCAGAAATTAGAATATGAAGTTATTTCTCAAAATATAACAGAATTAAACGAGTCTTCGGTGTAGATTCAAAAATGAAAAGAATATTCAGATAGAACAGATGTCATAATTCGCTCACTTTCTTTATCAGTATCAATGATGAATAATAAAATGATTTTTTCTGATGGTATTTTATTTAAGCGATATTTTGCTTTTCAAAAGTTTTTTTTTCCAAGTGTTTCCTATGATATCACTAAAACGACATCTAAAAATTTTTATTTAATTAAGATTGTCCAATAATCAACTATTCTAATGACATTCACAAAGAAACATACAAAACGAAAACGTCAGTGATATATTTTCCCTGATGATCATTACTAAAATATTTTTCTTGACTTACAGCTATATGAAACTTATCGTTTAACAGTCAACATATGAAGAAACTGCATACTTATTTGTTCAGTATTCTTACATATACGTGAGTTTATTTCTTTTGTAAGACGGGTCTAAGCACCGTTCATCATTAAGAGTATCACGCTCAATTTAATCAACAATGTTTAAATAGTGACCAGAAAATAAATCAGTTTTACGGTAATACTCAGCAAGAATAAAAATCATATAATTAAGTAAATATTTAATAGTTACTTTTTAGCTAAAAAACGTGAGTAAATCATGCATGGAATCACACAGTAGCTACATTAACATTTTAAAAATAAAAACGGAACTGTTTAACTAGTTGATGGCATATTCCTTCATTTGGATCCAAAAGGGAAAATTGTATTAAAGAAAAGTAAAAGATACATTATGAAATAAAATAATTATATGTAATTAAATGTGGTGCTATAAAACAACACAAGTGAAATTTATTCTAATAGTTATTAACTTTGTTTTGGCATTGATAAAGATCTATAAATTTTAATGGAAAAAGTAAAACTTGCACTGGCTTATTTCGCTGCCTGAAAGTCATTATCTGGTGACACCTGCTCCTTCTTAGAATATAGCAAAAATAAAATAAAATAAAATAAAATAAAACGAAGAACGCGTTGACTATCTTTTCGATTTTTTTTTATTGAATATTTCAGTTTTATTTTTTTCTATTATACGATATATTTATCGCGCTCGCGCACATAATATGACACACACACTCATTCAACAGCATCAATTACTTCTAGAAAAAAATCAGAGTCAGAATCAAAGCCAATTATCGTTAAAAAAGAATCACGAACATAAAAGATATCGATTCAGATGACGATCTTTCATTGGTAAGTTCCTTATTTAAGCATTACTAAAAGCAGTCAATTGATTTTTCTTATGGATATCGTTTTCTACAATATATCATCAAGCATCAATAATATTAGTAGAGTTCTTGTGGATTGTTGTCGAAAAACAAGCTAGATCAACATTAAACTGATGTAGTCCGATTACTGTCCGTTGTGTAAGTTTATTAATATTTTCTTGAAAAACGACATTTTTCTCGCAGTCTCTCTATCTTTTATGTCAGCACTTTTCATATTTCCTAGCGATGCATCATTTTTAACTAAAATTATGCACTGCTGCCAACGGATAATTAAGTCATCGTGCTGTTTGATTCATATTTATTTTCGTAGTAATGACCATTTTAATTAAAATAACTTCATTTTTACAAGAATCAACATTAGTTTTTCGTTTTATATAATTGATATGATCTGTTTTATTGTTTCTTTCAATAAATCATCAAAGTTGTGACAGAGCACCTGCTTTTTATTTTAGCCTAGATCGATTTAATAAACTTATCGTGTTAATGCCTTTTTTCTATACTGAACTGATTTGTCTGTAAAGTGAATTTCTATTTTTTGAAAAGAATCGAATTGATTTTGTGAAGCTATATTTGTTTTAGGCAAAGAAAGCGAAGAATCACGCAGCTATTCAGAAGAAATCTAATTTCAAGACACCAATCATTGGTCAAAAAGAAAAAAAGTATCAACACAAAAGAAGAAGTCTTCTCTCACTGAATCATCTGTAAATATTAAAAGCGAAAAATTAACACCAACTAAAGAAGCAAGTGTAAAACGTAAAAAGAAAGAACAAGAAGAAGAATATGTATGGCGATGGTACGTCTATTTGTTTATTTTCAATCAATCTGTTTATTTTTTAGTAATCATCTTTTTATTGTAGGTGAAAAGAAGAAAAATACACAGATGGTCGTAAATGGACAACACTGGAACATAGAGGTTCAAATATTTCCACCTCCATACGAACCATTACAAAAAAATGTGAATTTTTTTTATCATGGGTTATCTTATTGTCTGTTTTAGTAGCAAACGATTATTGTGTTAGATATCACATTTTGTTCAGGTACAGAAGTGAAACTAGAAGAAGCAACTGAAGAAATAATGACATTTTATGCTCACATGCTTGATCGTGATTATACATCCAAAGAAGTTTTTAACAATAATTTTATGACTGATTGGCGAAAATCAATGGCACAAGCTGAGCGTGAATGAATTAAAGATATACATAAATGTGATTTTACACAAGTTTCAAATTATTTTAAAGCACAAACAGAACAGCGAGAAGCAATGGGTAAAGAAGATAAAAAAAATTAAAAGATCAGAATGAAAAAATACGAAAAGAATACGGATTTGGTATGTGGGAGAAAAATCAACAACCAGTTGGAAATTATAAAATTGAACCACGTGGTCTTTTTCGTGGTCTTGGTGAACATCCAAAAATGGGCCGTGTTAAAAAACGTATCAATCCTGAAGATATTATTATTAATATCGGTCGAGAAACTCAAATACCTAAACCACCGGAAGGACATCATTGGAAAGAAGTTCGACATGATAATAAAGTATCATGATTAGTTATGTGGGCAGAAAATATTAGAGGAAATAATAAATATATTATGTTAAATGCTTCATCACGTGTTACAGTTTGTCTTCATTTTGTGTTGAAATTCATTTTAATATTTTAATTGCATATTTAGCAGGATGAACGAGATAGGCAAAAATATGAAAAAGCACGAAAACTTCATCGATTTATTGATAAAATACGAGAAAATTATCAAACGGATTGGAAAAATAAAGAAATGCGTATCCATCAACGTGTTGTTGCATTGTATTTTATTTGTAAAGTAATTTAAAATACTAAAAAGAAACTCGTGTTATCATCTTTATATTTTTATTTGAGCTTCCACGTCATGTGGGTAAGGAAAAATATGAAGATGAAACCGATACAGTTGATTGTTGTTCATTACGTGTTGAACATATTAAATTATTTGAAAAAATTAATACTATTGGAGAGAATGTCGTTGAATTCGATTTTCTTGGCAAAGATAGTATCAGGTTAATGACAAAGAACTTAATGCACAAGAAATATGACATCTGTACACAGATACATCAATATCTATTTCCATTCGAATAAATTAATGCTTGGCCGATATTTTAATTAAAATCTGAACTCTGGATGAAATCTACGGCATGCGTATGAAATGTATCGGATGCCAATATCCTATTGAATTATTGAAAATTTCATTCTTAAGAAACCAGGCGTTTATTTCGCTATCAAAAGGGACCACAGTAGACTATCCTGGATAAAACGTTTTTTTTTAATTTGGATACTTTTAAATCAATATATTTATGAACGATCTTGTAATCTGATGAGCATGAAATAGTTTATTCGAAAAATTGAAATGAATAAAAAGCATATTCCTAGTGTCTAAAAATCTTATTGTGACAAGATTAGGATTTGTTGTTCGACTGAAACTCTCTTAGCTATTAATGAAACATCCCCAAACTATTCATTAGAACATACCGAAACTGCTCACATCTGAAAATCTCCGCATCGACTTGTTATACTGTATCGCGCAGCAGATTTTTCTCATAAGAACTGAAACAATTTCTTTTCTTTTTCTTTTAATAGATACACTAATAAAGTCAGTGTTGAACTCCGTGGAAATAAAAATTTGAAATTATTTATGGAAAACAAAAATGACGATGATGATTTATTTGATCGTCTTCAAGTAAAATAAATTTCTATTTCGTATTTTATTTTTGCTTTTCTTATGAATAGGCATCAAGATCTGAAATTAATGAACAAGAAACAGAATACAAAAAATTCTAAAAGTCAAGGATCTAAAAAAAAATGGAACAAACAGAAAAAAAATACAACGTTCAAAAGTTGCATTTAAAAAACTTGAATGACAAGCACTTGGTCGAGAAGAAAATAAAGATATTGCACTTGGTACATCAAAACTTAATTATCTTGATCCACGAATCAGTGTAGCGTGGTAAATTCAACAACAAAAAAACATCTTTTGCTAGCTTATTTATTGTTTTTATTTGTAAGGCGTAAAAAATGGGATGTACCAATTGAAGAAATTTATTCAAAAACTCAACATGATAAACTTCTTTGGGCTGTTGATATGGCAACAGCTGATTATCATTTTTATAATTACGAAGGTGAAATTGTTTTACACAATGTTGATGATGAAGGACAACAACGAGATTCAGATGATGAATGAGGTTTTTTCTTTCAAACATTATGTATGATTGCGCAGATAAATAGAAAAATTGATTCGCTCGTTCACAAACTGTTATTTATACTGGCTAATAAAGGCGAACTGATTTTACATGACAAATTCAGATAATCATTGTAACTCTGGAACAAGAAGAATTTAATTGATTTTTGGCATAGTACGCGCTTGATAGATACTTTTAGTGTTTCGTGTTTTACTCTCAGTTAATATTAAAGAAAGTTTTCATTTAATAAAAATTTAGTCCATCGGTATTTTATTCACAACATTTAGTACTCAAAGAAGTTGTTTGTCGATATCTGCATTTTTCAACGATTTACTTCTGTTATTACGTAGAATTGATTCATAGAACACTTGCATTTGATAAATATGAAAAAAAGAAGCCATTTGTCAACAAATTATGAAGAGAAAATAATCTCACACTTGATTATTCTTACTTTTATGCTATTTGTCCTTGAAAAACAAATGAAGAGTAATTTTTATTTTATTTTCATGTTCTAATGATTGCCATTGCAATTTTATTAGCGATTCTCATATAGAATAAGATAGGCATAAATCAATTTGAGATATAATAAGAATAAATGACATCAATCGAGGAAAAAACATATTCATAAAAATAACATTGATCGAAGATAAATATGCAAGATTTAGCACTATTTCCCATCAATTCACATTACATTATTCATTTATAGGTTTTTCAATGATTCAACTGTATGATTTTTATTCTGACTACATATATGTAATGATATTTCAGTTTGTAACTTTGAAACAAGTTGTGCCCATTATTATTAAAAAGCACCTTATCTTAGGAAATCAAACCTAGTGTGACTCGCATCATATAAAAGAACTCGTACTATTTTGAATAATTACTTTTTCAATATATGATAGATCTATCAAAAAACAGAGGGTTCAAACAATGATCGACAAACGTACTAGTCGTCAACATTATGAACATGTGCCAAGAGTTTCACAAAAACCACAAACTATTATTGTTGTCTACGATCAACCAAAAGTAAGTGTGATGCGTCGTTATACAAGAACTATTGTTACACTTATTAATCCTGATGAATATCAAAATCAATTTGATACTATTTTACTTGATACATCAGCATTGCTCGATCTCGCTCGTCGATTGAACATTGAAGAAAATATGGTAAATAAAAGAAAGAATTCATTTGTATAAATTTTCTTTTTATAGATCACATTACCATCAATACAATAAACAGATAGAAACAAACAAAAACTACGAAAATTAGGGATGTAACAATACCATTTGGAGACACATTAACATTGCCAATTTTCACAATGAACATCTACCAATGTTTATGTGTCTCCAAATGATATTGTTACATCCCTAACGAAAATGGAAAGTGAACATCTATGCAGAAAACGAATGAAACTGTTTATCCGTATTGAAGCAAAGCTTATTAAATGTATATATCAATATATTTATCTACTTCTCCAAAATTATAATTATTCAACTTCAAATTTTGTTCTAAAATAATAAAAAATAACTGAATTCTATATAGTTTATAAAACTTCATGATCGTTATTAAGTTCAGATTTCATTTGTTCGAACTACTCTAAACATCAGACTCACAAATAAGTCATTCTAAGTAGTTTCACTTAGTTTATGAATTCTATTTTGCATATAACTGTGAATGTCCTAGTCATATGTATGCATCTTTCATTAGATTTTCCACTGTCGTCAGACCATCACGAATGTTCCAATGTGTTAGTGTTTTTATTAACAAAGAAATATAAAAGATAAATTCATTTTGAACATGTAAACCGTATATTGATCAACAGTTTGTGCAAACTCTTGTATGAATATCAAATTTCATCGGCGCATGTTTTAAATAGCTTCTAACTTTACTCAGATTCAATGTTTGACGTGTTTGGACAGTAACAATTACTCAACACTGAAACTATTTGTTGTCGAACAATGGATTAATTGAAAATATCTGAATTTCATCATTTCGTTCATGTAATAGCTATTGAAACTTACGCCGATCTCTTATTGAGTTGTAGACAAAACTTTCGATTAAAGTTTATAAGCAAATTAATGATTTTTACTCCAAGAACATTTCCTTGATGAAATAACTAAGTTCACGCATTTTCTACTATTGAATAATTGGTCAATGATGCTTTATTTCATAATAGTTCTCCCTCTTGATATAACATTGTATGTGTACAGAATGATAAAAATCATCAATTTGATCAAATACGGATTGTCTAATTGTTGACCACTGTCAAAAACTTTTTCCTTTTGCTAATTTTGATGCGTACAGGACCTATGGACTATGCTGCATTGTGGTATCAATTAAAATTCGAATGAAAAGCGCTAACTCTTTCTCATTATCATTGTGTATTCAAAATTTCTATCCATTTTTCTAACACTTCATTGATTGAAAAAAGTTTCGAAGAAGATTTCACAAGGAATCAAGTATCTTCGCTCGTTTTGTTTTGTGCTGGTAAATGACGATAGTAGTCTTCAGAAAAATAATCGACTATCAATATATCAAAACAAGAAACCTTCCAGGTATTATATGAGATCTTTTCTTGTGCCAAATTAATACTTAAATTTATGTAGATTTTTATCCTTCGTAAACTGTACTGTTCAAGTGATAGAAAATGTTTCGAGAACATAAAATGATCACCAGATTAAAAAATAACTGTGCAAACAGATTCACGTTCATATGCAGAAAAAGAACAGGTTAGTCAGACAAATCATTTTATTCCATAACTATTTTTATTTGATATCTATCCGAAGAAATAATTTTTTTCTTAAATCTTATAATATTTTTTCATTGTCACGAAAACCTGATCAATACTGATGCATGATTTTCGCTAAATACACAAAAAAAAGGAAAAAGATACGCAAGTGATGTATTGTCTCGGCCTGTTGAAGAATACAAAAATTTCCATGTTAACTTCTCGACTTGATGAATTGCAGAATGTATAAAAAAACGAGACCATGGTGATATAAAAAGAACACAGAGAAAAAGAAGGTTAACAGAACAAATATGTGAATCGCTGTATGAAGAAAAATAAAATGAAAAAAGCATAATTCAGGGTATCGTGCTTAGACAGAGGAAAAACATATGTATAAAAAAAATACGCAAGACTCCGGGACATTATATCATGACAAAAGTAAACAAAAGAATTATGTGTATCTACACACATAAATAATAACAAAAACGACGAAGAGTATATTGACAAAAATAGTCCTATACTAATTTAAAAATACTTCAGTCTGTTTCTTTTTTCGATTTAAATATCATCATCATTATCTTCAATGGCCCATGGTGGTGGTTCAAAATCTTCGATCATTTTCCATAAGATAGCTAAAATAATCATTGTATTAATAAAACATCAAAGTGATAATATTATATGAACCATTGATATCTGTTCTATACATTATTAAGTATAAGCAGAGGAATTGTGTTCACTTCATTTTTATGTTTTCCTTTCTAATTAAAACTGTTTTTCATTTCATATGAAAACATTTTTCAATTAAAGAGCAATAGAAAGGAAAATTCTATTTAATAAACTGTTCGAATCGTTATTAACTAATAGTATAACAATACTATCAGAAGAAGAAAAAAGCATTCGAATTAAATTTTTCTGCCCTTCATTTGTTGCTCAATTCATTTCATTTTAAAAGAAAAGTTGGCCTTTGAGTAGAAGGAATTAAAGGCTGAATAAATAAATACATAAACGAACTTACATTTCCATTTTGCTATTGGATAAGTTGCATCTTGATGTTCATCAACTAAAACTTCTGCTGATGGTTCTTCCATTGGGTCATGTAAATGTTCAAAATATGAATCAGCTAAACCAATTTTCATTTAATTAAATTTACCAACAAAAAAAAACAATCGTATTCTTACATAATGCTTCTTGAGCTGTTGGACGTGTACGATGATCAAATGATAACAAACGATCCAATAATGCAATACCTTGAGGTGATACACCGGACACTGGTATTCGAGATCCTGGTTCATATTTATAACCAAATAGTTTTTTATAATCTTGTTTAGGTTTTGTTGGTAATTTATGAATATAGTCACGTGCATCTAAAGCGGTATGATGTTAAACATGATAATATAATAATTATGAGTACTTATTAGACATACATGGTTCACAAACTTCATCTAAAGTTGCTAAATCAGGTGTACCAACAATATCAAATATTTTTGTTAATTGATCAATATGATCTGTTCCAGCAAACAGAGGTTTAAGAAGAATCAATTCAGCCATAATACAGCCCACAGACCATATATCAACTTTTTCATCATAACGTTCCCAATTAATAAATACTTCTGGAGCACGCCACCATCTTTAAAAGAGAATATCTCGTTTTACTACAAATAAATTAACATTTTTTATGAACCTTGTAGCTACATAACCAGTTTGAAGACCGTTAGTTGCAACACGAGCTAGACCAAAGTCAAGAATCTATTAGAAAATAATCAGGAATTAGGTTATTATTTTAAATCTTCTTCTACACGAATGTTTCTTTCACAAGTTATATTTAACTCGATTTTCCTTTCCAGTTGTAACACCAATTATCCTGTTTCTAAGGGTTCATTTTTGAAAATTTTACAACGTAAGGTAAAATTATAATTCAATTTTCTGATTTATTACAAACCATAATTGACATTTCTTAACGTCATACTAGTTTTATGTAGCACAAGGGGAAAACGGCGGATTACGGATTTTTTTCGGATTGGCAATCCCGAAAGTCCGCCGTTTCCCTCTTGATTTTAGATCATTATTTCTACGTGTATTGTAACTCATCAAAAGATAGAAAGTTTAAGGAAACAGAACAAAACAAAAATAGTGAAGCACTCGAAAAGAGGAAGTGAAAACCATGAAAATGCTTACTGTGAGATCGGAATTTTGACTAATTCCAATATTGGTTGGTTTCAAATCCTATATTGTTGAAAATAAAAACATTTTGATAGATATAACTTTTTCTGCTATCTTACACGATGAATGACACCGGCTGAATGAATAAATTTCAAACCGCGAAGAAGAGAATAAATTAATAATTTAATATGATCTTCTGTAAATGGTTTTCCACGTTTGATGACTTTACTCAAATCATAATCAACAAAATTCAGGACAAAATATCTTTCAAAAGAGAACATTTTTTGTTAAGAAAAGCGTCCATTTTAATTCACATACATCGTTTGAAAATCGTTCACATTCTTTTCCGGTGTAAATGCATTGTATAATTGTACAACCTATATATTTATTTTAAAATAAGTGAAATGAATCGAAAGCAAATTTCTAATAACAAACTTGTGCATCACGATGATTCAGATGCATAAGTAATTTAAGCTCTCGATATGTTCGTTTAGCGTGTGTTTCACTTTGAAATGGTCGAAGCATCTTTTTTATTGCAACATCTTTACCAGTTACCTAATCAATAATATTAAATGAAATGAAACTCATTTCAATCATACATACTACATCGACAGCACGGCTAAAGAAAATTGTGAAAGAAAATTAATTTACAGAATTTATTACAGAAGTATAGTAACTTACATTACAGCTCCAAATGCTCCTTGGCCAATGGGACTTAATTCTTGGTATCGTTTAGGTAATGTATATTGCGATGTTCCACATTCAGCTGTGTACCATTCCACTGAATCACTGCTCTCGCCAGCCATTTCAATAACTAGTCGAAAGAAGAAATAAAAAGTGAAACTATTTGTTTTTGTCTCAAATACACGGGATGAAAGCACAAGAGAGGGAAAAAAACATACACCAGCATACATAACGACGATAATGTAACGGAGGAAAAAAGTAAGACAAAAAAGATACGAATGTATGCTTTTGAATAAAAAATTTATTTTAAATATCATTTTAATGCTTCAAATTTAATACAAATAATTTTTTGGTAGTATAGATAATTTATTTATAGATGTCACTCGTAGTCATCATTAATAGAAGTTATCTATAATAATATATTTATAAATACTTTTGGAGTGTAATTTTGATCTTGATCCATGTGTCGGTGAATCTGATCGCTGTTGATATAGACCACAAAACAAACAATTTTTCATTCGTCTCGAAACGCTTGGTTTCGTCGTCATACGAGTATCTAAGAAGGTTTTTAATGACGTTCGACGCAACTAAAATGAAATTTTCAAATTCATTTGGATAAAAAGACTTTTTTATTTTAATTTAATTTTGTTCACGTGTCAGCAACCATGACATAAAAATACCTTTGAATATACTGAATACAGTTTTCAACACAGATGATAGAAAATTTTCTTTTCTATTTGCTCGTTCTGTCATCTAAATTATTTCTCACTGAGTTGACATTGTTGCCTGCATGAAGAAAAACTAACAAATAGAAAAAAACAATACTATGATTCAACTACTGTCTTTTAAAGTTAAAAATCGCACAGTATCAACTTGAATCACTTGTATTATTTATGTTCAAAAATAAAAATTAAGAATAGGGTTTTTCCTATTACTTACCTCGGATACTATTGGATTTGGTCGTAAAAATGTCTGCTCATTCATATTAAATGATACATTAAACTTGGTGCTACCGAATCTGATTTAGTTGTTGCTATAGAATGAGAGAATGTAATCATGCAATAATGAGTGGCCATGGTACAGATGAAACCTTATGTAATCACAAAATGATTCATTCTTATGATAGCGAACAAATTTTTAGCATAAATAAAATGATCAATGATTCATTGCCCTTGAGCAATACTGCTTTCACTGACGTCATTCAGACAATCCTTACTTTAGGATAAATATGTGCAAATAAAGTTTTATTATTCTATAATAAGAATGCAAAATTGTATACAGGAAATGTTCAATTTATAAAATTTTCCGTATGAATGAGAAAACTTACAAAAACGAACTTTTTCACTATAAAATGTAATATCCATCATCATTAGCACTCTTTCTTTGAGAAATTTTAAGATACTTTGAGTTATTCGCAAAAAAAGAAATGTCTAATATTGACAACGAGAAGAGAAATATATTTGTCTCTTCCTTGTTCTTTCCTTTTGTTGATTACAGATAAGTTTGAACAAATGAGTAAGTCATGGAAGTAGTTGTAAATGATTGATGTGCCCGTATACCTTTTCTTTTTTCTTACCTTGTAAATAGAGAAATCAGCTTTTCTTGTTTTAAACACGTACTATTTGCTACAAATATTATTACTTGGTCTTCTTTTTCATCATCTGCAATAACTAAAAAAGACTTGAGATATTAAAATAGAAAAGTCAACTATGGTTCGTTATCTATTTCAATTGAATCAATTGTTGAATTGGATATTGTCAATATATGAAAACAAAAATGTAAATAGACAATAAGAATTCATTGCAAACGTTGGAAAAGCATAGATCTATTCTGTTCAGTGGATCTGTTTCAATATAATTGTCTATCAAAAGTGTTAACAATAGAAAAAGAAAAGATTTCATAAAGATAAAGTTATATATTCTGATAAAAAAAGATGTACTATTATTGATGTGAGCAGATGATTATTTTCTTTTATTTTTGTATAGTGCATCAATACAAAACACACACAGAGAAATCATCGTAACAAATACGAATGATGATGATGTGCAATTTGTCTGTCGGTTGATTGGATTTAATCAAATAAACCAAATCCCTAAAGAAAGAACAAAATATATTGATGAAAAACGCGAAATCTTCATGTTAATTGTGAATACATACCATATCATCTCCTTCTTCATCTGATTCTTCTTTCTTCTTTTCTTCTTTCTTTGGCTCTTCTTTAGCAGCACCTTTACCAGCATTTGTTGTTGTTGTTGCTACTGCGGCGGCTCCACTAGTTGATGCTACAGCTGCACTAGCAGTTGGTAAACTTGACAATTTTTTGGTGCCTTCTTCAATAATTTGATCAACACTTTTTCCTTTACATGCATCGATTACTTTTTGTGCTTTCGCATTGTCACAATCGATACCAACGCTTCCAAGAATTTTTGAGATTGTTGATACATCAGGATTGGTATTACCAGCAAGTGTGGCAAGAACGTAAGCCGCTGCGTAACGCATTTTTATTATTGAATTGAAGAGTAATTGGTTTATAGCCTCTAAAAAACTGAAAACGGAAAGGTTATTGAGAAATATTTAGATGTATAGAGCAAAAGCAACTTTGAATGCACTGTAAAAAGTCAATACAGGTTTTCAGTTAGATGCATCAAGCGTCAGCGGATGACCGATTTTTAGACACTTTAGCGTCTAGATCGTTTTTGGTTCGGCGATTTCCGTCAATCAGAGAAGTGTTTTAGATCAATCAATCTTTCCAAGATACTTCAGCTGATCTACGAGTTGCTAATTTTGGCAGCGACTTTGTTTCGAAATGAATTCAGCATACTTTAAAAATATTTCTGATGAAATAATTAAAAATTTGTTTTTAATATATTTTTAAAATCTAAGTAAACATGCTATCAAATGAATTTAAAGTATGCTGAATTCATTTCGAAACAAAATCACTGTCAAAATTAGCAGCTCGTAGATCAGCCAAAGTATTGAAGAAGTTGGCGACGAATAGATGTTCGTATTATTAATATTATCTAGAAAAATAAAAACTATTGTAAAGTAAGCTGAAGAGCTTAAGTAACAAAAAGTGAATTGTTATTTTCTAAAGCTACTTCTTCTAAAAACAGCTGATTAAAAAATTGCATCTTACAATTCTTAAAAACTACTTAAGGATTTTTAAATCGTTTTTATCAATGATTCAAATTGTTTATAGACGACTCATTTTGGTATCGCTAAAATTTGACTGATACAGTTACGCTAAACAATATGATAAAGAGTATGAACTGAAAAGTGTTTTCGCGAATCACAGTTGAATATATATAAGTTAAGAGATCTCTTTGTTTATGGCTGACTAGTCAATATTCGATTATGACAAAGAACTAGACGCTTCAATATTTATTCGATTGAAGTGTCTAACGGAAAGACATATCTCACGTCTATCTCTTGTCTTAACTACACTTTAGATGCGAAGCATTTGTTACAGTATGTATGGAATGTCTAACTGATAATCATTGAAATAAACATAAGACCTCGACGAAATACGAATTGTATTTGCATGATTGCATTAATATTAGACACGATGAAGATTTATTGGTGAACAATTTAAACCAATAGAAAGATATACAAGTTAAGAACAAGGAGAATTTTGTTTGTTTCACGATTTTATTGTCGAATTCTCCTTCGCTCGGACTCTATTCCATGCCACACGTCATCTTTGAAATATCTATCTGTGCATTCCAATGACTATATGGATTAATATTGAATAACTACCATATATATTACATTTATCATTCTATTACTCATTTACGTGTATAATAATTATTGTTCAACAAATTTATAAAACTGGATTATCCACCTGATGTCGACATGCAGAGTAATTATATTTACTATTTAAATATTGAATGATCATCTAATCAATAGTTCTCATAATTCAGGTAGTAGCAATGATGACGATCTGCTCGGTTGGTATCCATCACAAGTGAAAGGACCAGTCGATGATGAAGTGCAAGAAGGTTAGATCAACTTACTCAACGAACTATTCTTTTTCTTACTTTTTATTTTCAGCTGATTTGATATCAACAATAGAATTTAATGAAGATGGAGAATTACTTGCTGTCGGTGATAAAGGCGGTCGTATTGTTGTATTTCAACGCGCACAACAAGTAATTATTATTATAGAATTTGACAAATATCAGTAATTTCATGTATCTTAAATTAGACGAAAATGAAAAATCTCTTTAATCAAAAGCTACTTGTGACATGCATTCTTCTGGACAACTGTTTTTTATTTTTTAACGAGATGTATAATCTATGCAACTATAGCAGATGTTAGAACAATCAAATCAAATTAGGGATTACGGCTTATCGTTCATACGTTGAATGTTTCCTATATTGATAGATTTTATAACTCACAAAGGAAATCTCAAAAATAATATACCAGTTTTGAGTTACAATTTTCAGCATTCTATCGATGTAAATCCACTTTGAATAATGAGAACTTAGTTTTCTGAACTTTTGTCTGCCGTAATACTGCGCATTTGGAGTATTGTGAGAAAGTTTTCTTTGGTCTCCTTATTGCAAATCGCTAAAATTTGCTAGATCGTATCACTTACAAGTGATATGATATAAAAGACGTACTATAATTATAAATGTAACTTGAAAGATTGGAATAGCCACAGAATCTTTGATACTCACAATGGTTTACATTACTTTGTAAAGCTTTTAGGCGAACTCTGAAATTGAACTCCGATATTATTTATTAGAGTAACCAATCCATTTATTAATTAGCAATCTTAAATTTATAGTAACTAAATAGTGATTAACCAGCTCACTTATATCTTTCAAGAATCTTCTAAACTTATTTGTATGTATGAGATACATAGAATTCTAATCCAAAAAAGGTTTCGTTTTATGTTGCTTGATTCTACCATTAGAAAAATGAATTATTTTGGCCTCATCATTTGTTTGTAATTATCATAAGTAGCTAAAAATGTTGAACTTGATTCAAGTATTTTGGTGAAATGTAAGGCACGTGTCTTAAGTATTTCATTCTGTTTGAAATTTTAAAGAAAACGAACTAAAAAAATTCTTTAGTCTAATTGACTAATAATGATTATAATTATTTGTTTTAGACAAAATCTTCACCAAATCGTAACGAATATAATGTTTATATAACATTTCATTCTCATGAACCTGAATTTGATTACTTGAAAAGTTTGGAGATTGAAGAAAAAATAAATCAGATACGTTGGCTTAAACGAAAGAATGCTGCACATTTTCTTCTATCAACAAATGGTAAAAGAAACGAATTTTTCTAATGTTGCGATGAAAAACTTGAAAATTATATTTGTGTTTTGATTAGACAAAACTGTTAAATTATGGAAAATTTCTGAAAAAACCAAACGAGCTGAAGGATACAATTTACGTGACGATAATGGAATAATTCGTTCATCGAATTCTCTAACCAATTTACGTATACCAGTAATAAGGTTTGAAATTACATCGAATAGAAATAATTTTATTTCTAAATCTTTTATTTTTTTCCAGATCGATGGAATTAATGGTTGAAGCAACGCCAAAGCGTGTGTTTGCCAATGCACATGCATATCACATCAATTCAATATCATTAAATAGTGATCAAGAAACGTTTTTGTCTGCCGATGATTTACGTATTAATCTATGGCACACTGAAGTCACAGATCAAAGTTTTAGTATGTTTAGTTTTATTTCTATTTAATTTCGACATCTACTCTTTGGGATTTTAACTTTTTTCTATCTCAATAAATTAATAGAGATCGAAATCAACTTTATGATTTTACAGGTTATCGTTTATAGTTTGGACTAACTAGACAATAGATAATACGTATGAGAGGATAAAGGTCTTCTCGAGCAAGTCGAATTTGAAATCTGCTATTTTAACGTGAGCATTGAATGCGTTTGACACTAATAATTTCATATTGAGGTTGTCTAAAAACATGTAAGAAATCATCATTTTTCATCCGATTGAGGCATTATCATTGAAAGAATACCTAGTGATACTGGCCCAAATATAGAAAGTATTCATTGTTCGTCGATTTACTTGACTGTATGGAATGCTGTTCAGTAGCAGATACGTTAACTTGATATTTTCTCTGAAAATAGAATAGTAGTCCTAATGATATTCTTTCGCAGAATTCTGATGCGTTCGATATTTATTAGCTAGTCACAAGAGTAGATTTACATCATAATATACTGAAGATGTTATCAAATAGATGACCCAAGAAAAATTTTGAAAATTACATACCAAATATCTGCCAATTAATTTGATTTTCGTGTCATAATTCATAAGCATAGCCAGAGATGCGTGAAACAGGTATTTTTTTCTTAATGAAGAGAACAATTTCAGTATTCGCTTTTTGATTATTTCAGTTGACAATTACTATCTTATAGATTTTTCTTTGAATCATAAACATATTTAGCGACTATGTTAAGTTTATGTAGATACAATTATTTTTGACTCAAGGAATCCGATGCCGCGCATCTCTGCATGAAAATTCTGACCGTTGTTAAATTCATAGTTTAAATGTAAAATATTTTATTTAGATATTGTTGATATAAAACCACCCAATATGGAAGATCTTACTGAAGTGATTACTGGCGCTGAATTTCATCCACGTGAATGTAATCTCTTTGTATACAGTAGTTCTCGAGGTATCATACGTCTTTGTGACATGCGACAATCAGCACTTTGTGATCGACATTGCAAAGGTTAAAGATCGAAGAATAGATTTGTTTTTCTAATTGAACATTCGTTTTGATTTTGTTGTTATTTTAGTTTATGAAGAACCTGAAGATCCAACAACTCGTAGTTTCTTTTCCGAAATAATTTCCTCCATAAGTGATATTAAATTTAGTCATTCAGGCAGATATATGCTTACGAGAGATTTTCTCAATCTTAAAGTATGGGATTTACAAATGAATAATAAACCTGTCGAAACATACCCAATACATGAATATCTTCGGACGAAACTATGTGTTTTATATGAAAATGATTGTATTTTTGATAAATTTGAATGTTGTTGGTCACCACATGATGAGTATGCCAATTGATATATTTCAATTCTAATAAATCATGTTCATGTTTTTTTAATTAAGCCATTTATTGACTGGTTCTTATCATAATCTATTCAAACTAACATCACGTTTGACACAAAAGGATGCAATATTTGAATCATCACGTGAACAAGTTATTCGTCCAAGGCAACTATTAAAATCTAAAAAAGTTCTTCAATCAGCTCGTCGAAATCGTCGCGATGAAATTAATCCTGATAGTTTAGAATTTTCGAAAAAAATTCTTCATTGTGCATTTCATCCAACAGATGATATTATTGCTATTGCCACAGCACATAATCTTTTTACATATATGGCAAAAGATCCATCATCATCATTATCATCTTAAGATTTATCAACTAAAAATCAAAAGACATATTTGAGCATACATCGAAAAATAAAATATTCGTGAAAGAACATTTACATTTCAAAAGTATGATTCTCATCAAGGAACCTCGGTGATTGATGTTATTCATTCGTTCATTTATTCTTCATATTTTTTTCGAAAGAACAACCTATGGCTGAGCTAGTGAGATTTTCCAGCATCATCGTTTATTTTTCTTTCTTTCATTCATCATAAACACACGTACCATTCCAAAGTTGACTTCGACTCTTTCTTGTACTTTTTTTGTTTGCTTCGTGTTGTTGTTCTCTAAGAAAAGCGTTTATATACGTACGTGTGTTTGTGTGTGTATTTTTTTATTATTCCATTTTCTTCCCTTTCATTAAATCAGAACAAAACACATAGATTGTAACTTTTTTCTTCTTCTTTCATCTGTCAGAAACTTTCACAGAAAATGATAAAAACAAAACAATAAAAGCGTTTTGAGAAAAATGATTATTGAACTAAGCGTATTTTTCAGTTTTTTATAAGAAAATTAAGATTTTCCCGAATCTCAATGTACTGAAAATAGCCAGCACAAACTTCATATGGTTAGTTTATCATGATCAAAATACTAAGCATTTACAGTAGTTTTCGATTGAATGCTATAAACCCTGCAGGAAAACCTAAACATTTGAATTTCAAATATTGAGTTAAAACTTATCAAGAATAGTACCTTATTATCGGACTCATCTTATAATGTTCTTTTCCATAACGGTCATAAAAACATTTATATTTCATATTTTTAAGTCAGGTAAAAAAAATTAAAATGCTCGGTCATGAAGGAGATGATGATTTACACTTAAATCGTGTAGATCTTGAAAAGCTCTATTTTTCGACTATAATTTTAAAAAACTGATAACTTTTTAAACAATGATTTACACTTTCCAATAAAATAAATAAAGTCTAGTCAAAATTATTGTGATTTTCCGTTTGGTTGTCATGAAATCGATCTTTATGTTGTTGTTTTAGATTCAAATAGTTTCTGCTCGATACGAGGACAACGAGTGAGTTTGAAACGACACCGAATATACTGAAACCGTGGTGATTGTGAAACTGTTCGAGGAGACCTAGCTCTATGTGACAAAATCTTTGAGAAGATACGCTTAGTTTTCTCTATGTGTGCATTCGCGTGCTGTTCAAGGTGAATTTGTATAAAGAATTATTAGAATGCGCTACATCGCCAGTGATTGATACTGATATCGAATAAATCTTCAAACTACATCTGTATAATATGAAGTTACTGGAGTTTTGTTTCCATCTTTAATCTGTTGTATATTCTTTTCTCTTTTCTACGTAAAATGACATTTCTAAAGTGAATTGATGTTAATGATCGAGCAGATTTTCGCTACAATATAGTGTGTATAAGATTATAAAACTAACGGCTCTGATATTATCAAAAGCGTTTAACTAAATCGATTTAATTAAATTGAATATAGTCGAATCGTTTTTAACATCGAAATCGGCGAACGAACATTTTTCTTATCATACTTTACAATATATGAGAGATCAATATTTGATAAAGAGTCATACATGAAAAAAATTCTTTCTTGACCGAACAATAAACCATCAGTAAATATCTATTGTTGTAAATTGCTTTCATTATGAGAACTGTTCGATAATTTTTGTTTTAATAATAAAAGCAAAAGAAAAATATTTCAAAAGAACAAAAAAAAAGTGATGAATATAATATTAATGTTGATTATTGAATCCTCATCTATTAAATATTTATATATGAAAGTAGAATGATTAAACAATAGTTTAAGAAAAAGAAAAAGATCTATTACTACTATTACGAGAGCAAAACTGTAATACTTTATGCTTATTTTTAACAATATTGATTTTGAGAATATGATTTTGGTAGAAATGGTTCATCATATGAATTACAATTTTCTGTCTAAAAAAATGCGAAAAAAAAGAACTTGGAAAATATCTATGCAAAATAAATTTAATTTTAAATTACTATTTTTGCTGGAATAGATTCTGATTCTTCACTGTCAGTTTCTTCGCTTGATGACGATGCTGTAGTCGATGAAGATACTTCAGTACTACTATCAGAATCATTTGCAGATACAGATCGAGATTGTTGAACTTGTTCATGAGGTTGTGCTACATGATGCATAATAGTTGTCGGTTGAACGTATAACGATGAACTCGTTGGCTCAGATCGATCTGCTGATTGTAAATTTTGTTCTTTTTGAATAGTTGCTTCTAATGCAGCTGTAAGAACTTTGTTATTGCTACTTTTTACGTGTTTAATTACATCGTTTGGTAATTTATCAATAAATACTGGCTCTGGATATGAATTAGTAGGATAATCTAAATTCGTCGGAATAGGATAACCTTCAGATGCAGCAGATGGTGCATATTCAATGTTAAATTGACGACCTTGTAAATCAGGAATTTGGCTATTTTTTATAAAAGATTTAAAAGAAAGACATTATTTTGTTTTGTTTTTCTCGCTCTATTTTCTAATACTTAAGCATGTTGAGTAAATTTTCTTTGCTTAATTCTGGAATATCTGTTACTGCTGAAGGTTTAAAGACTTCAGTTGAAGAAGCCGTTGTAGTTGGACGTCTTGAAACTTGTTGTTGATCACTTGTATTTATTTTTGGTTGGTGAACTGACATTCTTATATTTATTGACGTGAAGTTATCAAATCCTTAAATAAAAATTACGTTAAAAAAATTCTTTCAAAATCTTTATTTCTAAATCAATGTGATAAAACACATGGATAAAGTATAAATTTGATCTACGCAAAGCAAAATTATCTTGAATTGCTTTTACTATCAATGGGCTATGATTTAATTGGTTTTTTTACCCGTGTAAAAATAGGTTTATGCCTATTTCATACAAAAAAAAACAAATATAGACAGAATCATACGAATACAAATTTGTTTTCTCAATCAATATGATGATATATAAGATTCTTAATAGTTTACTTTACAAAACAGATATTACCTACATAGACTAACGATTGATAGTTACATTATTGACAAAAATTGTTATTTAACGAATATCAATGTTTATGTATTCTTATATAGAAAGTAAATGTTATAACGTTTAGTTGTTATAATATTCTTTTAATCAGTCTGTGCTTACTTATCTTTTCATTGAAATTATCTTTTTCATTTTATCAAGATACATACCAAGTTAACAGGAGAAAAGATCAAATATTATAATGTCTTTCGCCGATCGTTTGCTTTAGTTTTACAATGATTTATGAGTATGAATAGATATCTATGCAGTGAAAATAAAAGAAAAGAACGAGTAGCAGTTTACACATCAATGCTCTTTGCGCATTGTGTTTTTGAGTAACAATGGATAGTTGTCATCATCATTTGCGTACGGATACATATAAATGTACATTCAAATGCGGGTGTCATACGCTTGACCAATCAGCTCATCAATCATACGAAATATAAAAAAGTAAGCAGACAGTTTCATACCTCCGTTTGAATTAAGTCGCTGATTTCTATTTCGATCCCAAGATAAAAAGAAAGATTGTATACAAAACGTTTACTTTTCTATTGAAAATTAAACCATTGATCGTTATCGAGTTTTATCTGGAATTCAATCACTACCGATTGCCAATCAACCTGTTTGACTATCGGCGAATTTCTTCGAGCTATTGAGTGCATGTGCTCGTCATTTGATATAGAACCCTAGAGAAAGTGTCTGACTGTGTGCTAACCATTGTCATATTAAAACAGTCCGATATACACCATGAACAGTGAGCAAGTCTCTATAATTTACGAAAGATACAATGTTACATTTTCAACTTTCATACTTTACTTTTGCCAGTATAAATTTAATTGAATTCAGCATAAAAATTTCCGTTTCATTTCGAATATTCGAGAAATTGAAAACAATTCAACGAGTGGCCTCAGCACGACCAGAAACATGCGTTACCATGCTAAAGCTGTGATTATTCGAGAGAGAGACCAACATTTTTGGTGTAAATTCAGCTCATATTGCTATGGAACATAAGGGATTCAAGTATATATTCATTGACAATGTCGAATGTCCCCCTTATGCTACTATATAGAATGGCGAACGCGTGAACTCAATAGTTAATATGGTTAAAGTTATTAAAAAGTTGTTGTTTGTTTAAAAATGTTGGATAGCTTTCAACAAAATGGATGCATCGATAGGATTTCTTGATTACTATCCTTAAATTTAATTGATAAAACAAAAATATCTACGTTCTGTTGACAGTCGCTCTGGTTGCAAAGATTTTTATGGTTTCTTTTTTTGACAAGTATGTTATTTAAATACAAATCAGTCATGTGTTCGTAGAAATTATTCAAATTTTTGTTGCTCACAATAGCTCGTTAACAAATTGCTTTTCAAATGACAATAGCATCGTTTTGTCTTGAATTCATAAACTAGATGCAACATTAATCTCATAAAACTTAATTTTCTTTATCAACAAAGAACAGTAACACATGCAGCTTGAGACATGAAACAGATATATTAGAAGAACATTATAAATAAAACGACATGGAGTATTTCGAGCACCATAACACGAAAGATTATTTTTATCTACGCCCATTAAAAGGCATATGTGTTGGTTGACGACGATCTGATGATCCAACGCCAGCACCTGTTAAGTTTCGTGTTTGATCAAGTTGCATTGACAATTCATCAACTCGGACATCTTTTAAATGAAGTAAATGCTCGAGTCGACGAATCTTTGCTTGTAAAATCTAGAAGATAAAATGCATTCATGAACTATAGGATACAAAAAAAGAAAATTCACTTGAATTTCTTCATCTTTTGCAATAGATTCTTGCTCTTTTTCATCATATTCAATACGACTAACCATATCTGTATTTAAATTATACATTGATTGCGACTTTTTTGATACACTAAAATTACCTTCAATATATTTAATGAGAATTTCAATATATAAATTATTACTTTCCACCATTGATTCGAGATTTTGACATAGAGCCTAAAAACAAACATAAAATCAAACTAAATAATAATATCTATGAAAAAAGCACAAAATAAGAAGTATAAAAAAACCAAAGATGACTAAACGTTTGTTAATCTATATTATTAATCTACTTTAATATTTTAGTGAATCTCAACTACTGAAATTACTCTGTTCAGTTGGTGATGAATATTGTTGAACTTGTCGAGATGTTAGTGTGTTAGCTTCACTTGTTTTTTCTTTGTGATGAAGAATACTAAACGAAAGTAAGATGAAATTATTAATCTCTCAAAACCAACTACTACTAAGATATATTTCTGTTAGTACTAGATGATATATCAGTATTAAAAACAACTAACGCTATTACTTCACATTCACAAACAAAATTATTGTGAAATATTTTAAAACAAACCGATATTGAGGATCACTAGAATGTGTTTCCATTCCGTAGAGATAACTGAAAAAGTAGAGATCTTATTGTTAGCATTAAAAGTAATATATTATAATTATACAGAAATATTTCATTTAATAATTAAAATAATACATACTCATCAATCTTTGTTCGTAAATTGTAAAGAAATATTTCAATTAACCCAGCGCGACCAAGGCATATACCACGCATTATATGTTCGGGAACATTTAGACCAAATCGACAGAAGATTTTCCTAAATTATTTAACATTTGAAAATAATCTTAAAAGCTTTAAAGGAAACAAATGCACCATAATTAAAATAATCAACCTCCACGTAACATGAAGTATTGAATCTTTCTTTACTAAATCGTTATGTTTTTCGCATACTCATTTGTTTATGCGTTTTAATGTATTTACACAAAAGAATTCATTTTTAGTAAATCCTCTCTAAAATCATCTAGATTACTTTAGAGTGACATGCAACCAACAAAGCTTTAACTATTTTTTCAATCTTGTACTTTGTTTTCAACATAACTTTCCATTAGAATAAAAAGTTCATTTTGTTCATGCATCAGTGATCATTTGGCAGCAATGTAATAACAAAAAGAATATAATCTATGTTGATAAAATTGATTTACCTATTTAAAAGACCCCAGTTAATTAATTTCTGTTGTGTACTATTGGCTGCTGCATAATTATGTAAATCCACCTGTACAAATAAATTTTTATTAAAAAAAACTTCAAATAGAATATTTAAATTATTTTACCCAACTAGGAAAATAATATTTAATTAATTCTGCTACCATCACTAGAAAAACATAATGAATAACAAAAAGGAAAAGCAAATCTTTTTAATAAATAGATAAATAAATATCACACCTGATTGAAGAAAACAAAAGTTCAAAAAACAAGAAGATTGGCTTACCACCATCAGCAAAATCTTTTTCGATACGTTTTTTAGGTCGACTTAATTGTATTTGATCAATCCATGCATAAAGATCTTGTAATATTTGATCGCCTAATTCAATGTCCCAAGACATTATTTTCTTCAGAAATCAAAAGATCTCAAACAGAATAAAGACAAAAAGAAACAACAATGCGAATGAAAGATCTGAAAGAAGAAGAAGCAGTAGTAGCATTAGCACACATTCATCAAATTCCAATAAGAAGATTCCAAACACGAACTAAGAACATAATACCTCCATCAGAAAAATCTTTAGCAATCTTTGTTTTTCTTCTAGTTAACGGTATACTATCAAGCCATATGTACAATAGATAAAGTTGTTCTTTGTCAAATACATATGACCAGTCGAGTATCAGCATGGCGTTTTCTTTCAACAATATATTTTTTTGCTCTTTCTTCATCGCTATAACTCACCAGTGTTACTATAGCGATTACAACTCTAAATTATTCAGAATATATTCTATTGGTTAAGAAACATACCAGTCTCATTTCGAATGTCACCATCGATTTTGCCGATATTCTACATTTTGTTGTTAATGTTTATAGAACAAATATAAATCATTCAATGACCTTTGATATTGTGATGGTTGATGAGCAGCTCACTATATTATGCTGAAATATTTACGGTATATATGTCAAGAGCTCGATATATATATATATATATGTGGGTAGAAGTTTTTTGACAAATCGATTTTTATCGAGAAAAATTTGTTCTTTTATTTTATAGATAGGTGTTCTTAAAACCAAACCTTGTATCTGGAATGTTCAGTGCTTGCGACACTAGAAGTGACTTGTGACAACTTCGCTTAATATCAACTGCATAATTCGTAAAATCAATGAACTGATAAGCTGGTTAACTTACAATGATGAAAATATTCACACAAAATTTTAATTTAGCAGCAATTTTCTCTGTTTCAATCGTATATGCGTGACATCTACTATCAAAAGTTATTCTAATGGTTAAAATTTCATTATAATCGGAGTTAAATATCAAAACGAATGAAAAAAAGTAGTTCGTTTGATTGATCAGTTCAATGAAAATGTGGTTTATTTCATTAATAATATTTCTTGTATTGTTTCCTGATACAATTTTTTCTGCACCTGGTATTAGTAGTCATTATAAAAATACAGGTTTCCATACACGTCTCGAATATGTTATTGATTCTGACCCAACAAAACCTACCCATTGTTTATTTGTTTGGCATCGTTTACCTCCTTATCTTTATATTGAACCAGATGAACTTTATCAATTGAATGCTACTATAGTTGGTTTCATAAATATCGAAGCATCTGCATCTCAATCACATCCATTTGCTTATTGTTTTTTATTATACAATTCTTCCAAAATACCATTTCGTAATAGACGAAAATTTTCAATTAATATTCATAGTCGATATCTAGATCCAAAATCTGATCAAAATCAACAATATGAAACACTTTATTTACCTGAACCAGTTATACATTTTACAGAAAAGCATTGTCCTTATTTGGGCTCTGGCTGTCCAGCACCATTAAGTGAAACAGGTATTGAATCACCCAGAGAACTAACTGTAACTATTCCTGTTGGTCAAGAATATCATCTAGCGTTTGTTTTTCCTCTTACATGTTTATTTCCATTAATTGGTTGTTCATTATTATTTATATTTAGTGGAAAAAATCGGGCATAAATTTAGTTTTAATTGTAAATAGTGTCTTGAAATGATTTGTTCTTTTGCCAATAAAATATTAGATAGATTATATTTCATACTTGACAAATATTTTGAACTACGATAAGATCGTAAGTGCCGATCGATTGATCTTATGATAAAGCAGGTTTTATTGCAAAGTAAATAATTGGAATTAAATGTAAAAGAAAAATAAAGGATATTTCTTTTTAATATAATAAGTAAAATTTAGAACTGAATTGAAATAAAAAGTGAAATCATCGAAAATATTCTTGGTGATAAAAATTTGTAAAAAAATAATAATGCAAAACTCTCAATATCTTGATACCAATGGCTCAATACTGTTGATATGTTCTTCTCCGGATATGTAAACAGGAAAATCAAGAATACGTAATTGTTCATTATAATCAACTAAAAAATGAACCATGAGAAAGTTTCATTTAATGGCAAAAAGCTAAGATACTCTTACCACAAACAGATGCTCCTGCTTCTTCTATAATATTATTTCCATATCGAACGGAAACATGTGTTGCAAGTTGATCAATAACTAATCGATAATCAATGTATGATTGATTTTCATATTGGTTATCTTCTAAATGTAAATAAATGAATATAACAAACAGAAAGCATGAAAAATAATAAACCTTCTATTTGTTTATAAACAATTTTCTTAATAAGCGATTTTCCTGGTACACAACAACATACAGCACACAAACTTTGAGGGTTTGGAGGTGGACGATGCACTAGCGACAACGGTAGATAAACATCTTGAATCGATTCAGGACAAGGAACAAGACAAAGACGCGCATTTTCATTAATAGAAGGAATAGTGTGAGCTGTTGAAGATACATTTTTAGTCGGTATTTGTGATGGACACTGGTATCGAACAGGATAGTTTATTGATTGATCATAAACTTCGCTTTCTTCTGGTTTAGTCCAATTATATGACGGCAAAGGTTTTTCTTAGATAATGAAGGAATATCTGGTAGAGTTTCAGTTATTATTGGTGACCTATATTCAATGACTTGTGCTTCTTTGTGATCCGTTGAAGTATTTGTCGATGTTTCTTGCGTTCTATAAGGTATTTCATTCAATGTTGATAATAATTGTTGGCATATTGGCTGTTGCACGTACGATTGTACTGGCTGTTGAAGAGATTTTGTTTGAGTTGATGCGTCAACATAGTTTATTTCAGATATTTGAATATTTTGTTGTTACTGTTATTCCTTATGATCACAGCTGATCGATAAAATTGTGTTTGATTGTGCAAATCATTTGTTGAACAGAAGGAGATATTGATGATAATATCTCTGGTTGCATAGAACATGGAGTAGACTTCTTTATTTGTTCAGTATATGTCTGTGGAATCGGTTGTTCTACATCATGAAATTGTTCTTCATATATTTCTTGTTGGTCTTTTATCCATGAGTCTTTAAACTTTTTATAACAATTACTGATACATTTACGTAAATCAAACAGTTCCTCATCATCTTCATTACTTTCAATATCACTGTTTGTGAGAGGTGATAAAGATCGCTGTGATTGAATAGTCGACCTGCAATCATGAGCTAGTGGAAATGTTTCAATATTTTTATTGTTGCTGATGAATTTCTTCGGTTATTGAAATAGGTAACGATAGTTCATTAGCAATAGTTTCATGAAAACTTGGTCGATTTTCTTCGTAGAATGTAGATTGCTGTTGTGATAGATTTTCAATAGTATTCGATTGATTTAATATAGGTACGTGAGTTGAATTTGCTTCCATTGTATGCTCAACGGTGCCTGTTGTTTTTGAGAAGCCAGGTAACTGTGGGTTAGTCTGATTCCAATCGTATAATTTCGACACTGGTGGTTGATATGGAGTATTTTCGTGTGTATATGTAATTCTTACGGCTGGTTGTTCATTGGTATAAGAAAGATCAGGAGTAGTCCGTTGAGACGAATATTGAACTTCTTTTATTTCACGACCAATTGCAGGTACATTTATAACCTGTGCAGAATAAGTAATGTTACTTAGTTGATCGATATGCAAATATTTCAATGTGTTTTGTTGTGAATTTTCTATTGGAACTGTTGTAGTTGTTGATTCAATTGGTATTTTATATTGTAATAAACCTTGAATTACTTCTGATTGATATATAGGTGGTAATGACGGTTGAGGAGATAAATTTTGATGCTGTTCAGTATAAATCAGCTCTTGATATTTTGGTTGTACTTTTGTTTTAGGTGCAGTTCGTTGTTGAAGTACTCGACGACGATACAATTCAAAACATCGGTATCAACAATCATCTAATTCTGTGTCAATGTTTGATATTGGCAACAAGGTCTAGATCACATATTTGAAATTCCTTATGTTTTTATTTAATGAGTGCTACCGGAATTTTTATTTGTTTAAGATTTGCGTCCTTGAAATGCTCATATCAATGACTTGACGAAAATGATTGCAATAAACCCAAGGACTTATTGTCATACAAACACATTTTTGCCGTTCGCTGTCAAGGTTTTCTTCTGTATATCATCGTCTGTCTCGATGTAGCCTACTGATTTATTTAGATACGAAGAAAACAGTATGATAACATGTACTAAGTCGCAAAAAAAGAATACTTCTTCATTTTCAAGAGAAATTTCTTCCTAGAAATATTTCAAGTAGAAGACAAACATTTCAATGTGACCGACGCTTGATTTGGCTGTTGTGTCGGTAGTGATATCAATGGTGCTCTGCTTGATTGAGACAATGATTATTTTATTACTGTAGGCATAAATACAGTTCTATAAGGATTTGTAATTACCCATGCCTACTTAATATAGTTTATGTAAATGTATATTTTACCGGAAAAAAAAGAGTCTTGAATATAAATATCAATGCAGTCCTGCACATTATATTAAGATGTTCTGAGTTCACCTTGTAAATCATTTTTTGTACTATAGATTACGCGTATGAATTGAACATTAACACTTTTGTTTCAGTATTGCCTAAAAACCAAATCATTTGTACAGATTAACTTATGTATTATAATTCAAACCAAATAACTTTTGATATACTTGGAAATGATTAAACAGAAGATATACGTGCTAGAATTGTTTAGTTTTTCCTGTTGCATAAATAAACGAAGAATATGTACAATAATATTTGTTATCTAGTACATAACATATGGTGCTCGATAGATAATAAACACAAGACACTAAAATAGACGGGCGACGTTCTCTGTCTTTATTGATAGTTTTCTCTTAGTAATGAGGCATAAAAGAAAAACAGAACGAGAAGTTTGTTCGCCTGCCATATCGTTATGTAGTTTTTATTAGATAGGATCAATGATAGTCTTTGTAAATGTTTTTATTATCATTTTAGTTCATTTGTTATTCTGTGTATCGATTGAATTTTGTTTTTGAAAGAGAGATAACAAATAAAATGGTTATTAATTTCGAATTTTCTCTTTATGTTTGAGAGGACATAAATGAGATATATTATCATACCGTTTCAGAACTACTTAATATCCAAACGAGTTCGATAAAATGCCTGTTAATATTATTCATTATCAACAGTTATCAACTGAGAAATCGATGATGAGTGTATCAAGTTCTATATGTAATCATATTCAAATTTTTCTTTGAAATCTTTTTAAAGAAAAATGAAAATTCGACTCGATTAATATTTGTTTTGAATGCTATTTATTCGAGCCATAGATTCATCGTTCTTTTCTTTCCTTCTGTGTTGTTTTGCAGAACTCCTATTAACTAATCTTATTAGTTAATTAGCTGCAAAAATATCAAATGTCAAAGTGATCTTTTATGATATGTAATTTCATTTATTCATATCATGTTCGTTCCTTACCAATTATATTGACAAGTAAATAAAAGAAAATAGAAGAATGACATTGAAGAAGCTGTTTGACATATAATCACTCAATTGATTTTCTCTTCATAAGAAATAAAAAGATGTTCGTAGAAATTCTCCTAAGATATAAAATATATTAATATGCGCCAGAAAGCTTTCTTCTGCAATAGGCAATACTGACCAAAAGCAGTTAAAATTCAAAGAATCATTTTTTTCTTCAGAATAAACAGACTGAATAACTCTTCATTTTGTTTATAGATGCGATTATAACTCGAAAAATTGATTTGATTACAAGATATAAAAATTCATCAAGGAAAATATATATTAGACTATCGGATTAGACATTTATTTAATTGCATATTACTATTTTAAATTGACTAAGACATTTGTTTTTATTTAAGATGCATTCAGCTTTGAGAAAAGTTCGATTTTAATTTTAAAATAATATTTTAGAAGAACAAAATAAAATATGAAAAAATTGCTGAGTTTTCTGTTAAAGAAACAAGACAGTACTTTGCACGAATAGAAATAGAGAAAGAACAGAAAAGCCTTGTTACAAACAAAACTAGTTCTCTTTCTCGTGTTTTTCTCTATTGTGTCATTCTACTAGACGATAGTACATTAATGACCTAGGGGAATATGTTTCTTTCAATTGTAATATCCCAATACAGAACCAATTCGAGTTTGCATGTTCTTGATCTGAATACCCATTTGAGAATAGCCTGTACTACATCATTTTTTTCATATTTTAATAAATGAGCTGAGAGATAGAAATATATCAATAGTTTATATCGTTAATAGTAAATCGAATTATTAATTTTTACTGTCATGGTAAAGAACTTGAATACATATTATGTATTGAGAAATAAACATGTAGAAAAAATAGAAAAGCAACATTAAAATTTCATTTACGATCAAAAAGTTTCATTTTGTAATCAAGAATATTAGATAAGTATCAGTTCAAGACAAGATTTTCTAATGTCTATATGAAAATTAAAACAAAAAAGCAGGATCAAAAGAGATATAAAATTATTTAATATTTGTTTTTTATTGCTAGTTTTAATTGAAATGTTATTTTGATACTTCTGTTTTTAATCATAATGTCAGTTTTTTTTCGATGTATCTCTAGATATCAGTTAGTTGACTGGCACTACTGTAGTATGCGTCATTAAATAATTTTAGGAAAAATGAGTAAATGTAAATTAATTGAAGAGTGAAATAAATCATTTTCTATTGTTGAACAGTTTTGAAATAACTCTACGAGCTGAAAACTTTTCTTTTTTCTTGCCAATTTATTAGAATTGAAGATGTTATTCGTAAAAGAAAAGAAGAACTGTAACCAACTATTATAATTACTGTGTTGTTATTTGCAAATCATACTCCAGAGAAAATCAAATTATATGTTCGCCCCTATCAATTATGTAAAACATCCTGCTAAATATATTATTTTTCATTGTATTTCCTCTATCTTATTCCATATGTTGAATATTTGCCATCGAACATAAAATTAGTTTATCTTCATTGATTATGACATTCGAATTCGAACTTTTTTATTTCTTCTAAACATCAAAAAGTAGTCTAGAAAATCCTTTTTATTAACCTTTTAAAAGTAGACTTGTTTTTCTTTTGTTGAGATGGAACTAAATGAAACGACACTATCAATGACAATAATGAATGATGAGTCATTTAATAGAAATATTCGTTTAACTAATTTGACTCTTTCCTCTGCTGGTATTGTATGTAATTTCATTTTATTGATTATACTTTTAATACTTGATCGTCATCAATGTACAACATATTTTTTATTAATATTAATGACAATATGTGATTTTCTTTATTGTACCGTTTATGCAAGTATTTTATTAACTATTGAAAATTATTTCAATATAATAAATCATCAAATATTATGTCCATTATCATTCTTTTTAACACCATTTACATTTACAGGATCAACATTATTATTATTTATTTGTCTTTTACATTTAATTACCAATTATAAACGTAAATATAATACTATTTTAGGTCAAATTGGTGGACGTTTATCAGTTGTATTTGTTTTTGCATTTATTATTATTCGAAGTGTACTTGGTTCAACATCTATTGAATTAATGTCTGATTCCATAATGCCACAAATTCAACATTGTACTATTGATATGAATACACCAGAAATTGTGACTAAAGTCCAAAATATAGTACATATTTTTGCTGAAGTAACGGATATACTTGTTTATATTGGTTGGATTGCTATTTTATTTATTTATTTTATGTCATTAATTAAAAATAAGATATTAAAAAAACAAAATGGAATAAATCAAAAATCAGATCGATTTGTCTCTTTTCTATCGATTCGAAGAAAACAAGAAGGAAATTTAAATTCCACTAATGAACAAAGATTAACAAATAAAGAACGACATAATAATGTATCATTAATTATACTTCTAATAAGTTTATTATCAATATTATTTTATTTACCTGTTATGATAAATAAATTTATAACAATGACTTTAATTTATCAAGGCAAAACATTTTTAAATGATCAACAAATTTATTATTTACAAGTCATACAACAAACAACACATTTATTTTGTTTAACAATAAGATTTATTCCATATGGTTTATTTGATAAACGTATACGTTCATCGATTCATCATTTAATTGGAATGAAAATTCAAAAAATAAAATTAACAAAAAAGACAAAATATCAACAAACATATATTTGCCATTGTCAATGTTCTCGTCGTCAACAATCTTTAGAATTAAATACAATTTGATATGAACTAAGATCGAGATTGAATTGTATTTAAATATATATATTGATACTGATATATTACATAAGAAGCAGCAACATATTTGAGATAATGTTTGTAATCATTGACCTATTTCTATTTAATAAATATGAATATACGTACATCCACAAATTCCTATGAGATCAAATTTATCATTAAAATTTCGATTTGATGAAGCAAATTCGATATGAATATTCTCATTACGTTTTTCAATCTCAGTTTTCCATCTTTACAAACCTCTTTATTATTCTTTTGCTTTCTTGACTAAAGTTACCGTTGAATTTTTGGATTTTAATAATAAATATCTTCTATGCTCACAGAAATTTATCGAAATAACAACAAGAATATATTCTATAAGGTTCTACATATAATTTTATTATTGAACTGAATTATTTTTAGTTTTAGCTCGTCGAATTTAGTCTTTCTTTTTTATGTTCAACGAGCCCTACTGATCAGCAATGTTTTAACTGCATGTGAATCTATGTTTTTTTAGAGATCTTAACTTTTCAAAAAAGAATTGACAGATTATATTTCAGAATAAGATATTGAAATAGTTTGACACGTGATCTTCTGATTGTTATAACAAATTAATTCATTGCTAATTTTAGTACAATTTAAGATGGAATTTCTTTTCTTTTCTTTATGAATATATAAATAACATATCCAAGAATCTCTAACGATAAATAAGAAAACTACTTCTTTAAAATATTTCTTAGTCATGATTAAAAGATCTAACAGTTTTTCTATTTTTAGGTAATCAATTAGTTTCATTTCCACCAACTTGTTAGAATAATGCGGTAATTTTATATCCTATTTGTAAATTAATTTCTATCAGAAAGAATTTTGATCATATTCGAAATGAAATCATTTCCGTATGCATTCGCTCTTGTCTTTCATTCAAATCCTGAATATGGTTCACCGATTAGAATTAGATATACAATCTTTTTTAGTGAGATTATATAGATTAATAAGGAAATGCGACAAGATTCAACATGAATACAGATGCTTTAACCTGAAAACAAACCTGGCAGATGTTTAAAAAGTTTTACATAAGTTTTATTGTATTAGATTATTGAGAATCTATTTAAGTTATTTCTATTAGTTTGTCATAATTAGAAATCCTCTATGCTATTCTTTCGTATAGATTTTTTTCTAGACTTCTATCACAACTTTCATTAGAACAATGGAAATACGCAGAGTATTTAATATTGTTTTTTTACTGCGCTTAGAAAATAAAAATATCTCATATATAATTGAATTTCATTTGTGTGAATGTATTTTACAAGAAATAGATGATAATGACGTCACTCAAAAAAGTAATTATAAAAAGAGTGATGATCAGTAGAAACGATTCTTTCAAGAATAAAAAAATTGAAATATCGAAGTTGGCCGACTTCTTGTCTTAGAATACTATGATTCCATTACTAAATTAACGAATTTGTAAAATTAGAGAAAATTTTTTTATGTTATATCTTATACCATATGAATAAATATGTGATAGAAATTTCGAATTTCATCTCCAGTTTGTATTAGCTATAAAAATAAACGCAGCTGATTAATCAAACCTATAAGCTTCTATATAGAGAACCTTTTTTAAATTCTTGTCCTCAACAGCTTTGTATTTCTTTATGAAATTCTATTTATTTTAATGATTACTTTAGTAAATATAACGTTTACTTTCCTTTGGGAAGTATTTTTTGGATTGACATATAATATAATTTGTGCGAAAAGAAAGTTTAAGTATAATCTTGCATTGTATTTATCTCTTTCACAAAGAACAAGAGAGTCCCATTAATGTACCACTTCTATTAAGTACCCACTATTCTTGAAAAAAGACCCTCACAAGCGTAGAAATCGTATAATGACATTCAATGATTGTTTATCTATGGTTATATTTATAGGAAATAAAATCTTATTTATTCATGAAACTGAAATGAAAATCATAATCTTATACTGATAAAATCTCAAAATGTTTTTTCTTCTATGCTAATATGAATGCCATAAACTTTCAAATATCAAACAACGATAAAAGAACTCTGATCAATGCAAGTAAAATAAAATCATTTGTCGATTTAATAAAGTAAAGTATTATTAAAGGCAGACATTTTTTCGTTTCATTAGTTTGTCAGAGAATCTTGATAATTCGGATAAATCATATATGTTATATTAAATGCGCCCTCTCACGAATTAATTTGTTTTAGCAAAGAATTAACAAATAGAGGTTTGTGTTTACTATTTGCCAATCAACTATTTAGACTGATTTTTGTTAAGGATTTTGTAGCGAAAATTGTTCTTGGTTTTCAAGTTATTCTGAAATAAAATTAACGAACTATTTTTTGCTAAAAGCTCAAGGTAATTATAAATGCTTATTTTTGCACATGATCTTGTGAAAATACTTAACAACTATTAATTCACTTAGCAAGCGCCAGTGTAGATGTAGATACGGATCTCAGTAGTGCTTTCGGCAAAGCTCTGATCGTTGACAATGCATAAATCCACATTTATACTGACATGACACCAACAATGGTCATTCACACTTGAAACCTTCGAATTTTTCACTTATTTTAATTGGTTTTCTCATTCGACATGTTCGTCGTATCTTCTACTTTTGCCTCTTTGGTTTTTCCTGACCGGTTTTCGAAATCGAATTTAGAAAGTGTCACCTTTTTATCGTTTCACACATCTTGGTTGAAATAGTTTGTGATAATCAAAAGACATCACTTTGTTGAGAATTTCACGGTGCATATTGTGATAATGATGTGTAAGATTGGATCTAGAAAAGTGAGAAATAGATTTGACTTATTCTCACTGGACAACCCAATGCGAATGTCTAGAAGACGTCAAATATTCAAAATGATGCAGAATATATTATTTATTTTCAGATTTCGTAGAGGAATATCGATCAACTAGTTGAATATTAATTTAAATTATAAAAAACATATCGTATGACGTAATTCTTTTTAGTGTAATAAACATTTGAAATATTTCTCTGCTGTGAATATAAGATTGTAAAATCTCAATAATTGTTTCTGCTTTTTAGGTTTTTATTTTTCTTGTCTTTAAGCAATAATTATATTTCGTAACGTATTTCGTCGAATAACTTTGTCAGCTAATGTTGCTAGTAGTATCAGTAGCAATGATGTATTAGTTGACAAAGTTCAACAATTAATAAATAATCATAAAGTGATTATCTTTTCAAAAACGTTTTGTATGTTTACTTCCATACAATCATCATTTTTTCAGCTAATATTTTTTATTTTTAAGGTCCTTATTGCATAAAGGCAAAAGAAATTCTTGGTAGATACAAATTACACGATTACAAAATAGTTGAACTTGATGAAATTCCTAATGGAAATGAATATCAAAATATATTAGAGAAAATAATAGATGCTAAAACTGTTCCACGAATATTTATTGATGGAAAATGTATTTGTGGTTGTGATGATACGCTAATATTACATCGAAATGGAGATTTGGAGAAAATATTAAAACAAATCAATACAATTTAAAATTAAAAACTTATTTGATCATAAATATCTTTTCAGTCTTTTTTCTAAATAAAAACGAACGAGTTATTTTGGAACATAAAATGTGTAATTTTAACTATAAAACAATAAAATAGAATATAAATATTTTACTACTCAATACTAAGTATGAGATCAGTTCACATTTTCCCTTCATTCTAATGATAATTCTTCCTAATTTATACATTTGTATATTAAAAGAAATCTTCTCTTAGAAATTAATAAAACGTTATATGAAATTTTAATAACGATGATTTTATACATTGAAAAATTCAAAATGATGGAATCAATATTTACAATTCAAATGATTTTTTCTTCGTTAAATTGAATTAAAAAATTATTCTTTAGCTAGTAAAGTAATTAAGTTCTGCAAGACTCGAAAGAGTTTGAGTGAAAAACTACTTAGTAGCTTTTACATTAATTGAATGAAATAAAACATTTCATGTAATCTAATAAGAATATTTATAATAGCTCAAGCTTAGCTATCTACGAAACCCCGACTGGATCCATGGAAAACCTATTATGAATACGACAATATAAAATAGAATTTTAAACATTTATTTATCGTCTGTTTATATTAGCAGACAAATTTTTATGCCAGATGAAGAAATATACTAGGTACTTTGCAGTTGGAATTTGCAAAAACGGAAAGTAGAAATGTTTTATGGCTGTCTCATTCTTTTTTCCCATGTGTCGCCATGATTCAACATAAATAAATCCCGAGAACCGTAGTCACATCATTCGAAACAATCAGTTGAATAGATATTGCTCAAAGAGATCTTTGTTTGAAATACAGAAGAGTTATGGGAATGACTATAGAAATTATCTATTCGAATGAATAAGAATTGTTTTGTACTGCTATGAAAAAAGAATTTAATCCCCACAGCTGAAGCCATTTCCTAGTTATTTATTGATTATCAAAAAGAATCAGCATGTTAAACTAAAATATAAGTTAATTTGAGTAATTGGAATGTGTATGTTAATGTTGAATATAAGCTGAAATAAAATTCGATAACATCTTCCGATAATTTCTATGAGGATGTATTTTGACATCATAATGAGAATGATACTAGTTTATCATTAATAACCAACGGAATAAAAAGTGACGAGAGATAGCGACCAAAACAAACTTGTTTTTTTCAGCATCGCGGTTAGAAATATTAAAAAGCCTACACAAATTAATCTTTCTTCTTATATTAAGATATTTCTATAAATAGAATCTTTTTTTAGTTCGAATGGCATTCATTCTATAATTTATCATCATGAAATCTACACTCGTTGTGCGATTCACTACGATAACATATCTTGTGTTTTTACTCTTTACTATCGTTCTGTCTGCACCTGGTGTAAGTGACAGAACAATTATCTTATTATTATACATATTTAATTAATATTATTTTTCTTTTAGTCATCAAATTCAAAAACAGAGTAAAAGAGATCCTTTTCTTCAAATAATTTATTATTTAAAAAAAGGCAAAAAAAGAATAATTTCCATTGAGAAAGAAAAATATCTTATTTTGTAGAATTTATCTAAAACGTTTCGTTCATGGTCGATCAATTGATCAAGATGATGAACAACAAGATTTTAGTGAAGATTTGCTTGAAAAACGTTTTGTTCATAGTTAAATGTCATAAGGAATAACTATTTTAAAACGAAAAATGAATCTAAATTTTGTTCCTTTCTGCTGTATTCCGAAGATAAAATAAAGTTATATTAAACGAAAGAAAAGCCCAATTTGAATATATTTCATATCTAATAATTAGGTAACGATAAAAAAAAAAGAAAAATTGAATTTTAATTAAAATAAGCAATGTAGAACATATATTGATGAAATTCATGTATAAACTATATATGTATATTGAATATAGTATTTAATATCGATACTTACAAAGGAATGTATTTTACATTAAATTATTAAAAATTAAAAGATCTTCTCTATTCGGATACACATCCACAATTATGAAATCATCCAGTTGTTACTAAATTATTAATTACTGATTATTATGATTAGATTGATACAGTAAATATTATTCAAAATATAATTAGTTTATGAGAAACAAGAAATACATTAGATTGAAATTTTGAGTATGATGAAAATTCAGCTTAAATTACATGCAAAACGTTTGATGATCCATAAGAATCAACTGAAGCTTTTAATCGAGTTCATAATGAAATTAGGGATATTGTTCAAAAGAAAAAAATATAAAGCGTATTTATATGACAATATTACTCTCTTATATCGGCAAATCAATGAACGATTTATAGAGAAGTAAAGATCAGCCTAAGTTTTATTTTTTCTTTCTAAAACAATGAATATCTTTGAATAAATTTGACTGGCTTGTATGACTAATTATTCTATCATTTGATCATGATACGTATGAGTCATTACATAAAAAAATGACAGGAATATGTTTACCTTTTATTGTTCGTTCTCAATATATTTCGAATGATTAGTTGTTTATGTGCACCATAGCAAGGACAAAGTATAGCATTTTACATACCTCCTCGAGCGCGTGAGTTTTCGTTTTTCTCCATTGTTAAACTTGTGTGAATTTATTCAAAATGCATAATTCTGCTAACAATGAATTAGATTGCACATATTCTGGAAGTTTTTCAAACAAAATGAGAGAAAATCGATCAACTGATATAAATCAAGGACAAAACAAAACAAATGTCAGTTCATTAAGTGGATTTAATGTCTATTGTGTTTATGATAAATTTGCTGCTACGTTAAGAGAACCAAATAATCCTAAATCACCAATTGGTACGCAAGATTATATTGATAGTTATCGAGAATTAATAAAGTAAATAATGAATTAATAAAGCTAGGCTATAACATATTTAGTTTTCTATTTACTGTTTATTAATAGATTTTTGGATCAACTTGGCTATATTTTTAAATTTGTTAAAGATGATGTTATAGATAAATTAAAAGTTTTACAATCGTTTATTGATAAAGATAAAAAAAAGTGAATCCCATTTTGATACAATAGAAAAAGCAATCGACTATGAAACTGAGCATAATTTCATAAAAACAAATCCAGATAATTTTACTCGTACTTTATTGCGACTTCATCGTGCATTAATTTTTATTGTTGAATTTCTTCGTAGTTTAATTGATCGACCATTATCAGAAAGTACAACAACTATTGCAATACATTGTTATGAGACAACGTTATATCATCATCGTATGTATTTAAATTTTAATCAATTTTACAGTCAAATTTTTAGTTAAGTAGATTGGCCATTTCAGAAAAAATTATAAATATTTTTTAAAGTGATCGAAAATTTCGTGATCAAATTAGACAGCTTAAGAATATGTGTTGTTCGAATTGAATAAATTTAATACTTCCATAATTGATGCCTTTCCTAGAAACAATCGAAACAAAAAGTTATTTATAAATATTAAAAACGAATAAAAAACTTGTTTAGATAGTTTTCTGGTTCGTCAATCAGTTAAAATGGGATTTCTTCTATTACCATCACGTAGACAACTAGATGATATTATATTTCATGGTCATAAAGCAGAATTACTTGATGAATATAAAACATTTATTAAAATTATCCAACAAATCTTTGATACAATTGAAACACTTTATGCAGAAAACAATTATTTACAATTACCATGAATTTAGAAAAATCAATGACTCATTTAGATTTTGTGATATTCTCTCTTTGTTTTCTGTTTATAAGAAAAAAGCGTTTAATTATTCGAACCTTTTAAATATTATTCATCGATTGATTTTTCACAAGGACAACATTTGAAATTATAAAATGAAAAGGATATTAAAACAATAATATTCTTATTATCCAGATAATTAAATCAATATGGAAATAAAGCTAATTTCCGTTGTATTCCTTTTTCTATGGAATGAACAATGAGAAAAATCTTTTAATTCTCATTTTCTTTGCAAAAAATATAGTGAAGTTGAGATTATTTCGATAAAAACTTAATCTCATGAGAGCCTACGTCTTATTAATTACTGAAAAATTCTAATATTTTTGTTCATAAACATTTTCAATTGAATTTTGACTCTATGATAAATCGACTTTCTCAGATATTTCTGATAAAAAATATCGTTATATGTATAATATAATATAGGAAATTGCATAAATTATTTCGGGTTAATAATTTTATGAGAAAGTTTCATTTCGATCTTATTGAATATTTTATTAAAATTTGAAAACACTGTGAAAACTTTATTAAATTTTCGATAATTCTTCTTTTATGTTCGTTATAAACATATCCAAAGATAAGTAGTAACCTGATAGTAAGACAGTTACTCGATTTTAATTTACTTTTGTGGAATGCGTCTCTTTCGATAATTTTCTCAATCTAAAATAATAGTTACTTGACTTCACTTATCTTCTGTTGTTATAATCACACATTTTTAAATTAAAGAGAACGACGAAAAAAGTAAAATCTTGTGTGTGCTTTTGATTTAAAAGAAAGAAAAGCGACATAATAAAAACTTGCTAAAAAAATACCAAACCAATTGAAATTAATTGAAATTAAAAACATCAAGTATAAACAGACAAAAGAAAGAAATGAAACAAGATATTTAGAAAAGCAAAATATAGAAATAGTTAATTCATTTTCTTATAAATTATAATAGGTAAATGAAAAAGAACACACTGAATACAAATGTGAAAAGGGATGAAGCTGATCATGATAGTCAACGACAACAACAAAATACTTAATAAATGGGAATATCAACAGAAAAGAAAGATAATTTTATATGTTAACAAAAGGCAAAATTAAAATATAGACGCGAAAAAGCACAAAAGTTCATCACGTCAACAATAATAAAAGACAAAAAAAATAAGTAAATACGCACGCCTATTATATATCGTCTAGTTCTATTCGGATATTTAAATACTAATATAATAAACTTACTCTTGATTAGAGTGCGGAGAAACACCGACGACAAAAGAAAAAAGAATTTAAAATACAAAGCACAAGACAAAACGACAATTAACTTTTTTTTTTAAATTAAAAAGATATTTATGCTCGAGGTGTTGTTGCTGATTGATCATTTGTTGCTGTCGGACCATATCCTTTCTTAGTATTGCGTTTACGTAACACTAAAATAATTATACCAATAAGAAGAAGAGTAAGAATAGCTGCAGCAATAATTATTATTGGTAACCAGTTCATTCCTTTCTTTGGTGGTGCTGATGAACCGCCTGTTTGTTTATCATTATTTCCAGTACTATCAACATTTGAATCGGATGAACTTGCCTGATTATTTTCTCCATTAGTTTGATTTTCATTATTTTTTTCTTCTTGTTGATTATCTTCACCTTCATTTAATTTACCTTGTTCATCTACTCGACGATCATCGTCTTGATCCTGATCTGTCTGCGATTCTAAAAACAAAGTAAATATGAATTATCTACATTTCATTTATTAAATGAAACTAATTATAAATATTAATCGAATCTAAAATTAGAATAATAATATTTAAATACCATCTTGAGATGAAACAGGAGTAGTATTATCTCTTTCATCATCCGACTGAAAAGATTTTGTTGTTTGTCGATCATTGTTGCCGTCAAAATGATTTGAATAATCTTCATTAGACAAATGTTCCGATTGAGATTTATCATTTTGATTATATTCTCTATTTGTTGAATAGTCATATGGAAGTGATTTTTCCTCATCATCTATATCGCCAACATGATTTATATCCGGTAAAGTAGACCATGAAGGATGAGTGTCTGTAGGTGTTATATAGAATATGTATTTTTGTTTTTATTTAATTATTTTTCAATCTCATTAAATTACTGTAGAATTTTAAACAAAATATAAATCATACCTGGTTTTTCATGATTTTCATGTTGTTCGTTGTCCGAAGGTGTTTGATTATCAGGTTCTTGTTGTGGATGCTGTGGTATAATTAGATGAAGCTTTTCACGATCGGAATCTAATACTTGATATGATGTTGTATAAACTTTTGATTGGCGTTGATGCAAAGCATCTGTACCATCCGCACGTTGAATTGAAGGTGGAGATTTAAATAAATGTGTTGTTGAATCATAATTATTTTTAATAGCAGAACATGTTGAACGATCACAATCTTGTATATCACATGGTGTTCGTCCTACAGCTGAATTTAAATAAGCAATAATACATGTGCATTCACGACCATTTGGAATAGCTAAAAATTGAAATTAAAGTTAATTTTTACTTTTTTTCTGTCAAAAGTAGCCTTTACTTTGAACAGCAATTTGTCCATCAGCTAATTTAGAAATTAATTGGCATTGTTCTTCTTCATCTAATTTTTCAACGTTTGTTTCAAATTCTTTAATACTTGGCTGATTATTTAAAAGTGTTATTGATGGTTTAGCTTCTTTTACGGTTAGTTTTTCTAAATGATTTAAACCATGTAACGATTTTGGATCAATATCTCGATCAGTTGTTATTGATAATGTATGAATGTTGGGAAATTGTTGAAAAGCATTCGCTGGTATACGTTCAGTGCTATACACTCGCAATTCACCTAAATTCGAATAATTTGGTGGATATTCATTATTAAATTCAGTGATATAAAAAGCATTTATAATTAATTCATGTGCTGGATAAATAGGAAAATTTTGTACTGATAATGTACTGGCTTGTTTAGCTAATTCTAAACGAGCAATATTTCCTGTAAATGGTTTAGATAAATCAGAACGAATATCACCACCACTTAAACGTAAATATTTAATATTTGCGCCATCAAATAATTGTTGAAATGAACCATGAAACGGATATAATGCATAAACTTCTAATGCATCAACATTTAAATTTTTAAACAAATATAAATCGTCACTTGGTGCTACTTCGGGATTGTAAATTTCTAATGCCTGGAGAAAAACAATAATTGAAATATTTATTTTACATAATGATATTTTTTTACCATATGTTTTCGTATATCCGATGATAAGTTATCTGGAAATACTCGGTTAAATATTCCAGGTGATGATAAATGAAGACCAGTAAATTTTTCAAACTTCACACGAAATTCTAAACTATCAGGATCATTTTTATATAATTGTTTTATTGGTTCAAATGTCTGATCATTAACTTTAATATCAAGTGAAGCTGCAATAACTATTTCAACTGATTGATATTTATGTTTTTCACTTTCTAATATGTTTACTGGCGATGATAAATCACGAGTTGTTGTACATGTTACACGAAAAGACGAACATTTACATTCGAAGCCTTCAATAGCATCACAATATGGAAGATCACTTTGTCGGCGTTGAATTGATTTTCGAAGAATTGACTTTGACGATAACGATAATGACAATGATATCATTAATATTATAAACGAAAATGATTTGTGCGACATTTTTTTCTTCTTATTTAATTACCTTCGCTAAAGAAATGTTGACTACAAGTGAAGAGAGAAAACAGAATCTACAATTATAATAAAACATATTGAACTTATTGAAACTCTCTGAAAAAGAAATCAATTGTGCTTTTTAACAGTCTATTTTTTCTGGTCTTGTATAGATGGTGTGGTGTACTCCCATGAATTGATTATTATTCTTAGTACAAAGAACACCAGTAAAGTCTGCATTAGAAGAAATATATGCTCAAGGAACAATGAAACGAATTGAAATATTGAAGAAACAAAATATGCATTCAGTAAACTACATCATTTGAAAAGAGCAAACATCCAGAAACGAAATCAAAGTATAAAGAATATACTTGACCTTCGTCTATATGCTCAATGAGTCTGTTTGTCTCGAAGTATTGATTATGATGATGAAGAAAATAAATGGAATAAATAGGTAAAAAGGCGAAATTAGAAAATTAAAAGGTGAACAGCAATAAAAAAGAAACCACCAACGAGAAAACAGAAAAAAAAATTTCTCTTTCTCAACTCATTGTTGTCGTGGGTAATTGTAAACAAAAAATTGGCCGTTCGAAGTAATGGGGAAAGTTAAAAGATACTCTGCTCTCATGTTTTTTTTTCTATTCTATCCTTTTTTGCGGTTAACACCAATATGTGAATGTGGTTATGTGCATATTTTACATAATAGATGCACACAGAGGAACGAGCAAAAAAAAGGTGCTGTCGTCGTTGTTGCTGCCGCATCGTCTCTCTCTTCGTCTCTCGTTGATGATGGTTTCGATTGTAAGTGTAGTGATGATTTGTTGCGGTTACAAACCCACAGACACAAGAAAAGAAAAACAGAATAGCAGAAAGACACTAGTTTCTTTCTCTTTCTCTCTTTTCACAACTTTTTGCTCTAGTATGCGTTTTATGCGTAAAAAAAGAAATGCTGGTGAAACTTTTTTTTCTGTCTATTACAGTTACTTTGACTATATCTGTTACTGTATGCAACGATATTTTAATCTGGACAGCAGACAACCTTCTCATTTCAACAAGTTGAGAAAGAGACACGACAAGAAAGAAAAGAAAAAAAATAACACACAAGTAAAAGAGAAAATATGCAAACCGCAATAAAAATAAGCGAGAGAGAAAGTAACAAACTCTTGTGGTCAGAGTAAAATATATTAATAATGAAATTATCGATCATTTTTCCATGTACATTAATTCACTAGCTGCAGAATGATAGTTAACCTACATCGTTCCATATTCTGTCTACATATTTATCGGTATTGAATCTTGGCTTCGATATAAACTGGAGCAAAAAGGAGTCAATAAAAAAATCATTCAAAACGATGTGCTTGCTGTCTACATTTATAAATGTAAATGTCCTTAAAGTTATATAATTACGAAAGAAAAAAGAACAAAATACTTTAGCTATACTATCATTCTGTAAAACTTTGGCCTCCAGGTATTTAAAAAAAGCGTGAAACATATCTATTTCTCTCTCTCGACCTGTTTCTTATTTTCTTTCCATGATAATCGAGAGAGAATCAGAACAGAAGAAAGAATGAGAAACAAATAAGAATATGAATAAAGAAAACGACCTTTGCTTTGCGTGGATTAATAGGCACATTTGATCGATCAAATCAACTACTGATGATACAAGGCGATAATCCATTCATATCGTATAAATATAGTTTGCTTTTAGGGTGCTTAGCTATTGTTTGTTGCCACTCTTCATTTTTTAACCAAGTCTGTTGTCTCTTATCTCGATGCTTCAAAACAAATATATATTTATGAGATCAAAAGAAAAAATAATAAGAAGATTAGCTATTGTTGTGCTTTATTTATCGACATCTTTACAATTCCAATTTCTGAGTTTAAGCATTATTTTATCTTTAATTATCTCAGAATGATGCTAACTAAAATATTCAGAGATCTTCTTGTCATAATGTTCGTTTATTTAGTTTTCTGTTCTAGTTTTATATTCACAGTGAAATTTTTCTCAAGGGTCATGTGAATTTATGATGGTTCAATTAAGAGAAAACACAATTATGATCTACATATACATATTGAATTTTCTATATATTGATAAAGTATGAAAACCAAACTATTACAGCATCTATACTATCGCTTTTAATAATTATTTACTTTGTCGAATACCTATCAAATATAAAGATAATCTTTTGCTTGATCCATTTCCGACAGATTCATCATATAAGTAATTATACATTAATGGAATATTATAGATAAAAATCAAATGACGAGAAAAAAGTGAAAGAACAAAAGAAATTTGAGCGATTCTCAATCAAGTTGTCATTCTATTAATCAATTATACTAACGAACGTCAAATTTTTCTTTGTTAGTGACAGTTATTAAGGTAAAATAACTTAATCATTGTGGATTTTATTGTGTTAAAGATTCGGCCTCTTTTATTTCGTTCAAGTACTTATCGATAAACAAGAGCATTCTATTATCTAGATATTTCTGTTACGCTTCTATACTTTAGAATTAACTTATACAAATAAACATGATTTTTTCCATGTTTGTTATGCAGTGAGAAAAGAAAGAAGACCTTCATCTTATTTATAACGGTCGCAGGACAATGCCGAGAAATACAAATAGTGAACGTTGTCAAGTCATAATGAATAGAAAAATAAACAAATATTTAAGATATAGGACTCATCAAATTATATTATACTAGATTTCATTTTTTTCAACTATTTAATGAAACTTTATTGTGAAATGATTTGTGTTATTGGGCAAAAGAAAAAGAATTGCACTACTATGAAAAATTCTGAACGGTAAAATGACTTACTCTTGTCGACATCCGAGAGTAAATATTCTCGTACGAACAGAGGAAGGACAAGTATGATGATTTAGTAGGCACAGAATGAGCTCTGTACGCGCCTCAGCGACTGTCCTTGAAGAGCAACGAACAAGCGAGTGAGAGGAAATCATTGCACGAACATAGGATGACGTCGGCTGCCCTCTTTTTTTTGTTTCTGTCTCTGCATCATATATGCGTGCGAGTCACGATTTTTTTTGCAAGACTAGTAACATAGACGCAGAGAATCGAAGAGAAAGAAAGAAAAATAGTATAGAGACCTATTTGATCTATCATCAGTATTTGACACGTCGTTATTTATAAATAAATAAATAGCTTTTACCAAGGATTCATTTTAAATCAAGTAAAAGACAAGCTGTGCTCACAAAAATGTGATGCCGATATGAAGATTTAATTATTTATTCATGTCATTTTCTCTCCTTTTTCTACAAATCTTATCTTAAAAAGAAAAGAAAAATCGACACATGATTCGATTGATCAATTTAATAAAGTTAGTTCAATTTCTAATTCTCAATGACAAGAAAAGTACGATATTAAAAAAAACAAATAATATTTCCAAATTAAATAATTCGTCTTGATGCAATATCATAAAACTGTTGTTCCATTTTCAAACATATTCATAAGTTTAATGGATTAATAATTAATAATTAATATTCCATAAGAAATAAGCAATACTAAGAATATAAGACCATAATAAAAACAAAGCCAGAAAAAGCAAATAGCCTAGTAAGACAAAGAAAAATGGTCTAATACCTATTAAATATTGAACAGTGAACAGTGAAGAGAAGAAATAAAGCAACGAACGTTGTCATTATTTTACTTTTTGTCTTATTTTATTTGGTTATATCGGAACAAAGAAAAGAAAACATTAATCTCTATTGACCATAGAACTCATGACTGGATCAAGGATAATTGTTATTGATAGTTTATTCTATAAAAGTTAGATTTTTGAAGAACTTTAATATTTAACTCAAATTCAAAGCATTTATGTGTATAAACATGAGAAATGATTTAATGTCATTATCTCGTCTACATGTCTAAAATTTATGTAGACTTCTCATAGATGATTATTCTATGTAAAAGAAAGTTTATCAGATATATATTCTCACTGTTCTATGAAGTAATAAAAGACAATGACGGACATAAAATTAAAATAAACATTCGGATTAAGTAGAATGATTCAATATAAACTATTATATTTTGTTTCTGTTGTTAATTTAAAGGTATAAATTACATATTCTATGTTTCTACTTAATGCTTCAAGATTGAAATAAAATTTAATAAAGAAAATGCGTACGTGAAGTAAATAAAACATAATCCACTAAAAAAAGAGAAGTGTGTCATCACAGAATTCTATACTAAATTCATCGTAAAATGAATATCCTTAACGCTCAATACTTTCTCATATTACGTAACTCAATAAGTGCTTTAATGTATTTTGTTGAACACGTGTAGCTACATATCTTACGCTTACTAGTTTTAACATATTCGATGATTGATCAGTGAGAATGAAAATTAATTAATGTTTTCCTTAACAAGAACAAATATTATTTATATATTTAATAAGTTTACAAGCTACATAATCATTCTCTTAGATATAAAAAGACTGAGCTAGTTTTAAATCATACAGACATTGATTTTTTTTTCAGTCTGAATATTTTTCTTTCGTTTTTCTTTAGTGGTTAATGCAACTTGCTAAAGGCAATATTTGAACAGTAGTAGAATCTTGCCGATCTTCTTTAATGAATAAAAAATATAACCGAACAATTTGTAAATGCTTGATTATCACATGGAAAATTTCGTCAATGAAGACAACAAAGTTCTAGTAGAACAACGTGTACTCAAATGATCAAAAAACGGGAGTGAATAGGTCTTACTACTCTAATTGATGCTATTCTAGGCTAAGACCTTGATAAAAATATGAATAACTGACAAGTTGGCATGGAACAAGAAAAAATAGCTCCAATAAATTCGATGATGAACGATCGCTTTTCAGAATAAGATAGAAACAAAATTGTTTCGATCGCAAACTTCGACTCATTATTCATTGATAAAATATCTCTGTAGAACTACTTTTTTTATATTCACATAAATCGACATTCTCGATCGTATTTATGACATTGATATAATCGTTAAACAACAACTTTTCTTTCTTATTGATACAATTTATAAATAATAATATGTTTTATTTGCGACAATACAATGATAACATGAAGAAAAATAAAAACATAAGCTAAATATTCTGGTTAAGGCCATTTACGTTCTATAATACTTTAAAACATAATAATAATGATAATATTCCTGATAAATAATCGAGAAAGATTACTTTTTTCTGGGAAAAATATCATCATTGTTTTGTTACGTAACTAAATTATATATAACTCAGCGACTTACTTCTCTATTTACTGGAGGTAATAGTAGAGTTACTGACCTGACCTTATTTGCTTTCGTATAGATATCTATATATAAGAAGAGAGATCATATGATGTTAATCTTCGAGCATCTATTCCTTGTAGAGTTCACATATAATTTGGCAATGACTTTTTTGTTTTTCTTTCTTTCTCTTGTTATTTGAATGTTTATTTCTCAAGAAAATGAATATTATTATGATTAAAAGAGGATGCTTCATATGTCCGTATGCATATCATAATAAATCGAATATCTTATCTAATTGGAAACAGTTGGTATTCATTATTTGAAAAAGCAACAGGAGTACAGTCACTGTGCTATTGGAAGTTCACTGTAGATTCTGACGTATTTATTTAGTACTTTAGTCTGATTAATCTCAGAAAGACAACTGCTGTTATTTATGACCAATAGAGAATGATAGAAGGGATTATGCATATGTAATGATTATTAAAATATTCTACGTATTCATTATTAGACGACACATTTGCAGAGTCAAATGCATTAATGTATACATGGAAATAGAGATTCGTTTATTCTTCATTCCCTCTACTGAAAAGAGGACCATATGCTACGCTGAGCGAGTAAACTTCGTACGTTTGTATGTTCTTTCGCCCAATAGAAACGCAGATACAATAGCTCCTCGAAATCCTCACAATAGCTATACTGGAATATTTTTATCTATGGGCTATCGAGGCTAGGGAACTCGAGTCCGGGACTACTTTAGCAGTTTTTTACAAGGGTCCTTTTTTTGATAAAAAATATATTTTTCGAGAAAGTTATTCTTTGTGAGAAAATTTGTGTTGAAGTTGTCGTGGTAAGCGAGTCGGAATCTATCGTTATTTTACAAAAACATCTCATGAAACGGTGATTATTAGTTATTGCTATCATTTAGACGGAGTCTGAGTAATAGGCGTTTAACAGTTATTTTGAGTGGAACTAAATTTGAATTATTTTTCAACTAGTCAGTTTAGTTGCATATTTTCCATGCATCCAAAAAATTGTCTAGTATGACTTGGAGGCAGGTTTGAGAAACTCGAAGTTTTACTCGCCATTGGAAACATACCCTAGAGCATGTACTGAGTTCAGGGTACCCATATACTAAGAAAGCCCTAGCAAGGTACCTAATATGAGTACTTCGAAAATTTTCAGTAATTATACTGATGTAGGTACTGTATTGGGTACCCGCACCTGTAATTTTACTGAGGAAGACTCTACAGAGGATCCTAGATTTGTCGCGTTCTGTGTAGCGACTGTTCATTCACCGTTTTCTTTGACTTGGACGGCTCCTTATAAATAACTCGGCAAATCATAAGAAACTAAACTATTTTCATATTCTTTTCTAGGTTATTTCTTGACTATTTATTAGTCGAGAATGTGACGATCTTAATCGTCAATTAAGAGCGGACTACTCTGAAGTGGTCTGATGGAGATTCGACCAACGCAAGTTTGGTCAGATCCCAAAATTTGACCTGTTGAAGTTGCCAGAATTGGAAAAATAAAATGAAATAAAATTGAAAAAATGTAATAACGTGCTTTGAGAGAAAATGAAAAGGGCCAAATATTAGAATCGACCATTAGCATACTGCAATTTTGGAAACAGGGCACCTAAGCATACTATGTAATAGTACCCAGTTGAGTACTTGATCAGTACCTAATACGTACCTAAAAGTACTTTAAGCTACTTCAGTACTCGAAAGATCCTGTGACATACTAAATCAGGGTACTTTTTCAGGTATCCTTAGCTCAGTACATGCACTAGAGCATAGTGTTGATTGAGAATCCAAAATAGGGAAAAATTTGTTTTCATTTTTGCTTAAACTGATTGTTTTGATACTTAGTGATCCGTATGCAAGATTGCCTGTGTGGAATGAGCGGAAAGTTAGTGCAGCTTCGAGAATGGAAGGTGGAAATAACTCTGTGGTAGACGTTTTTTGTAGGGAAACTCTAATTTTAGTGGCAATCAACCACGCACATTTGCGAAACTAAATGCGATCTCGTTCCCCCGCGTTAATGAGCATATTCGGTGCGCAGGATGATTTTCAGGTGTAAGTTGTAGACGTGGAGGCAAGAATAAGCTTTTGTCGTTTTAGAGGTACGTTGGCGAAATCTTTTATTTCATTTGATAAATCATTAGATAGGCGATTTACAATAAAAAACAAAAGCGCCGACAAAATTGAAATAAAAAATTGATAAATGATTAATGTTTTATGGTGCAAATATTCTAACCTAATAAAAGTAACATTACAATAAGATTATTCGAAGTAGTAGTAGGAAAATGTTTTCGAGTACTTATTGCAATCTTGTTTAATCTGTTAAGTTCTTACATTTGTGCTGCAGTTGGTTTCACCTGTAGAGATGAGAAGTTGAAAGGACGCACAATCAGGAGATCATCCAGTCGTTTAACACGAGATAGTCGAACAGGTTAACGCTTGACCAAAATTTTCGTTGGTCGTTTGACTGCCTTTTCAGTTTTTGAAACAATTCTTTAATATCGAATGTAAAATTTTGTTCAGAAAGAGAGATCGGAATTATTTATTTCTCAAGATCTTTCAGTCCGGAAGCAAGCTTGCAGCTCGAAAACTCAACCAAAGCGTATTTTGGTCGTGTTATAAATTTAGTATGCTTCAAGAAAACGACCACGTCGAATTGCACATCTACACAAAATTCATCATATACGAACTGATGAAATATTCCACGTTTACCATTAGATAGCCCTAGTTCGGTCGCAACATTTTCCGTTAGTAAAAATGGCATACCGGGCCCAAGTGGTAAGTAACCTGGAAGATGTTCTGTTTTATTGTCGGACAGTTCGAGAATTGCTTTGCGTAATCTTGAATCATCAATGGCTTTATTTCGTATATAGTTCTGAGCGACACAAGCAGCCGGTCGGATTCCCGTCTCAATTGCTTCATTCAGTACAGCTCGATTGTTTCGTTGAGTTCGAAGTGTGTTTCGAAAACCAATGTACGAGCCTATTACAAAACATATGATCAAATACTAAGAATCAAGATGCTCTAGCATACTTTGTTCCATGGTTCCTGTTGCAAAGATATCTCCAAATTTGGAGCTCCAATTACTCGTGTACAAAGAAGTTGATAATTCTCGGCTGTTGATTTCCCATCTCTTAACCTAGTTGATAGTTCTAGATATCTTGCATCTTTCGTCCACATTTGCTGGTTCAATTTGACAACACAATTGCTTTGAGATATTATCTTCTGTGCACGTTGCATTTCTATTTGACGTTCGTTATGCTGCTGTGCCAATGCGTAGCTATGATACAGAGGTTTATCCAGCACTGGAGAATATTGTAAATAATCGCCAAAAAAGATTATATTTACACCACCGAATGGAGCATTCACGTCCATATTAATATGATTCACTTTTTTCACTGTTCTATTAAGTCGGGCCACCAGACTAAGTCCTACCATACTATATCTCGTCGATAATCAAGTACTTGACATGGCGTCACTCGTTTTCTAATTTTATGTCGCCTGGTCTGAAGGTTCTAATTTGTCTTTTTTTTTAATTTTTGCGACTTTCACCTAAAAACTAGTGTATTGTTAATCCATCAATCTGTGCCGCTGCTATAGATGTTGGTGCCACTTTACGCAACATTGTTCCTCTCTTTGTCATTTGGAAATACTTCGTAATTGCACGAATCAATTGACACTTTCCAGTACCACCGCAACCAGGCACACACATTAGTAATTGCTTGTCAATGGTACATCCAAAAAGTCTTCTCCTGATATTAAATAATTTCTTGCTTGATGTTTTCTGTTTTCAATGTCTTGTTTCCATTGTTTACTCATAGTTCCATGATGTGAATCTGCTACTATAAATGTATAGAAATCATCTGTGATCCAGCAGAAAATTTTGTTTGATATTGTTAGATAGTTACGTTTACCTAACTCTTTATTTCTTGAAACCAACTCTAACTAGAATCCCGTTTACAACTCCAACAAATACTACTTTACTTCATACATATGTTAAACCAATTAGTTAGTCTCATGGCCAATAGAGATAACAGAAAGAAGATGGGTAGTGGTCAAAGATAGTGCCACTGCCTAACAGATAGATATATTTTAATATTATTATTAGTAGTAGGGTTACTAGTTAACTCACCATTTAGTGATCCAAATCTGATCGTTTTGTCAATCGCTTCCAATGCATCAAATAGATAATGCTACTCGTGACTGCTAAGAGGTGCAGCGTAATGCTCTCATTTACCAACGAAAGCATTTGTGAAAGTTCCTCAGAGTCGTCTTCAGGATTATTTTCATCAATTTCATAGCAGCTAGGAATCAGAATAGGATCGATTTGGGTATTAGTTTGAGCTGCTGTAATAATTTGATGGAGATGTTCGTCTCGATCATTTTTACATTCATGCAAGAGCTGTATATTTTCAACAATCTTGAGACCATCAGCAGAGACCTTCCACTGATCTCCATGGAACGAATAAAGTTAGCAATGCATGGCAATAGCGTTCACGTGTGTTTTCTCTCTCATGATGCGGTATCTGAGGACCCAGAAGAACTGGTACAACTGGACTGGTATGTTTAATGAAAATTTGTGATGATGATTGTGGATGTAGGCTTGCAAAAGTGTGTCACTCATTCATCTTTGTTCCTTCTATGCTTAGTCGTTCACGATCAGACGCCTTGGCACTCGTCAATAAACGTCTGCCTGCTTTGTGGATTACTTTTTTGTGAAATAGACTAATAAATTCATACAAACATAAAGCTGTTAGATCTTTTGATCGATACTGATAATCTAGACGGGTGTTCACCATCATATAACTGTGCCCGCTTTTTGTTTTTTGTAGTTCCAAAATAAACTGTTCTTCAATTTCTTTTGCTTCGTCTTCTTGGTCCCCATGAAAGGGTATTGATAATTCAACAAATATACTAAATTTGATATGCATGCAACCATTTTAATACTCTTTACCATCCGATTCCTCTTCATCAATATCTTTTTCACTTAGTCTGACTTTCATTATTTCTGCTTGTAGATAGTTTTCAATCGAGATGAGGAAAATATTTCTAAATGCGTGCGTAGTGTAATGGTCTCCATAATTCATTAGATACGATGCCACTTGAACGCCAGAAACTTCTTGATGTGAAGCAATTCGTATTGTAGCACCGCGCAACACGAATTTGCGCGATTTTTCAATAGCACTTTCAGTCCCAGCTGTTGCTTGTTGCTGCTCAATGGATCTGATTCCTTGTTGTGCAAGTGCAAACATATCATAGAAAGCAAGGCTTGATTTTGTGATGTAATCAGTTGTATAGTACACTAGAGCTTTAGCATCGTTACCAGTCCAGATGAATTTAATGTCCATATTGGATCGGCAAGCACTTATAAGTCATTCATTGAAGTTATTGATTCACGGATGTGATCGACGCATAGTTATCCGACCTATTGAGGCATCAGTGCCAAGAAGTACGCCCCTCGTAAAGGACTAGATTAGATAGGGGTTATATGAACCACCAGGCGTTCACTTGTAAGTCATAGAGCTGATGAACATACTGTAGTGACGTAATTAAGTTCACATCATTAATATTCATCCTTGCATATGACAACGCATAATCGTCCACTGAACAGTACGTAATATTTCTGTGTATTTTTTCTCTCCAGATATCTTTTTCTTTCCTCGAATCCCCTTCTCTCGCAATAACTTTTGTCTCTATGTATCTTCTTCTCTCTCTCTTATTTATATTTTCCTTATTCTCTTCCTAGTATATAAACTTGCGTTATATGTGAAATAGAGAACAGTATAACAGCAGTATCAGAGCAGTAGAAAGGCAGTTGAGTCGAGTTCACTTCTAAACAAGTCAAGTTAGAAGAAAGTTGTGCTTTGTAATACGTACGATTATGTTCGGTTGTATTGAAAGACAACACGCAGAACTCATTTTTGGCAAGAATAAACTCATCGTGTGGAATTGTTATTAATATTATACACAGTGTCTAAAATATATAGCTGATACTGATCGACACTTTGTTGTCCATCATCCTATCAGGATATATACGCAATTCTATATATCTTGATAGTTATTTGAAGAATATTTACGCGACTTAAATATTTTTCCGTTACAACATCATCTCACTTTTGGTAGGAAAAATGTTTCTCTAAGACAATTTTTTTTAAATTTCTTACATTACAGGTTCCTACCAAATAAAAATGGCGAAGTCCTACATCATCGATCATTTACGACGGTCTCAGATGAATGATAAAGAATTGGAATTCATTGTCGAAGTCTGTAGGGAACACAACGACCTCATTCGAGGACGATTCCAATCGTGACATTCAAAAGAGAGGAAGCATGTGGCAAGGATCCAAATCGACGAAGATAAGCTACAGTCCATTGAAGCATGGTATTGTATTTCCGCAGCAGATGCAAGAGAAGTTGGGATGTGCTCACACGTCACAGCCCTTTTGTGACACCTGAGCATCGAAAATGCCGTTATTCAAACTTCTGATCATCCACTTTCGGCAACAAGATTGCATACCGCCACTCATGACAATATGAGGTTTACCGACGATGAAATGGAATCGGAAGATGGCAATCAATCACTTTCTATTGAACCAAACATTGACAACAGTGGCGTGGACGAAAATTCTGACTAGTGACCTCATTTCTATTTCATTTTGGCACTGTTCATTATATCTCATTTCATTTCATAAAAATAAAACTTTTCACGCACATTGTCAAATCGCTATACACGATTTTCTACATAATGTACCAGGCGAGCGCCAGTGGCACACCGTTTTTGGGTAAAGAAACAGTACTGGTTTGTAGCATTTTTCAAGCGCTATCTTTTTAAACCTTGGGGATTCTGGCAGAATGAGTTAAACCTACGAGCTTTGCTGTTGGATCCATGTGGTATATTGTGGATTTGCATAATTTTTGGTGTAAGAAAAGTGGCGTAGAAATGTTTTTGTAGGAGATATATTTATAGAATAGGAATGTTAGGTAAACTTTGTGCTTTCATTTAGTGAATGATTCAACGGATTAGAGTGAGAATAGTTGAGTGGGTCGATGCAAGCTGTAATGCGCCACCGTTCTTTCAAAATAAAACAGTATAATCATGATTTTTACGCATTATAATCATAATGTGATATGAAAGAAAACTTGATGAGTTGTAAAATTTCACAATCTCTTCCCTCCACTAGTCGAAGTCTGTTTGAATTGAAATTTTTAGATCATTTCATGCAGTCGTTTCTATAAAAAGTCTCAGATTGGAACTGAAATTTAACCAAAAACTGCAGTAGAAAAACATTTCCGGCGTCTAGCGGGCAAGAATAAAAGTCGATGGAAAAACTACATACACTAAAAGATAGAGCAACTGACGCTCTATAAAACCTATTATACCGATTTTCAGTCAAATTCGAAAGGGATCTACCATTATGAATTAATCTTTTTCTAGAGCAAAATCGAGTGCAGTGGTAAAAAACGTTTTTTTCTAGAGTAGAGCCATTTTGTTTGTTTGACGTTTGATAGAGTTGAGCTTGGGCTGTTAGAATGTATACAGCTTGCTGTTTTGAATGTTAAAGTAACAGAGATAATGTTCTCACAATAAATAGAATTTTTTATCTTTTGCAGTTTTTCGACTATTCGCGAAATGGTATTTAGGCTAATTTTAAGCGAAGTCCATGACTACCCTATACTTATTTAGTACCAAAATGATCAGTTCACTGAGCTCTACAAATGATGAAAGTCGTGTACATAGTGGCACGTTTCCTTTGAATTCACTCATTTCATTCTTAGATCTTGTTATAGCATTCTCAACATGTTTGATTGACTGGTTTCTAAATCCGCTGTGATGGCTCTCGAACGTTTTCTTGTACTTTGAGAGCTAACTCGTCTTTTGACCAAGTTAATTAGTCTTTTATTTCGTCCAGTACGTCGCCTTCCGGATAATTCACGTGCATTAACCGAACCACTTTAATTAAATCGCTGTATGCATCGATGAACGGTAACACGATGCACCTTGTTGGCTAACATAGTCGAAATTTCCGAAGCATTTTTACCATTATGATAGTGGGTAATAACAACATCTCGAATTTCTTTAACTTTAGTCATCTAAAATATTTACCAGCAGAATTCAACGAACTTCTAATACAAAAGCAGCAGGAGTGTTATTGCGTGTACATGAAGAAATTCTTCAAAGTTTTATGATTTGTTGATGTTATCATATATTGCAAAATAATCGGTATTATTTTGATTTTTGTTTATTTCGCGATAATGGGACATTTCGCCATCAGACAGTGCTTCATTGCTGGCCTTATAAAATAATCATCAAACAAGTTAACGGGATTTTTTCTAATCAGTTTTGTAGAGAATTTCGCGACGGATCTTTTAAAAAACAAATTCAAGGTTGTAAGGATGTATCTGTGCTGAGATATTTGAAAGATACTGAATGTTGTAATCATTTGGACTCACCCAGTATCAACATAATTCACAAATCGTATAAAATTATACTTGAGCAAAAATGATATCATATATATATTAAAATTGCATTATACCGGATATCGTTAAACACCATACAAGTTGATGCACTTTGGATACTGCCCAATTAACCAAAAATATCAACAAATCTACTTGCAATATAGATCATGCATTTATCACTACTAGAAGATCATGAAACTTCACTTTAATCTCGAGTATGATATTACTGCAAGTTAGAATATCGACAAACTTTAAACTATGTGTTGTCGAATCAAAATAAGGAATAGTCTTAAAAAACCTATCTGGTTGTTTCATTAATCGTGAAATCAACAAATATTTTAACTTATCACCGAATGGAATATCGTTTTTCTTTTCTTCTTTCTTTTTCAGTTTTCATTTAATCAATACCATTGTTCTATCAATTCCTTGGAAATTTCTTAAATAAGTTTTATCTCTTGTGCTTATATGTAATGCAGAGCCCTAAAGAGTGTTTTATTATTAAAATAAACAACATGAAACGTATCGGCGAAATAAAATTATGCATTTCTTTTAATTCAAGGACATTAAAAAATATAGTATATTAATTTTCGACTTTGATTAATTGCTGAAAAGCAAGAGCTGGGATTAGTAGATTAATTTGTCTTCTTCGTTAAGAGATAGGTTGATCTGTTTTCTAATTGATTTAGGTTCCCCAACTTATATTAGTGGAACTGATTTAATTCGTCAACTGGAAAACTATAGAAACAGTGGTCGTCTTCAATCAACGGGCATTATTTATTATTTTTGGTGCTACTGATGTTGACACCATGATACCAAGAGATGGTGCTTCGAATGCTTTAGCTCGACTCTTGAATAAATACTCAAAGAATAGAAGAATTGGTAATAATTTATCAGTTGATACAATTCTACGGTTGGTTAGAATGGTCTTAGACGCCAATTATTTTGCATATACTGGCAAATATTACAAACACATTAGAATTGGTACTATGGGTTCACCTCTTACGATGGTGTTAGTCAATATTTATACGTTAGACTGAGAATAGAAATTTATTGAAGCTCAATAATCTGATAAAGAATTCTATGACTGGTATGCTATAGATTAAGAAGTTCATTGAATCGATAGAATTCATTTCATGTTTTAGATATATTGATGATGCTTTCATGACAGCCAACCTATCCTCTGCTGATATCATCAAACGATTAGACGAGGCCAACACAAAAGATCCGAACATCAAAATTACGTATACAGTGCAATCAGCCATTGACTTTCTCGATGTTGCCATCAAAAACAAAATATGCAATTAATAACATCAGTATTCCATAAGCCAGTTGCTGAATCGTGTGTATTACCGTCTTCATCGGATCATCCACGTTATACAAATCGAAATACTGTTTGTTGTGGTCTTCTTAGTGCTTGCTGTTCTTGTCTGCACAGGCGTGAACCAATTCGCTCACGAAGGATTTAATTTTGAATTAACGTTAATCATGAGTGGCTATCCATTGACTTCCATCAATCGTCATTTCAGGCGATTTTTGAAGCCAACAAAGCCATGAACGTTTGGAAAAACTTAGATGACAACGTTTATCAACAATTGCACCGGAACCTTCTTTATCAATCGACCAGAAATGGAAAAAAACAACTTCCGTCCAATTCAACTCTCGATCAGTATATTCCAAAAAACAAAACATGGGATCTTCAACGAGTCATTTAACATTACCAGTAAGAAAGTGGTCCTACCATCAAATTGAGACGAGAATTTCGCCAACTTTGAAGAAAATATTACGTTAACGATCAATCCCTCCTAAGAAAATCGTTCACCTCACAATAGGCCACACCAACAATCCATCATTAGAACGACGAACTGGCCACAAAAGCCATCTTCAACTTTTTTCATCGATATCACCATCAACTACTCAAAAATTCGCGCCAACCACAACTCCACCTAGAAAGACAAAAAAAGACTATATATATATTTTTTTATTTTAGTTTTGTGTCATTCATTTTGAAATTTATCGCCGAATTGCTTGAATCATCAAAGAGTACAACTAAAGTAATGAAAAACCACCAGTTTCCTATAGTGAAGAGTAAAATCTCTGTTTATTGCATGCTCCGATGAACATGGATGCTTATAGTAACTCCAGTATGTGAAATCCCATCTGATACCCATATTGAGAGATCAAAGCACCGCGCCATCAATAAACACACTCGCACTTAGCTGATACCCATATTCAGAATATGCATTTGTTGACTTACAGAAAAAACGATCACTGATGAATGAATAATGTTTGTCTAACAATAGCTGACATATTTGTAAGAAGAGACGCTTTATCCATGAAGTATCCGTCGGATTCCACATTGTATGTACCATTTGAGAAACTAAATCGTAGTTTGTGTTCATAGAGAAACGCTAGTCGATATGCAGCGGCACCTAAATCGACACCACCCCTTTGTAGCGACACTGCCACGCATTTCGCAGTGCCATCATCAAAAATTCGATAGGGCTTCTGCAGTTGTTCTTCCTGAGCTTGTATTAAATACGGTCGATGATACCGAGATACAAAGTCCCAAGCTATAATATCTTTTTTCGCTCTCATGTGTGGAAGGGTTTTATTTCCAAGATATTGCGAATATAAGTTATCTCCATTCGTCACAATAAGATAGTGGCACATGGATGGAGATCGCTTGTATTGATTATAGAGATAGTTAAGTGCGTGGTCGGTCAACGTATAGCCGTAGTCATCATCTAACGGTTTACCTAAGTCAAGGAAAGTAATATAATTCGTACGAAGTACAATCTTATTGATTAAATCAATTGTTTGAAAGAGCAGCCGGCTGTCGGTGCTTCGATGCGTATTTATCACGTATATTCGAACATTATCAAACCCAGCGTGAAGAAATCCAAGTGCTAAAACAGGTAGATACGAAACCTGCGGACCATAAATACGTACAATCACACACAACGTGAGCGCCTCAGAGTCTAGTAAAGTTAAGCGCTGCTTTTCGTTATACAATAGATCCTGACAGATATTTTCTCCAGCTTGTTCACACTTTCTCGAAGAGAATGTACCGTTGGACGTAAATAAATATAAAATGACTCCTACGCATAACAATGAACTCATAAGCCAAAGTCTTTTCCTTGTTAAATATGCATTCTCTCTCGAATAAAATCGGAGTCTAAAACTGCTTCCCAACATCATACTCTTAGTTTTATGGCATTGTTTTCTGAAGAAATGGCATTCACGTCTAATCTGAAATCACTTTCTATGCTGAGAATATTGGCATAATTGAAATTACTGAGGGATCTTCCATTTAAGAAAATAGATATCATCCTCCGATGGAGGGTGTGGGGTGGATGTGGGTGTGGATCTATGTTAAATGACAGGAGTGGCACTCAGAACGAATGCCACTAGTCACAGCCACCCAGACCCCGCTCGCGCCCAAAAGTTCTATAGAATCCTTTAAATAGCTGGAGAAATGACTAGCTCATCCGTGTCGGGCCCTGGATGTCACACTCTGTGGACGTCTGTGGAGCTGTTAGCCGCGGTCTGTATTGTATGAATTGTGGGGATTGCAGAATGTGTCGTCACCTGTATTATAGTCTGATTTGTGGAACTCACGTATACTTTTGAAGAAAATGGGGAGTGTAAGTTTAAGGGGCCGAATTTTGCGGCTCACCCCTCCCGTTACAGACATACCTATTACGGACATTAAAAGCTAATTATTAATTAGAATAAAAAAATGAAGAAAAAATAGGAAAATGTGAAAGAAAAAAAGGGCGCCAACCAAAATACAATAATATTTTGAAAATGTAAAAATAAATGAGAGATTTTTCTGTGATGATCAATTACTTTGAAAAATCAGTAGTCTGAGAAATTTTTCATTTTACATACTTTTATTGGTTTATCGAGGCTTCAAGGATATACGTGAGTTCCACAGTTTAACCCCAAAGGGGCTGCGCTGAATACCTTTTTAGTTGTGTACATGTTTGTCGCTTTGCTGGCTGTGTATCTAGTGGTATCATGTTTCGCACTACTGAATTCATTTCGTGAAACACGATTTAAAAGGAGTGCTGAAGTATATTTGGTAGAAATTTGGACCCATCCCCCGGCCCCCCACAGACCGGGACAGACAAATTAATTAATTAATTAATCATTTAATTAATTAGCTAATTGGTTACTTTATTAATTAATTTCTCTGTCACAGTTTGTGATGCTCTCTACCGATTCCATAGATTAAAATACAGACTGTGGCCGAAAGGCTGTAGATATTATTACAGACAGTGGCAGAAAAGCTACAAAGACTCACAGACCGTGATAGACAGGTTTTAGCAAAGGACTTCCATCGTGTTTCACATTTTAATCCCAGAGGGATTGCGCTTACAGTTTTTGTAGGTGCTTTGCTTCAGTTGGCGCCTGAGTGGTTGTTCATTGCTTCTTTTTTGAGGAAAACATATGAAAACGTTTACCTATATAATATATTATTTACTTGCATATATAATATTAAATACGCAGAGACTATCATTGACTTTACTACTATTGATGGTATGAGAGCAACAGGGTCACATACAAGGGGGAAACGGCAGACTTGAAGTAGAAAAGTACATCAAAGTACTTTACTTGAAGTAAGCTTAGAGTAGCTTAAAGTAACTCAAAGTAGCTCAAAGTAGTCCAAAGTAGTCCAAAGTAGCTTGGAGTAATTGCAAGTAACTTCAAGTGAATTTGAAGTTGAAAAGTACTTCAAAGTACTCTACTTGAAGTATGCTTAAAGTAGCGCAAAGTAGCCTAAAGTAGCCTAAAGTAGCACAAAGTAGCGCAAAGTACTTGAAGTACAAAAGTCTGCCGTTTCCCCCTTGGTCGCATATCAAGGCATCACAGATGGATGCACCTTTCCAAGTATTATAGTTTTACACTTCTTTGAAATCTTGTGTCAAAAAATCTTGTTCTAGAGTAGTTAGAGCCATGTCGAGACCGACTGTATGAGAATTTTTGGATTAGAATTGGCCTTGCAACCCTTGATCCAGATTACATATCGAATTCCAATTTTGATGTGTAAATTACTTTTCTTATTATCATCATAGTACAGCAGATTTTGAACCCTGACAAGTCCTATAAGTAGATGGCTAATGAAGTGCATGCTGAATCATCTTCTGTTAGATGGTCACCTGGAGTTAGTGCTCAATTCCACGGATACAGCGGATGTCTCGGATTATATAAAAGCTGATGGATTCGTATTATTCAAGTTTCTCGGTATTCTCTCCGCAGCTGATGCACGTGCAAGCTAAGTGTTTTTAAATAGTTTCTCTAGAAATGTTGTACCCTATTTAGTTATTTAGCATTTGGCAATGCACAGTAGGCATGCTTTAACCAGATTACTTCTTATCCTACTATCTTGCATTATTATACTCTCCATTGAAAAACTATATGCTGCACACGGGAACGTTCACAACGGACATTCGATAATTTTCAGGTAATGCACCATAATTTCAAACAGTCACAGTGTCTTGAAGTACACTAAAAAAAATAGGTATTCTGCCGGAGCCAGTCAAGTTTCGCATAAACTACGAACCCTAAAATTGCTATTTAACTGGCATACGGGCTGAACCCTTGCTACGAAACCATTTTAAGATCCGCCAGTCAAAAAAGGATTCGGTATTTGAAAGACGAAACCTTGTAGGTTCTAGATAAATCCTTAATGACTTAATGCGAAACCTTTAGAGTTTCTTTTCATATCTGCATGATGTCGTCTTTTCGAAACCGAGTGTTTTTTCTACCGACGGATCTTACAATGATTTTCTAACAAGGGTTCGGCCCCTGTACCCGGGGAAGAACTATTTTAGGTTTCGTAGAATACTTTTTTTCATAGAGTAGGTTTAGCAGGAACCTGAGGGCGTGAACGTAGCTGTGGCTGTAAGTCAATAGTGTCAAACTTGAAACTTGAATTCAATTGAAATTGAGTCATTCAAGCGTCAACCGACAGCGACAATATGCATGAGTCACGATTCTTCACAATGCTATTGGTATGGGGTGTGTGGATGTGGATGTGGATGCTTGTCTTCACTCTTCACGCATACCGCTACTCACATCACCCACAACCCCACACCCACGCCCTCATTGTTGAAAGCTAGTAGCGTTCTCGAAGTTAAAAGATAAAACTAAAATTTTTGAAAAGAACGCAAAAAATTTCTTACCAACCCGATAACAGTACCCCTCCCCCCTTACACACAGAATTGAACGCCACTTCCGGAAGTTTGATTCGCTCGACACAATAGAACGTCATGGCAATGAAATTTGTACATATAGAGTGTATTATCTTACATATAGCCGAAATACACATTTTTTCATTCAACCACGATAGAAACAGCACAATCAACGAAAAGAGCGCATTCTGGTGCTTGAAATGAATAAAACTAGGAGAAAAAATGTCAAAGCAAATAGCAGAGGTATAGATAGAATTCTCCGAAAAATCTATAATAGAAGGTTACCCGCAATAGAACGCCACCAAAAAAGGAGCGATTTGAAAAATTCAAATAGAAAGGCATGGCTTCCAAATCGGGAGGGGGGTACTTATGATTAAAGCATTTTTTATTCGCTGAGAAAACATTTTTAGTTAATATTAACAATTAGTCATTTATGTTCGAACAATTATATCAATGAGGAATGAAAAATGATGTCTTCCATCTATATTAATAGCAAAAAGAAAGTCATATGAAATTAAGAGCTGAAACAGCACACATTGAAGAAATAAATATGTAATATCTACAGTGCGCATAATTCTATTACAGATTTCACTTTTAATGATGATATTCACTAGTCTGACTTATTTAAAGAAGAAACCATCTTTTTCATGATGATACCAAAGTCTATCTGTTTAATAATGGACCCTTTTACTGTATCCTATATTTATCATTTCATAACAATGAATCAAATTGAGCAACGGAACAGTGTTTAAGAGTTCCAAATTTTAGCTTTGACGCGAGCTTCACTGTAGGTGTTCTGGTCTTGGAGTCTTCAATCGCTGAAAGTTTCAGGTTGACTGCTGAAACGTTTCTTCAAAGTAGTAGATTCCCAGTAGAACTATCACTTGTAGACTGCACTCGACGGTGTGAACTGACTGAGTTATCGCTGTTTCTAAGTATGTAAGTTTATTTCGACGAACGTTCTTTGTAAATGAACTGAGCGTAAAGCAATTGATGTCGTTGGACAATCAACCACAAAGTATGACGTTCTACTAGTCTACGTATACGCTGATACACATCCATACGCTCATGGGAACCTAGAATATTTTATTAGGACAGCAGTTAGAGAAAATGATGGTGCTAATTACTTCATTATTATTCAAGAGCTCAATAATAAGTCGAGAGACGATAAACGCTTTCCTATGCTACCATTGAATGCTCGTTATGTATATCACGAAAACAAGTGCTTTGATTTAGGCACGGTAGGTTGGTTTCTTCGGTCAAGGTTTGCGACAACTTTAACTAATAATATCGTATCCCACGATAAACTAAAAGAAGCTGAATTAAAAATATCATCTTATAAATACTTTATATTTATGAACTCATCAATTCGCGGCCCATTTTTTCCCCCATACTACTTTGCACTCCTTAGAACTTATCAAAGCGAAACTAGCAAATTGTTTTATTGGTATTCCGTTTTTACACAACGATTAAAAAATAAAGTAAAGCTTGTGGGGTGTACGATAAGTTGCGAGATCAGTCCTCATGTTCAGAGTTACCTAATAGTCACGGATTTAGCAGGCATGTTGCTGCTGCTGAATCCGAAAGACGGAAAGGATGTTTTTGGCTGCTACAATACATTATGGGATGTGACTGTTAATAACGAGCTGGGCATATCGGCTCGAATATTAAATTTTGGTTTTTGGATTGACTCTTTACAGACCAAATATCAAGGAATCGATTTCAGTAGCATAGAGAACAGAAATTGTAATGCAGGCAAAAATCCATATTTTGACAATAATGTCGATGGCATAACCCTAGATCCTTATGAAGTCGTATTCGTCAAATACAATTATAAAAATTATCGTCAGGCTGCAGACAGAGCTGCTGTTTACCAAAATTGGACACTCAGACTTGCATCAGCCCCAAAACAAGTTAGCTCTTCTGGATAAAAAGATATTCGGTGATTCTCAAAACTAAAGCTGCAGCATTATCGAATAAATCAATTACAATATCTGAATATCTCATAACCACCGGTTAAGAAAAACTCATGACTGCAGGGTATGGGTGCGGATGTGAGGGTGAAAAAAACATAATATACACACCTTGCTATCTAGGCACCTACGCCCACAATACGTTAGAGTGGTCAAATAGTGTTTGCTTCTAAGAGTATGCGTTGATGCACTGTGCCATACAATTTGTTTTTTCTTCAGGAACATCTGATTGAAATTCATGTAAAGTGCTTCACTGCTATAGAGTGGCAAATATAAAACTGATACTCATTTTTAATTCAAAAACAGATCAATCTATCTCTTAACGAAAAGACAAATCAATCTGCTAGTCTTGAGGGTGTGGGTGTGTGTTAGCTGTAGAACTTTAGTTAGATCCTTATTAGCTTTGCTGATAAAAAAAACCAACTTTACATCAACGTATAAGAACGAGCATAGCCAGGGAAGAGTGATAGAGAGAGCAAAAGAGAAGAAAGTGCATATATATATGTGTGCTCATGAGGTCAAGTCGTATATAACAACAAAGACAATAGAACGTTACCTCGATGGCAGCTCTCCCTTTTCCAAGATGAACGTCCGCGTTCATTAAAAATTGCAATAGTGCAGTGAACAAGGGGGGAAAAGCGGCTCGTGGCTCCTTGGAATCTCGCGGCTCCTCATGGATTCTGGCGGATTCTATGGATCCTAGTAGATTCTGACGGATTCTGTGGATCCTAGTGGATTCTATGGATTTTACTGGATTCTACTGGATTTTACTGGATTTTACTGGATCCTGCTGGATTCCAGTGGATTCCTATGGTCTTAGTGGATATTTGAAGATATGTGAAGATCAGTATCTACTCCTTATTGCTGTCGCTTGCTTTTTTTTAGTCGAAAATGATGGCTTATCCAGTTAGACAAAGCTGCTTTTTAAGGTTTTCTATTGTAGCTTCTTAGCATGATATTCGTCTTCGCAACATAAAGTTTCGTAATCATTAACATCCTGTAAAAGGTTATCCAACAACTCTTTTAGCTGTCAAGGGAAAGGTTAAAAATATAACTTGTAAATCACATGAAAACATGAAATTTGAATCTTTTTTCATAAGAATATGGGATAGAGTGATGAATTTATTAACTATGTAGTAAGTAGCAATAATCCATGTATTTTTTCACTTTTTGCAATAGCTAGCACTCCCTACTATATTTGAAACAAAACTTGTTCATAGCTGTCAGTTCATATATTTGAACCGATCGTTGTAAACCCAATCATATTTATGTACTTGTTAGAAGTTTTGCAATTTAGCATGAAGAATTAATCAATACACAGACAAAGTCACCGATAGAAACAAAATAATATTATTTTTCCAACAATATTGTCTATATTACAAAAAGGCTAAATATCTTTTTCAGGACTATTGTAACACATTCTCAGTCATAGAATAATATGAACAATGAATCCTTCAGCTCTTCTCTTTCTGTGTACAATAAAATCTGTAAGTTTTTTTCTAAGCATTTAGATTCAAGAAACGATAGATAGACCATTTAGATCTGTAAACAAAATGCATGGTCACTTTCGTAATTTTTTCAAAACTCGATCAAAGTCATATAGATCCGACATATACGAGTCTCGTTGTTTTCTTTAGCAACTGAAAATTGTTTTGATCCGTGGACTGGTGAACAGTGAATAAGCGTTCGTTTCTAAAACTTAGGCAATGCAACACACTTATGCATTATATTATACACACGCGTTCTGCGTATAAAATCTGACTTAAATATAACGCATTTTCAATTTTATGGTGAGAAAAAATACATATATTGGGTTTTTATTTTTTTTTGTATAAAAGAGTCACCATGGTTGAGGTTACGCCAATCGCAACGTGTCTTGAAGAAGGATAAGCTATCAGAAAGAATATCAATGTGTGTGACAGTTTCATTCTTTTTCACATCGTTGAATTTTTTCGCGAGTTTAATATAAATCTCTACGGATAATCTTTGATTTAATTTTTATACTATAACTTTTCAAACAATTAAATTTTGATTATTCTCTCATCGAAAAAAAACAGTTTACCAACACCAACAAGCGATGTGTTCACTGAAAAGATGTTGTAATCTACAATTTTTTGAGATTGAACACCAAGTTCGTTTCTATAACTTTGCGTCAAATTATAACGTTGTGAAACAAGAGATAAATAGAACAAAATTAGATCGGGTTTCAAATGAAACAAAAAACTATTATTGATTATGAATATTTTCTTAATTATGTATAAATTAAAAAGGAAGGAAGGTTGGCTGGTAAAAAGCCAACGACAGCACCACCATGAGCTACTAGATTAGGAGACTTCTCAAATATAAAGATTCATCTAAAGATAATAAAGCACAAGGATTACCTGCATAAACAGTACTCATTACATGCATCGCTACCATGCTAAGCCTTCTCAGTGAATCATACAAAATTAGTGACATCTATATTATGTTTTTATCATTAAACCCAAAATCCTTTTGCATATTTCTTAGTTGGCGTTTTTTAGTTGGAAATAAATTAGAATCTTAATTCGTAGTGCGTGTGTATGTAGTAAGTGTAGCTCAGAAACAAATGTATGATACGACACCAATCCGTTCCACCAGACCACAGATCATTTAAAATATTGATATAAATTCACTAATCAAAATGGATTCTATGGATTCTGGTGGATTCTATGGACCCTGGTGGAATCTACGGCTCCTGGTGGATTCTAGAATCCATCAGAAGCCACCACGAGCCGCTTTTCCCCCTTGGCAGTGAAAGTAATGAAAAAATAGAGGGTTCAATAAAACAAAATGGAACAAAAAATTGCATGATACTTTAAGATGAACATCAGAATCAGTATTAGTTACGAATGTATTGACTTTTGTTTTCATACGGATTAAATCGCATCGAACACGATCAAGTAAAGTTTTTATTTAATCTTGTGGTTCAAATATTGGTTTCATTATATTCTCATGTACTTGTCTAACATAAAGCGAGTGTTCTAGTTGAATTTCGCATGTGACTGGTCCACAAACACTAATTACACGATATGGTTCTTCAAATATTGCTTGCATTTTATCATACCATACAGCCGGTTTGGCCAGTATTAATTGTCCTACATTAAAATGAATATTTTGTCGATGTTCGCCATAACATTGTTAACTTAATTGTTGTTGTTGCTGTTGTCGGATGTTCGTCCGGACTTGGTCGATAATATGCGAACGATATTTACGAAACTGATAATAGTAGTCATTTGATCTTTTAAATCAAATCATAGGTTGACTGGTAGAATATGGTAACGTAATTTCTTTTCCAAAGATTAGTTGATATGCTGAATATTTGATAGCTCGATATTGACCAATATTGTATGCATAACTAGTTGATAATAAAAATTGATCACAATTGTTTTGATTCAAGCCTTGTAATTTACATAATTGTGACTTAATCGCAAGGGGAAAATGGCAGACTTTTGTACTTGAAGTACTTTATGCTACTTTAAACTACTTTAAGCCACTTTAAACTACCTCAAGTACTTTCAATACTTCAACGTGCTTAAACGCTTAAAATTTTTCAATATAACTGTAAGCACATAATGTGGATAATAGCTAAAAATTATTTTGTTTTTGGCAATCAATAATATATTATAAATCCAAGGTGGGAAAAAGCTGATTGCAATCAAAGCAATCATTGTAAATCATTGTAAATCATTATAAATCATTGGCAATCATTGGGAATCAAGTGATTGCTTGCCGAAACACAGAAATCTCTGGTGTTTCGTTTCTATTATTCATCTTAAAATGTTATATTAATGTGATATATATTGACATACAAGTTATTAACACGTAGAGTGGATACGTTGAACAGTATACAGTCGAAAAACCACCTGGATATCATTCTCTTATTGTGCATGCACGTGGTTGCGTGTTGAAGAGAGAAAAGAAATGTTTCTCTGTATTCGTTTAACTTCATTTCCATCTATTCGTTCGTTAAGGAACAGTCTCATCGTTGTACATCTTTGTTTTTCTTCATGTCTCCCTCGAAACATTCAAATTTAAATACAAAATTTCTGCCATTCAATATTATGGATCTTCGTGATGAAAATTTTTATGATTTTATTCGGTAATTTGCAGGGAAAAAAGTTGCTGAACTGCTCTCTTTTCAAGAATGCAATAGTGTTGATTCGCTTCTTGGCTGTCAAGATGTAACTGCTATCCTTCATCTTGAATCAGATGAACTTATTGATCTTAAAAAGAACATGTGCATTACTTTGAGCAACGGTTCTATTTATCTCCTTCCAGACATCGAATCATCTATTATGCATCTCACCAAACTATTTAAAAACAAACAAGAAGAGCTTATTAAACAATCTAAACGACGCCAATCAATTACGATTTCTTCTGTTTCATCAACACCCAACATCATTTCGAACAATTTATCACCAACGACTGTAGTTCTAGGTAATTCTTCGATTCACCAGTCTACTTTTAATGCTTTGCCTAATTCATACCTAACTGTTTCACCACCGGCAACACATGTTCTTGCAAATGAAATTAAAAGTCGAATCTCAAACACTATTATTGAATGGTTTAAACATAATAAGGATAAACTTTCTTTGATCAATATCGATTTCAATGAAGGAAGCGACTTTCAAGTTGAATTGAACAACAATCAGGATGGTATTATTGTACGCTGTAAATGTGGTACTACAAGTGCCATAGGTCAAAAACAGGGTGTTCTTATGGTAAGAAATATGTGTTTTTCTTCTCTTTAATATTTCATAAAATATCTGATTTTTTCACATTCAATAGAAATTCATGGGAGTGATCTTTTAAAAAGAAGATTGAGTTGATAGATTTTCTCGAGCAAAATAAATAATAGCCAATAAATTTATTTTTCGGTTTCAACCAATGAATATATCGCGCCACAATATTTTCTTTCAACCAGAAACATCTTTTTTAAAACTGTTTTCATAGATAGTCCAATTAAAACAAGAATTTATTTAAAAACGATAACTTTTATTTTATTGTATATCTCATGAGTTCAGTCATAATAGAAAATTTAGTTCTTATTTATATTAATGGTCATCCCTGAATGTCTTTTATAAATTATAAGTTATACTGTCTGATTAAAATTTTAATTATCATGTTTGTTTCTCCAAAGAATTAATAATTTAATCTCTCACAGTAAATCCTCCTATATGAAGAGAATCTCTTGTTTCAGTTTTCTAATGTTTATCGACATTTTAAATCAAGCAAATGCTCAATGATCATTGAAAAACAACATCGAGCTGAGGGCCGCAACACAAGCACAATTGAAGTAAATGACAATGACTCATTATCAACGACCACAGCAAACTCAAATTTATCTATATCGACTTCATATCAAAATTAATTTTCTTCTACTGTTACTACGTCACGCAATAGTAAACGTCCTACTGATTCTTCTTCTAATACTTCTAAATAAAAAAAGAGACGATTTATTTGAAAACCTATTTCGTTGGTGAAGATTTTTTTTTATTTTATAGCTTTTAATTTTGACTTCTCTGTACAACTTTTTATTTTCATTTTTATGTATTATTTATTCATGACGTGCACATCTAGAGTTAATATGTTAATCTCGAAACAACATATATATTGATTATTTCTATCATTGTTTCACGATGAACATTTTTAATGCAAAGTCAACTAATTGCTTTTCCAGGTTCCAATATCGCAACTAATTATCATACAGTCTAATTTGTTCGTAAAAAATCGTTTATGGCTCCGCCTTTACCAGCTGATGTTTTCGAACTTCAAGGTGAAAGTTTTTTTCAACTTGTACAACAAAAATGTGGTAATACTATGGTAGAAATCATGCAGTATCTAGAGATGAATTCTGCTGATTGTTTTCTTGGTATTCAAGACGTTTTTGCTTTCTTTCATCATGACTCATCTGATCTCGTAGCAATCAAGAAGAAGGTTGGAATTACCCTTAATGACGGAAGCTTCAAAGTAAAAGCTGGTCTTTCCATTCAAGCTAATAATTTCATTCAATCTTTAAAAACGTTTCAACAGCACAAAAATTTACAAACATCTAAGGATTTCATTATTTCTGCTGCACTTCTCGATCGATATCCTATTATTCGACGAATATTACGTTTTTTATGCATGATTTATCAGAAGCAAATGACTTTTGTTTTCACTTCAAACGTACAGTGATCGAGACTATAATTATGAATCATGATCGTGCAAAATATCGTTATGATTATAGTTCTTCTATACGTGAATTTGCCTCTTGTGTATTCATTCTTGGTGGTCGTAACGTCTATGAGTTCGTCCGTCTTAATATACCAGGTTTTCTTCCAAGTTTGACTGTCATTCAAGCTTTGATCGATGCCAGTACAAACTATTTTCAAGAAGGTGAATTTAGATATAATGTTATGTCTCATTATATTTCATCAAAAAACTTGAAGTTCGTTTACGCTGCTGAAGATTGCACTTCAGTTATACCAAAAATAACGTATAATACACGGTCAAATAATTTTACTGGATTTGTACCTCCACTAAAAGGAGGCTTGCCGCAAATTAATACTTTTTCTACTGAATCATTTGCGGAACTTCAACATTGGTTTTGTACTGTCAGTATGCCTCATCTTCTTAATGCTTACATGATACAACTGTAACGAACAACTGGATTGGAGTAGCTTGTGCCACCCTCGGCAAAGATGTTTATTAGACTACTTAAAGTTATCCAGAGTGTAACGACAAAACTAGAGAGTGTCGCCTATGCCCGTCGGCATGATGGTGTATTGTGTCATCTGACATCTCCAGAGTGTAACAACTTCATACAAAACGCACGTATATATAGGAGAGAGATAGAAGAGAGATACATTAGAACAATGGAAAGAGAACAGAAAGAGAAGGAAGGAGAATCATCGAAGTGTGCCATCAATATCGGCACGACAACCTGCTACATCTACTTCTGATTCTTGCGCACCATTTATTTTATCGGCTTATGGTACGGATAATTGTTTTACAGCACAAGACATCGTACTTCGATGGGTTAATATAGTCAATGAATGCACAAAAAATGGAGCAACATTAGTTGGTTTCGCAACCGATTGCGACTCACGTTATTTGCGATCAATGAGTCTTCTGATGGGATTTTTTTCGAATATGCCAAAGCAGCAATTTCACCAACAAGAGAATGCCTTTCACGTTGACATTCCTCAAGTGAGTTAAATATTTTAAGTTCTAATACTTCTTACTCAGCTAGTGTCATGTTAATCTGTAGTCCTGGTCATGGTTTTACATGAGAAACAAACAACTTACATTATTCTTTCAGGATAGCGTTCATATATGTACAAAATTGCGGAATCGGATGTTATCTTCTACAACAACAATGTTGATAGGTGATCAGGCCGTAACTGTTGATCATCTTCTCCAACTGATTAAATCATCATTAAAAATGTCTCATAATTTGGTGAAGTCGGATATTATACCAAAAGACCGGCAAAACTATCAATCGTGTGAGAAGATATCAAGTGAAGCTGCTTTCAATGCTCTCACATCGGTGCCTAGTTCAAGGGCTACACAAATTTATCTTCAAGTATGTTTACTAAAACAATTAAAGTAGATTTTAAAAAGTTTTCTGCTTTTTAACTCGTCTAATTCTTATCCTAAAACAATATTGATAACTTTTCTTTCGCCAAGACATATATAATGGTTTCATAACGAAAACTTATGAAAGAATTTAAACAAAGAAAAAAATGTGTTTCTTAGTGTACGATTTTGTTTGTGTTGGGTTAGTTTTCAGATTTATATTTTTCTGCGTAAACTTCCCAATCAAAAATGAATAGTTCTATTAAGGTTACATGGGAAGTAAAAAGGCGCACTACCAGCGTATTTTTAGAAGTTGCAGCAAGTATAATATATTGTTCGGTAGTTTTTTTCTCGAATAATGCTGGAAACGGCGGTTATTAAAAAATTTAAATATTATACTAACGAATTATTAAGTAATTTGATTTGTGTTACCAGAGATATATGAACCCTAGCTTTTCTATCCTGATGTGCTGACAAGAAACGTCAATATTTTATAATGATATTCATCATCAATATTATGAATTTAAATCTACAATACATTTCAAAAAATAAAACTCAGTCAAGCGCAATTCGTGTTGAAGGATTCAAATGTAGATGACAGATGTAGATAATATATTTTCTAATATAGCCAAAACAGTTTTCGAATAGTTATCACTGAGGCACAATAGGCGAAAAAGTTCAGCACTCTACGTAAGTCTAACAAATCTTAAAAATCAGACCGTTCGATTCCTTTAAAATTTAGTCTCAATCTTATTTTGATATTTCTAAACGGATGTCAAGAAAACTACCCAAAACATTTTACACTTTTTCTAATTGTTGCAGATAATTCGAAATATTCGATTAGCTTTCATATCTACTGAAACAAAATATATTGATCGTATATATTACGCTTGGCTAAATGTATTCATAGTTCGATTTTGGTATACCTGGTTTACTAAAACAACGAAAAATGAACTTGATTCTATTCTTAATCAACGCAATTATATAAAACAGAACATCAGAACAAGTACAAAACGACAATACTTCATGACTCATTCAGCTCTATTCTCAATCGAAATCAATAGTCATACGCTGGCATATATCGCATTATTGGTTATACAATGCCAATTACCAGAAGAATGTCTGAATGTATCTTTATTTAACTCTCAATCTTGTGAAAGAGAGTTTCGTTTATGTCGATCTATGTCAGGACCATTTTCATCCATTGTTAACTTCACTATCGAACAATTTATACAGCGTTTAAAAAAGTTATCGTACCTTCATTCAATTAAATACCGAAACAACAATGATCATACTACCAGATCTGATGCTAATTTTCTCGTTCCAAGCCATCATAAACATTCTAAAATTGTCCACACTGGACAAAATACATCTTCAGACATGCCACTGAAAATTGAAATGATAGAAGCATCTATTTTGCAAGCCTATTCGGATGCTCCCCGCGTTATGTGCGAGGTAAATATCTATCATCGTAATGACATTCCAAGTTTGGATGAATTGTCTCGAATAACCCGTCTTCAACTGCAAAAATTACAAATAGTTGACTATTCCATCCCGTCTGAAAATGAAACAGATTTGTCATCAGATTCAGGTGATGGTATTGAGGACGAAGAAGAAAATACATTTGAAGATGAATCAGACGATGATGATTCAATTCGAGATGATGAAGATTTATCGAATAACGTTTTGAATGTCAGTGGGATGACATATCAAGGAATGCGAGTTTTTGATTCTATCAACCCCAACTTGGCAAAGTCATCTTTTGTTCTCAATATCAACGGCACGAAAAAGTATCTGCACAAACAAACAGTCGTATGGCTACTTTCAAATGATAAGCCGACTTTGTCATCGGATCGTTTGAAACGTGTTATGACTAATAAACAGAGCTAATTGTTGCTTTTTTCTCAATCCGAACTTTGTCATAGTGAACTACTACATGCAATATATTTCTGAAAAATTATTTAAACAGACTAAATCAGATTTTAGCTGCTTTTCATATTTTTCTCGCAAAAAATTGTCATTCTTTATATAATCACTACATTGCTAATTTCACTAGACTAATAACGAATTTCATCGTTAAAATCAAGTATTTTCATAATATTGAGAGATGAATGTTTGAAATAAGTAAGAAAAAAACTGTTTCCGCTATTTTTAAATATAAAAATCATCGACAATCAAATGACAATCAATGACAATCAATGACAATCTAGGCAATCAGACAATCAACTTTTCCCCCCTTGTATAAACCGCTCAATATATACGAGAAAAACAGTAGAAACTATAGCATTGCGTAGTTATTTCCATAGTTTACTTTAAAGAAAGATAAAACCCATAAGATTGAGTAATCAAGTGCTAATTAAAATATGCTAAAACAGAGAAAACATAAATGTTTATATACGACTTCTTTTTGTCGAACGATGCTGTTGTGATTGTGTTGTTAACGGCGCTTACCATTATTATATACAGCTTGATTTGGTAATGCTGAAGAATCAACTTGAACTATCGTTTGTTTCCTCTACTGAAAGGAGGGTCTTATGCCGAAATGAGTTGTTTCGTTCGTTCGTTCAATAGGAAAGCAGATGAATAAACTTAACTAACCTCAAACAAAATCTGTAGGGATAGGTTTGACCGAAGGTAATCGGGGTCAAGGAACACGATGGCGTTGTCAGATTTTTGAAATCTGCTTTTTGCTTTTTTTAGGAGAGAGAGAGAGACTATTTTACAAAAAAATTAGATTTTTATAAGGGTTGGCCGAAGGTTTCAAAAGTCTATCTGTTGAAGAATCGCATACGTTTTATAAATATTTATGGAATACAGCGAAATTCATGTATTCTTGCAAACTATGATGTCATATACTGTGACATGTTAGTATGTTGTCCGAGGTATTGTTGCGATCGAATGTTTCTGACTGGATGTAGGATGTATAGGTTATGCAGCTTTTATTTCAAGAGGTGAATCACACACGTTTTACTAAATATTAGTAGAATATGATAATCAATTGAAGACAAATTAAGCATGCAAGACATAATCAATATTTTTTAGCTGTCAAGTTAGCTCGAAAATCGTGTAATTGTTAAAAATAGGTTTGTTGTACATAGATATTGGAAAACGTTTTGGAGTAGTTTTTGCGATTCTATACAATCTTATGAGCTCTTCGCGCTGCGCTGTTGATGATTTCACTTGAAGAGCTGCGAATTCAAAAGGACGTATGATCAGTAAATCATCCAACCGTTTCACTCGTGATGGTGGAACGTAAACAGATGCGACTTCGACTGAACCGGGCGGCATGACCAGATCAATGATAATTTTCCCAAGCGTTTGGCCTTGACTCTTATGTGTTGTCATGCTGTAGGCCGGAATTAAAGGAAGCGCTTTACGCTTGATTGAGATTTTTGTGGTTTTTTTGTTAATTTTTGCGGCTTTCGCAACATTTTCCGCAAGAAGCTCCTTAACATCAAACAGAAATGTTTGTTCACTGATTGATATGGGAATGCTCTTGGTTTGAAGTTCAACCAGTTCAGAATCAAGTTTGAAATTGGGAAGTTCTACTAAGGCGTATTTTGGTTGAGCGATAAACTTGGTATTTGTTGGAAAATTCTTGTCTTGAAATTGAATATCCGCTGAAGATTCTTTGTATACAAGTTGATGGAATATTCCACGTGTACCATTGGAGAGTCCAAGCTCTGTAGCCACGTTTTCTGTAAGTAAAACTGGCATCTCAGGTACAAGAGGTAAATAGCCTGGAAGATGTTCCGTTTTGTTGTCAGGTAATTCAAGAATCGTTTTGCGTAACCGTAAGTCGTCTATAATCTTTCCATGAAAATAATCTTGAGCAGCACACTCCATTGGTCGAAGTCCCATTTCCATTGCTTTATTTAACACAGCTCGATTGTTAATTTGAGTGCGAAGTGTGTTTCGAAAAACGAGTATTGGAGCCTGTTAAAGAATGTACGATTACATATAGAAAAAAATACTGACCAAACCTACTTCATTCCATGGCTTCTGTCGCAAAGATGCTGGTAGCTTTGGATTCCTAACAATACGTGTGGAAAGAAGTTGATAATCTTCAATTGTTGATTTCCACTTCTCAATCTGTTTAAAAGCTCCAAATATCGGGGGTCTTCGGTTCGCATTTGCTGACTCAATTCAACTACGCAATTCAATTGAGATATAAGTTTCTCTGCACATTGCATATCTATTTGACGTTCCGTAATTTGTTCAGACGATGCACAGGTGTGATGGAGAGGTCTATCCAACGCTGGAAAATATTGCAGATAGTCCCCAAAAAAAAATCACATTTACACCACCAAAAGAAATCTCTGAATTTATATGCTTTGCTGTTGTCACTATACGATTGAGACGAGCTAATAGACTGAGTCCTACCATACTGATCTCATGGATTATCAAATATTTAGCATGACGCCATTCATTTTCCAACTTCGTATCGCCAGGTCTGAATGTTCGTGTTTGCTTCTTTTTGGAATTTTTACGACTTTCGCCTAAAAATGAATGAATGGTTAAACCATCAATTTCTGCTGCTGCTATAGACGTTGGTGCCAGTTTACGCAGCATTTTGCCCCTCTTGT